CGAAAATGACGTTTTCGGCTAAGATAAAATAGGGCAATCCAAACAAAATGGCGGTCAATGCATGGTCAATGCCAAAAAATTGGCGCCATACATTTAATTCAAATAACCGTGACATTTTTCATCAAAAAACTGTTTTTTGTGTATTTTGTGGTGTTTTTAGATGATTTTCTAGTGTTTGGAGGGATAATTTTCGTATTTTAAAATGGAAAGTTGTTAGTTTAAGAAATTATTAGTGGAAAACTCGGATGTTTGCAAAAGTTATGATTTCTTTCTGAAGTTTCTGACAAACCTTTACCTACTAACCAATTAGGTAGGTACTATCCAGGCTTTGTTTCCTGTTTATTTTTTTCTTAACCAAATCCTGAATCCTGCTGTATTTTATTTGTCTGCTTTTCAAGTTACCGACACAAGCTGATGTGGAGGATAGTAAATGGCTGGGATCCATACACCATTTATGTAGAGAGACTTTTTGGTTTTCTAATATGGATTTCGTAAGATTTTTTCTCTTTTGCTACAATCCATGAAGCCCTCACAAAGTACAGACAAATCATTTTTCTCCGTTAAAAACCTGTGTTTTGTCTCTGCAAGAACAGCATGAAACCAGACTTTCTCGCGATTAGAACGGCTCCCACAACTAAGTACAATACATACTCTTCGAATTTAATACATATAAAGTATGCATTTTCCAAAGAATCAACACTTTACAGACTTTATACAAATCAAAAATCGCAATAAAAACGGCATTTTATTTAAATAAAAAGGCATTGGCCTCCATTTTGAATTCCATTTTGACAGGTCGTTGGATTGCCCTATATGACGAAAGCTATTTATTTTTTGATGGCCATAGAAAAAATATTTAATTTCTCCTATATTTTAACAAACAATAATTCAATAATTAATATAAATACTTTGGACTAGGACAGTTAAATATAGGTACAAAAATCTTCTACATAGATAAACAAACATGAATATTTATTCAAGGATGATACACACACTATACCATTCTATACAATTGCTTATCGGCCTTGTTTTTGGTAATAGCCGCCTTAGAAAGGGAAGATATGCCGAAGATGGGTCGAGTGGTACCTTGTTTTAAAGGTATTTTGATTCGAAAAATTAATCCCTCAATGTTGAACATTTAGAAAATGGCTGTTATTCATTATTTGAAAGACCTTAAAAACAACATGCCACTCAGAGTCCACACTCCTATCATAATAATAGGGAAAGAAATCACCCTCAATACAAAAAAGAAGAATAACATACGGAGTTTTAACGAGAATCAAAATACTTACCTTGAAAACATAGTATGGTACCTATATGATTTAGTTAGAGAAATAGTCATTATTCAATCTATCAATCTATTTTTCTAGGTAAAAATTGAATATCTCTCCCTAGGTTAATAATGAAAATAATGAAAAAATACCCAGGTTAATAATGAAAATGACGTCATAACGCAAGGATATTGTCATGTTTTTATTGATTCAATTTCAATTTGATACGTCAAATACATAAAAAAATACAGGTTTCTGTAGGTACATAGGAAGTTATCATAAGCTGTTGATAGAGGACACCACTTTCAAGAGGGCGTTCAAAAAAAATAATTAGAGCACAGATTACAAATTATTCATTTTCCACTAGCAGTAGTAAAAAAAAATCTATATGTTCCTCGGTAGAGAAAGTCATTATATACCTCACGCATCACGCATTATAAACCTCAACTATTTTAGGGGAGCCCTAACGATAAGTATTCCCTAAAATGACATTTTTACATAATGTCAGTTTAATACAATGGTTTAAGGCATACCTATTGTTAGGGCTTCCCTAAAATACCTAGTCGGTGGAAATGGCAATTAGAAAAATTAAGAAGAAAACGAAAATTCAAGATCCGGGAATAGACAAAATATGAGATGGAAAAATTGAAAAATAAAGAATAAATAAATATATCTATATATATATATATAAAAATTAATGCCACTTTTCGTTGTAATTTTATAACTCAAGAACGGGCTCACCTAGCCTAACCAAATGTTTAGGCTTTGTTCGGACTATTTATTAGATGGTTTATGTGAAGTTTGCACAAAATCGGTCGAGCGGTTCTTCATTTATCACATTTTTTGTAATAAATGAATTATTCAATAAATGGAGGATCGTTTTCTTAATGGGGATTTTGCTGTCAAATTGAAACTTTTTTCAGCGTTGACAGTACCAGCATGTTGTTATGTCATTAATGTGGTCATTTCATTACTTATTTTATTTATTTATGAAAAAAAATTTACTAAGCCCGCATACCGCGCCATCTCTTATAACCGATACCAAGTTTATTTTGTATTTTGTATACCGCGCCATCTCTGATACCTGGAACGAACTCGGCATTGCAGATACACTAGAACAATGCTGCTCAGGAACTGGAGCTATTTCGAACAGAACTATTCCACTATTCCGATCAGATAGAGAGGTGCAGAAAGAGAAGATCAGATAGAGTAGTGCAGATACAGTAGAACAGATGGAGTAGTGCAGTGCATGCAGTGCAGATAGAGTGAAACAGGGCTGCGCTAGAGATTTTTTTTGTTTTCTTTACATTCTTTGAATATTCCTGTGCCTGAGTTTATTTATTTGGTGGTACACTTTACAAGAATAATGCCCACAAGCTGCCTAAAAAAGGATGATGTAAAATTTTAATTTTAGGTGACTTCTGATCCAGAGAGTAAACATTAATTTTCTTCAACCAGAGCCAAATTCACCATCGAAAAAAACTTAATTTAATTCAGCTAATAGATACGTTAACACAACATTTAATAGGTATATATTTAATAATTCAGAGGCGGTACGAAGTTCGCCGGGTCAGCTAGTACTTAGATAATAATAATATTAATAATAATACCTGAGTAAACATCAAAAAATTTGCAAAAATATGGCGGCAGGGGCGTGGCTAACTTCTATATTCATATTCAAAATTTACAAGAATATGGCGGCGGTACCGAATGTCTATTTGAAAAGGTTAAGTCACTGTAGGTGGGCCGGGGCCATTGGAAAGGGTTGAAAAGGAAACAACCAATCAAATACCTTGACGATACATAAACCCCGGAAAGGGGCGGGGCTCAACTAACCAATTGAATGTCCTGCTGATATCACTCGCATCTGATTGGAAAGGGGCGGGGCTTATATCCAACCTATCAAATGCTTTGTTAATATCCTTGCGTTTGATAACGAATCAGCCACAGTGTTGCCAGCTTGACGGAATTATCCCCTTTTTGCCTTTTTGAGGAAATTTTCTATTTTCGTTCGCAAAGGATAGAAGCGGAAATAGCGGAATTTTTAAAGTTTTTTTTTTTTAAGATAAAAGTCAAAATGACATTATATGTTAGCAAAACAATGTTAAACTGTCGATGCTTTCAAATTTTTTGTGTAGAGAAGGCTGTGTTGCCAACATAGTTACTAAATTTTTGACTCGGGGAATTATCGTTAAAAAAAAAAACAGACTTTACTTTTTCTTTCATTTATCGCAAAATTTTCATATTCAATGAAAAATTGGTAATTTTAAGTTTCTAGCACACGATATACAATAGGTATACAGGGTGGGCCATTGAAAAAAAAAACGCGCCATTTTCGAGGTATTGAAATGTCTCAATTTAAATGGACCACCCTGTATATAAGTATGGGTACAACATCTCATTCCCGACTGTAAGTGAAGGCGCAATAATTGTTTTTTACCACTACCGCGCGTAAAGTACTTACGTTACGCACCTTTTAGAAGAGATAAAATGTCACGCACCAGTGCGTAAAGTAGTTTTTTTACTACTAACCTGAGAAGTAGTCATTATTCCATCAATTTTTCTGGGAAAAAATTGAATTTCTCTCCCTAGGTTAATAATGAAAATAATGAAAAAATACCTAGGTCAATAATGAAAATGACGTCATGACGCAAGGATATTGTCATAACGTAACAAGTTTCTATTGGTTTAATTTCAGTGTCAAACTGTCAATTTTAAAAAAAGCAGGGTTCCTGTATGTACATTATAGGAAATTACCGTAAGCTGTTGATAGAGGGCAGCACTTTCGACAAGAGAAAATAATTCGAGCACAGGTTTCAAACCTATTTTTTATTTTCTACCAGCAGTAGTAAAAAAAATTCTATAGGTATATCCCTCGGTAGAGAAAGTCATTATATACCTTACGTATTATAATGACCAACTTCTCTACCTAGGTATATAATGTACTATTCTATTATAGATAAAAAGCTGAAATTTTCAACGATTCATATTTTAATAGAGGACTACAATCCCTGAAAATTTCAGCTCATTTGGACTTAAAATTTGAGAAATAAAATCGTGTTAAGCAATTTGGGGTGATTGAGCAATTTTTCCGAGTGCTTTTTTTCATAGAATCAGGCTCCAAATCTCAGATTAATTTAGTGTAGGTATGGGGGTCCCCAAGGACCATTGAGACACACAAAATCTCAATCAGAAAAGAAATTGAAATTTCATCGTTTTAGTACTGAGGGAGCTATCATATGATTTAGATTGCGGAAAAATTGGAAAGGTTATAATTCTTTTTACTATTATAGATAGAAAGCTGAAATTTTCAGCGATTCTTATCCCAGTAGAGGACTACAATCCCTGAAAATTTCACTTCATTTGGACTTATTATAGTTCCAGAAACAAAATCGTGTTAAGCAATTTGGGCTATATTAATCAATTTTTCAATTCTTCTGAGTGCCTTTTTTCATAGATCTCAACATAAATGCTTTAAAGATGTTATACTTGCCTAATCTCTTCAACATAAATGGTGTCAAGAATCTTAATTTTGTCTCGAATAAGTAGATAAAATCTCAAATAGGTTGAAATAATGACACTGGTACCATTTAAATAATGTAAGACATAATTTATTGGAACATTTAAAAAAGAATTTGAACAAAATAATGCATTTAATTTCATAAATAATTAATTTTGCAGCTGTATAAGCAAATTCCTTATACATTCGTAATTCTGAACATAGACTATTTATAAATGACTAATATTTGATTCACTTAATACTCGTCTTAAATACAAATAAGCTTTTCTTATCTATTCAATGCGATAACCGAAACAATACAACAAAATTACTTAGGTAAACGCGCGCTATATAGGTAGTCATAATAGATAACGTGGACTCATTTTTAACACTGATTCAGTTTTAAATAGAATTCACACGAAAAATGTCTTCAGAGGAAACGTTCCACGAAATCGAGCTCAGATCTGAAGAAACAAAGACACCGAGGCCTTCATCCACGTCACGAGTCAACAATTTTTTCCAAAGTGCCTTTAGAAAAACCTTCGCCAAAAAGAAACGACGCTTCACAACTCCGATAGCTGAAGCTGACTTGCTGAAAAACAGCATCTCTGGACCAGCTAATGTCAGCGAAGTGGTATTTTCCGAAGAAGATTTCGGATTTTCGAGGAATTCGATACAGTGTTGTCCGTTTGATATTAGCGGGTACGGTGCGTTTTTGTTAATGGACGAGTTTAAAGTGCAACGGCCCAACAAGATGGTTTTGATGGTGTTTTTGTTTGAGAAAATTATTATTTTTACTAAGGTGAATAGAGTTTTATCGATAAGAGTGTGTGACTGTACCATTATATTTTATCAGTATAATATCATCGATTGGGATTTTTTTCAAAACCGTTTGGTGATTTCTTGACAAAATGACAAAGTAGTCATAGTGTACAGAATTCATAAATTATTTTTGGGAAACTCGAGGGGAAACTTCTCAACAAATAATTTCCAGTATTCCAGATGGGTCTCTCATATATAGGAATTTTGACTGAAACAAAAAAAATCAATTATCCAATATTATTTGATCTTCATAAAACCCTCGTTTCTCTGAAAAAACCCCTATGGCGGGGCCAAATTTGACACTCAGCCCTCCCATTTTTTCTATTATTTTATGGAACAAAAGCAAAAACCAATGCAACTTTTGGTGTGCTGAACTCTGTGCTGCTAATATTTTTAGTTCAGTTTTTCGTTTAACCCTCGTTTCTCTCAAAAAACCCTATTATGGCGGAGTCAACCTAACGCTCAGCCCCCCTCAGTGGCGGACCTATATAGGATCTTTGGGGCCCGACGCAAAAATTTTTTTTGGGGCCCTGTCATGCTTTTTTTAGGTATTTTTCTTGTGGTGTTTGGCTGTAAAGTGAGTCTGCGAAAGTTATTTATATTTTTGAAGTGAACCAAATATAGAAATAAATTTAATCAAAAAACAAGTTTATCAAGAACATATGAAACAGAAAACAAGTTAAACGAAAAAAAAAAGTATAAAAATTCAGGAACTTTTCATCTAAACAAAAAGAAATACATCATAGTAGTACCGCAGTGCACTGATACTGTCCGTACTCCACCAACAAGTGCCATAAATTATCTGAATCTAGAAGACAATAGGCAATTTTTTGCGAGGATAACCAAGCATAATCTTTTGCTGGATTATATGATGTGTCATTTGTGTCATACTCCCCTAACTCCCCCACCATCAAATTCTGGGATACTCGAGGATCAAGAACACCTAGTTTCTTCTGAAAGAACAGACCGAAAATCACCTTTTCTACATTCAAAATCGACGAAAAAATTAACACTAGCACAGCCTGAATCGCAAGCATTCCATCGAGGTCTGCGGGTGACGTCATCACGACAAGCCGCTGATAGTAGTGACGTCATTCGCAGGGCCAGAATTTGACACATCACATAACCCAGCATAATCAGATTATGCTTGATTATCCTCGCGAAAAATTGCCTAATAGCTAAAAAAGCCGCCTAAAGTCGACGCGTCCCCGCGGTTGCTGCATTATCGCGTCTAGTGCATCAGGGCTGGGATCACGACATTCTACTAGAATTTCTCTTTTATGACGTCAGGTTGCCTAACAATTGTCATCATCGCCTGTACTGTACGCGATAAATGTGTCGCGAATGACGTCATGAAAGCGGAATTCCACTTGTCATGATTCCAGCCCTGGATTCCCTACAGGGCCTTTATTGTCGAAACAGGAGATAAGCGTTCTGTCTTAGTTGCCCATATTTCTATTTCCATAACACTGACAAAGACAGAGCAATCGTTCTTTCTCATAAGAACGCTGTTCCCCGGTTTCAAGAATAGGCATCCTGGTATACAACGTTGCCGTCTCGTTCAAAATTTAATTTTCGTTTTTTTTTTATATATATATACGAGTTTATTTTTTTTTATTTGTTTTTATCGGTCCCTCTAGAATCTGGTTGTGTGGGGGCCCCTCAGCTCTGGGGGCCCGACGCACAGTGCATCGTTTGCTTCATGCTAGATCCGCCACTGGCCCCCCTCGTTTTTTCGATTATTTTCTTGAACAAATGCAATAAATCAATGCAACTTTCAGAGGGCTGAGCTGTGCCGTTAATATTTTCAAGTTAGTTTTTCGTTCAACCCTCGTTTTCTCAAAAAATGTTATAGAGGAGCCAACTTGACGCTTATAGCCCCCCTATGTTTCTTCGATAATTTTATCAAAGAAAAGCAAATACAAATACAAGGCATATTTCAAAAATCCCTACTATTCCTTTGGCAAATATTCCATAGAATTTTTCATGACCAACAATATGTCTTTTCGGTGGAATAATTTCGTATGTGCGGGATTACAGGGGGACTGAGCGGCAAGTTGTGCCCGCCATAGCATTTTTTGAGAAAACGAGGGTTGAACAAAAAACTAATACCTGAAAATATTAACAGCACAGCTCAGCACACTGAAAGTTGCGTTGCATTGATTTTTGCCTTCGTTCAATAAAATAATCGAAAAAACGGGGGGACTGAGCGTCAAGTTGGCCCCGCCATAGGGTTTTTTGAGAGAAACGAGGGTTAAACGAAAAACTGAGCTAAAAATATAAGCATAGCACAGTTCAGCACACTGAAAGTTGCAATAATTTCTGCTTTTGTTCGATAAAATAATCGAAAAAACGGGGGGGCTAAGCGTCAAGTTGGCCCCCTTCAAATTTTTGTGAATAGCATTAAGTGCAACTCATCAGCACAGTTCCTAATATTAGTAGCACAGTAGAGCACACTGGGATCACAGTTAATTAGCACGAAAAAGAAAATAGAAAAATTTAATAGGCGGGGCTAACTTGACGGAGCTCTTCATAATGGATTTTTAACTTTGAGCAAAAATCTCTATAGCTGTATAATGTCATGATCTTACTTTTGAGTTGAACAAACAAATTGCTTATTGAATTTTTGGCCAATAAATACTTGAAGAAATTTTGCATCAGCTAACAATTATTTATTTTTTCTAGAAACAATCACCATCTGAAGACTCCTTCTACTACATAGGTAGCATAAAAGCCAACCAGATAGAGCTAGAACCTCCAAACGAAAATAAAAAGTTGCTCGAACTCAAAGATCACTTGGCCAGCAAAAGGTTCCACAGGGAAACCATATTTTCTCTGGAAGCTCCTACCGAGTACATCCAGCAGCATTGGAGAAAAGCCATCGAAAAATGCTTGTGGAGTCAATTCTTGCAAGCCAAACGAGATGCAAAAACTTGAAAATTGAATTTATTATTGGATTTTTTTTGCCAAAGGTACCTGAATATGTATTATAATAGTAATTAGATTGATATTTATTATTGGAGTGCAAGTATTGTGAAATTGTTATTAATCTCTATTTTATTTGTAAATAAATTAATTTTTATAAAAAAACATATTTTTCTCTATTATCATTCACATACCTTTGTTTGTTTGTATGAGAATTTATTTTTATTTATATTATTGGAGATATTACCCAGACATGGCATAGAGGTATCTTAAAGAAAACATTTACACAAAATTCATTTTGGAAAAAAAAAAAACATTACAAGAGTCAGAAGAAAATTATAATTTAGAAGAAAAAAATTTATAAAAATTCAAGAATTTTAATTGAAAGAGAAACATTTATTTCTTGGCTAATTTCCTTAATATTTCTCATTTTATAACTTTCAATTTTTGTCTATTCCAGGCGCTATATATGCTCTCTGGATTCTGTGATTTTTCAATTTTTCCTATGATTTAGATTTTAGAAAACTTTAAAAGGTCATAACTTTTTTTCTATTATAGATAGAAAGCTGACATTTTCAGCGATTCTTATCCCAGTAGAGGACTATACAATCCCTGAAAATTTCAGCTCATTTGGACTTATAGTTCCAGAAATAGAATTGTGCTGAGCAATTTATATAGGGTGATTTACCAATTTTTCAATTTTTCTGAATGCCTTTTTCCAGGGATTACAGAATAATTAAGTGTATGGGATTTGGGGGGTCCCAATAGGACCATTAAGATACAAAATCTCAACAAACAGAAATTTGAAATTACAGTAAGAGGTTTTTAAAGCCTTAGGAACCAGTGTGAAACCTAAAGAAACACACTCACTCTTATTTCTGTAGGTAGGTAGGTACCTACTTAATTTTCTATTTTTGAATACATTTTTGCAACTTTTTATTTTCTATTTTTATTATTTTTCAACTATGATATCCCAAATATTATTAATTAATTTAAAATATACATATTTAGTTGTTGCAAAAAATTATACCTACAAAGATAAGCAATTTTTTCTTCAATTACTGGCCAGACATAATTAATTTAATCAAAACAATACAATAAAATCACAGAGTTAAATGACTTTCTTTAATTCACTGGCATTAAAAATCTAATATAAAAAGTTTATTTATATTATTTTATACTTTTATAACGACTTCTTATGTTTGTTTTATAATGTTTAACACTCAAGTTGAGCATACAATCTTGACTATTTTCGGCCTTGTCTAGCAATTAACAAAATTAGTTCATCTATTAAAAACATATGTACAAAAATGATATTTTAGTTATTTCTTCACAATGATATTGCACTAATTTTGCTTGTTGAAGCGTAAGATATTAATTTGATAAGAAATGAATATTGATTTTTTGCCAGAGTTATCTCATATTTATCACGAGTACTTTTATCGCCTATAAAGCTTATATAAAGCTAAAATATTGTGCTCATAATCTCATTTTTAATAAAAGTAAACGAGGGATTAGAGCTAAGAGGCCTTATACTGCATTGTTGCCATTGTTGGTAGTAGTCCTAGTACAAAATTTGACTTTACAAACATAACCTCACAAAAGACTTCCAAATTAAAGTTATTTTTTTTTTTTGAAAATGTTTATTTTAATTAGTTTATAGTTTGTTTAACAATTTAGTTAAGTGACAAAATGGATTCGAGCAAAAAATACGACAACCCCAGCCCTGAAGAGTCTGCAATTTGGTTAAATAAACTATTTTTCTGGTAAGTTGTAACATAAAAATTCTTGGTGGTTTTCAGTTGCCTTTCCTTCTAATGAATATAGTTTATGTATGTATTGTACAGGGTGTTTTTTTATATATTGACACCTCACCTACAGCCTTTAAATTTACAGGTAGATGAAAGGTGTAAATACAAAAGTGGTACAGTATTGGCTAAATTTGTAAAATCCATGGTCAAAACACAAATTGAATGTCAGAAATGTGAAATATTGCATGCTTTCAGCTTTTTTCAAATGGGATGCGCTATATTTGGTTCTATATTCTTGAAGAACACAATTGTCCGATTCCAAAACTATATAAGTAGTTTGTCTATATTTGGTTGAGCCGTCTCCAACATATTTGGTTGGTTCTAAAAATTTTAAAAATACTATCAGAGAAACCAAGTACCTCAAATTTTACCTGCAGCTTGCACCTGTATAGGTAGAATGGTTCGCAAAATCAGTAGTAGGATAGTATTTTTACAATTTTTGGAGCCGAATATATAAGAGAGTGTTCAATCAAATATAGACAAACTATATATTTTTGGTATTGGGGCATTGTGCTCTTCAAGAATATAGAATGAACAGCACGAAGTATGCAAAATTGCACATTTCTGACATTCAAATTTTGTTTCTGACCATGGTTTCTAAAAATTCAGCCAAAAGTGACAATTCTCACGCATCAACATTCAGGTCGTTTAAAAGTGCGCTCCAGTTTTTATCAGTTTTTACCATTTAAACATTAAAATTAAAATTTGAATTTTATATCAAATTACTCAGGAAAAAAACAGTGATTCAATCAATATCCCAAATTGTTTGAGTGTAGCATAACAAATGTGAAATTTACATTACAAACGTTAAACAATATAATATAAAAGTGACGATAAAAAACATAAGTGATAAAAATATTAAGGAATTTATCATTCAGTCTCGAGTTAATTTATTTATCAGTTTTTTTGTGGCTGTAATTTTCAATAGTAAATATTTTGATCAACAGTAAATATTTGGATAGAGTGCGTATACAGTGTGATACAAAAATGTCTTGCTCAAAGTGCGATAAGGAAATGTCAGCAGAAGATGCATCTTATAAAATCATATGTGATATTTGCAGTAAGACGTATTGTCTAAGATGCTCTAAAATTACGAAATCTGAGGCATATGTAACCCGCCTTCAAGAGCGCACGATGATATTTTGCTGTAGAGCATGCAATTCTGATGATCTAACAAACTATATAAAAATCCAAAAATTGGTTAGGGGGGAGATTGAAAGATTCAACAAGCTATACACAAATACTCATTCGGAAATAATTAAAGCTGTGTCACAAGACCTGTCCAAAAATTTGTTGGAGGCTATAGCTACTCCAATTCAGGAAACTATGGATAAAAAAATGCAAGATTTTGCACGGATGGAAAACGAAATCAAGGTAACCTTAAGTAAGAAAACTATTGAAATCACAGAATTTTTCCAAAACTTCGAAGAGCAAACTAAACAAAATATTGAACAAACATTAATGGATAAATCAGTGCTTATTGCTGAATCCTTCACTAATATGAAAACAGAAATTATGTCTAACCATCAGGCTATATTTACACAAAAATCAAAGCAAGAGCAGGAGCTATGTGACAAAGTAACAAAGCTTGAAGGCCTTTTGGAATATTGTTTCAGTAAAATGGAAAAACTGGAAATATCGAACTTAAACTTGATCCAAAACAACCTATCTGAGACAAATCAAACAGCTAATAAATTTGTGAGTACTGATTCGCAACCAGTGACTCACATTGAGTCTAGACCACATGGGCGGCCCCAAGAAAATTTTGTGCCCCAAGTTAAAGGCGCTTTAAATGGTGGATCAGGTGATTTGGCTGCTCAGTATTGCTCAAAAATGTATGAGATAATAAATTTAGAGACGCAACCAGCCGCTTCCACTGCAACTAAAACTAATTCTGTCAAAAATAGCTTCGATGTTCCACCTAGATTCCAGTATAAATATAATCAAGAGGATCAGCGTGAAAAAGTGGGCAATAGGAACAATTTCAGGCAGGGATTTCACAAAAAGCGTGTGGTATGGTATATGGAAACAACAATACTAGCCAGGACCAAGTAGTATCTATGCTTAATCACTTTTTTGTCTCTGGGTTTACTCCCACTGCACAGGATGAAGAAGTCCTCAATTTCGTAAGACAAATTGACTCTAATGAAACATATGAGTGTGAAAAACTACAGTTAGGTAACAGTAACAGAGTTGGATCATTTAAAGTAGGTATCCCCTTCTACTTAAAAAATGATTTTCTAAACCCGAATCTTTGGCCAAAAGGTATTGTGGTGAGTGATTTTTTAGAGAAACCAGTAAGACATTAGATTACAATATATTTTATGCAAATTGTTCTAGCTTGATAAAGAATATTGATAACATTTCATTTGCTATTTATTGTCATAAACCATTAATAGTTTGTCTGTCAGAAACTTGTGTAATGCTCGTATTACATCTGTGTATTTTTCCGTGTATTTATTCATGTAGTTCAGGCTGCCAACATTATTTTGTTTTTCATAATGCTAATTTATGTTGCGTTTGAAGTTTTTCGGTTGTCACCTTGAACTACATGAATAAATACACGGAGAAATACACAGATGTAGTACGGGCATTACAGATGAGATTAATCAACATGAAATCTCGATTAACGGGTATGACATAGTACAATGCAATTCCACTAGCAGGCATACTGGTGGAACCATTATTTATATCAGGAATGACATACAGTATAGTGAGATTATGAATTTTTCACTTCAAATGAACACTTGGATTGTAGCGGTCAAAATAAAAATTAAAAATATTTGTTTTGTAATATGCGCACTGTATCGATCCCCAAGCGCTTCAATTCCTGAATTTCTGCAGGTTTTAGAGTCTAAATTTGAAGAGCTAGTATCGCAAAAATGTTTGTTAATCATACTTGGCGATTTTAAAGTTAATTCTATTTATAGCAGGCAAATAGGGAGTATTTTGGATTTTTTAGGCTTAAATCAGTTAGTTCAAGATTACACAAGAGTAACATTAAACAGTGCAACTTTAATTGACTACTTGATAACAAATGAAAACTCACTACAGCATTTAGTTTCTGATAGGCCGAAAGTATCGGACCATTCAAATATTTTAGTATCCCTGGACATAAATAAACCCAAAAATAATGCCAAAGAAGTAAATATAAGAAGAAACTTTTCAAATTTTCATAAAGATGACTTCAAACAATATTTGCTTACTTTGAATTGGTCATCAGGTAGTCAAGATATAAATATTTTAGCAGGTACTTTCACAAGAAATATTGTGGATGTGCTTAATGTTCACGCTCCATTTAAGGAAATTAATAATTTTAATAATTTTAAGCTAAGAGTTTGGTTCAGCTATGATCTTATGATGAGTTTACAATATAGAGATCAGTTATTTAGGTTAGCAAAGGAATCGGGAACTGAGGAACATTGGAACAACTACAAGATTGTGAGAAATGAAGTAACAACCAAATTGAGACATGAAACACGAAAATACTATGAGGAAAAAATTGATGATAATAAATATGACAGTAAAAATATGTGGAAAGCAATAAAGGAGTTAGTTTCAGGTAAAAAAGTTGAAAAAATATCTAAAATAAAATTTGAAGCTGTAATTTTGGAAAATGATCAGGAAATAGCAGATAATTTCAACACTTATTTTGTAAACAGCATTAGAGACTTAGTGAAATCAACAAAAAATGTAAAGGGTTTAGATTTTGTGTTGGAAAGAATGTCACAAATTGGTTGTTCCTTCGACAGCTTTCATTCAGTTGACTGGGAAATGTTATCCTTGAAAGTTTTAGGCATGGGGAAGGGCTCCAGTGATCAAGACGGAATCGACTTGAACACGCTTTAATTAGCTCTTGATATTGCAGGAGAATTTTTCCTAGATTTGATAAATACATCTCTATCACAGGGAGTTTTTCCTGATGCCTGGAAATCGAAAAGGTCCCAAAATCAATACTTTGTTCAGAGCATAGGCCCATAAACACATTACCAGTTTATGAAAAGGTTTTGGAATTGCTGGTGAAAGATCAGCTGCTTCATTATTTGGATAGAAATAATATTTTGGTAGAGCAACAATCAAGATACAGACAAAAACATTCATGCGAAACGGCTTTGCAGTTTTTGATATCAGGTTGGAAATCTCAAATACAGAAGAAAAAAGTCATTGGTGTAGTATTTTTGGATCTCAGTAGAGCTTTTGAGACAGTAAACATTGATCTTTTGTTACTAAAACTGGCAAAGTATGGTATTCACTAAAATGGTTCAAAGAATACTTAAGTGAGAGATTTCAGAAGGTTAAATTTAAAAATGCCAATTCCAATAGCATAGGCATAGATCAAGGGGTTCCTCAGGGTTCAGTATTGGGACCTATTCTTTTCCTGTTGTTCATCAATGATATAGTTCTTCATGTCAAACATTGTCAAATAAAATTATTCGCAGATGACACTTTGCTTTATTTTGTCTGTGATATTGATGAAATAACATTAATGGAAAAACTGTTAAACAAAGATCTTGAAAATATTGATGTGTGGCTCATAGAAAATGGTTTAAAACTAAATGTTGCAAAGACGAAATTCATGATTCTTGGTTCTAAACATTGCCTTAATCAAGTTCAAAGACAAAGTACTAATGCAGCAGTAAAAATAATTATGAATAACGATATCTTAGAACAGGTTAAATCTTTCAAATATTTGGGTGTAATGCTGGATCCCGAACTTAATCTATCCTTGCACTGTGATTACATAAAAAAGAAAATAGCAAAAAAAGTAGGTTTTATTTACAGATTGAATAACAAGATTTCACTTTTCGCTAAACTCACAATTTTTAAGTCAATAATTGCTCCTCATTTCGAATATTGCGGTACATTGTATCATTATCTAAGTTTGACTCAAAGAGACATGCTACAAAAACTGCAAAATCGTTACATGAGAGCAATATTACTTTGTAACAAAAGAACACCAATAAAATCCATGCTGGAGAAATTAGACCTTATGAATGTACAACAAAGATCTACTTACATAATGCTAAATTTTGTTTTCAAACTAAAACATAATATGTTACCATCATATTTATCTGATGAAGTTACTTATGTGCGAGATGTTCATTCATACCAAACGCGATCCAGTGTGGTAAATAATTTTTACATTAGTGATTTTCAGAGTGACACTTTGTTTAGTGTAGGCTTAAGAATGTTTAACAGTATACCCGCAGAATTGAAGCAATGTGACTCCTACTCTAGATTTAAGACTGAATGTAAAAAATATGTAAGAACTTTATAGACTTTGTTGAATACTTTTCCAGACATTCCATGTTGGGTATATACCTACTGGTTTAAAATATTTCATAAAATCATTTTGTAAGAGCTTTTTATTACTAACAAAGTCTTTGATATAATTGTACAGGGTGGTTGATTTTCGATAGTTTGATAGGGTACAGCCAAAATGGCCGAAGATACTAAGAAACTGATATACGCTTCCCGTCCTCTTTTTTAGTGTGTCATTTGATGGTGTAGTCAGATCTTGGCCGACAATATTGGTTTGCGAGGTACAGGGTGTTTTTCAAAATCAGCTGTTTTTTATAATCCTCTATAACTTCTTACCCTACGGAGATATAGAAAAAGTGCAAAAAGGAAAAATACGTCTTTTTTTACGTAGAATCCAGTGGCGTACTTAGAAAAAAATATGGGAGCTTTATCTTCTGAGATATTCGAAAAAACAAAGATTTTTCAAATGGAACACCCTCTATCTTATTGGTTCAGTATTTTGAGAAAAAAAATGCGAGTTCAACGATACATAACACATGATATTTTGTTTTAGTCTAAATGGCGAAAGCAACAAAAAACACTTTTTTCTACTACCGTGCGTAAAGTACTCACTTTATGAACTATTCAGAATACGTAAAATTTCACTTCACGCAAAAGTGTGTAAAGTAATTCACTTCACACACTAGTGCGTGAAGTAATGTCAATGACAGATGTCGACACTGTCAATTTAGTATTTTTCTGGTAAATTGAACCCTATGCTGGAACAACGTTTCAAACGCCAAATATACCAAACAAGCGCGAAACTAGGGCGGTTGCAATTAAAACGTTATTGCACAAAAAGGACATACTGGGCCAATTGAAATGGCATCAACACTTCATAAAAAAAAAATCATATTATCCCACTATTAAGTTGGCGAATTATCCAGGGTACAATACAACGTTATCCCATGAAAATACCGTTCTTACACATTGTCGTTTACAACGTTGTTCCAGCATAGGGTTCAATTACTTCACGCTCCAGTGCGTAAAGTGAAAATATTTTCCGCACTAGTGCGTAAAGTACCTATGTATTTGTCTAAATTTATTTTTTTACACATATTTGATTGGTAGTAAAAAAAATTTTGTATGCAATACGTGCGTCTAGCACCTTTTTTTACGAATGTGAATTATGACGCACGAGCCGAAGGCGAGTTCGACAATCACATTTTACGCACTTGTTGCATAAATAACTATTTCAGGGAAAAATTAGAAACAAAAAAAAAATCTAGAATTTTCGAATTTTCAAATTTTCAAAGCAAAAAAAAATCTGGGATTGAATTTTTGGAAACTTAAAAAAAAAAAAAAATCTGGATGAATTTTTGAAAAAAAAATTCTGGATTTTTTTTTTCAAAACATGAAAAATTCTGGAATTTTCTTTCAAAAAATAAAAAAAAATTCTTTTTCAAAAAAAAAAAAAAATTGCAATGTTTCTTTCAGGGAAAAGAGCTGAAATTTAATTTCTGGAAAAATTTGGATAAAAAAATTCCGAATGCTTTTTTGAAGGAAAAATCACAAATTAATTTCTAAAACTTTCAAAAAAATTCTGGAATTTCCTTTGAAAAAACAATTTTGGAAAAACAAAATTCTGGAATTTTCTTCCAGGAAAAAAAAAAATTGGAATTTTATTTCGGAAAATTTTGAGAAAAGAAAAATTTCAGATTTTTTTTTGAAATTATTCCGGAAGGAAAATTCCGGAATTTTTCTTTTTCGAAATTTATCCTTCAAAAAAGCATCCAAAATTTTAGTTCAAAAATACATATTCCTGAAATAAAATTCCAGATTTTTATTTTCTTTTTGTCAATTTTTTCCTGAGAGAAAATTCTATTTTTTTTTTCAATTTTTAAAAGAAAATTCCTGATACACTAGTGCTAAAAGTAATCACTTTTAACACCAGTGTCATAAAAAGGCATTTTAGACACTGACAGCATCCGTTAAAAATGGCACTTTTAGTGACGTTTGTAGAAAAAAGTGTTTTTTGTTGTTTTCGCCATTTAGGCCAAAACAAAATATCATATGTTATATATCGTCGAACTCGCAATTTTTTTCTCAAACTACTGAACCAAGAAGATACAGGGTTTTCCATTTGAAAAATTTTTGTTTTTTCAAATATCTCAGAAGATAAAGCCCCCATATTTTTTCTAAGTACGCCACTGGATTCTACTTTAAAAAAAACGTATTTTTCTTTTTTGCACTTTTTCTATATCTCCGTTGGGTAAGAAGTTATAGAGGATTATAAAAAACAGCTGATTTTGAAAAACACCCTGTACCTCGCAAACCAATATTGTCGGCCAAGATCTGACTACACCATCAAATGACACACTAAAAAAGAGCACGGGAAGCGTATATCAGTTTCTCAGTATCTTCGGCCATTTTGGCTGTACCCTATCAAACTATCGAAAATCAACCACCCTGTACAACTTTTGTATTTACACCTTTTTTCTACCTGTAAAGGTAAAGACTGTAGGTGGGGTGTCAATATATAAAAAACACCCTGTACTTTATATCGAGCCAAATTTTATAGTAGACAAAAAAAAAAAAACTTAAATATAGTAGTTTCTTCAATTTCCCCCCAATTTTATAATTTACTTTAGATAAAAATTATTTAAAACTTATCATCTTAAAAATCCTTATTCTTTTGGTAAATTAAAAAATCAGCCAAATCAGTTCAACCAAAGTTTTGAAAGACCCATTTATTCCTATGTGAAGCACTTCTTTCAAATATTTTTCACCAAAGAATTCCTTTTAGTTTCTTAGTTTTTAAATGTTGAAAGTTGCAGACACTAGAAATACAAAATTTAATTTACTTACTTTTTCATTCATTTAAGTATGTTTTTTAAATTCAATTTTCATCAATCAGTTCAAAAAATGAATACACTAAATTAACAATAATCCTATTTTAACTGTTACGTTCCTGTTTGAATAAGATAAAGTTGTTAAACATTCATAGGAAATAGGTACATGTTCATATATTATATATTTTAAATTTGAATTATTTGAGTCAGTACATTCTGAGGGGTAAATTGCAGAAAAATATTTTGTTCATCTTCTAATAATTTTCAATCTCTTTCAAGGATTTTCTAATTGTGTTATTGTATTAGAAAATATATTTTTAAAGTTTTCAAATTTTTGATTCTACCCAATGAAGGACTTTTAGTGGAATTTTTGCACTTTTTTTCTTGAATTTTGAGTTTAATTAATGTCAGTATTTTCCAATTTCAAATTGATCCATTCACTGGGAAACTTCCAATCTAAAACTTCAAACACAATAAGTTTTTTGAATTAAGATATTGGCCTGTAAACTTTCCTAATTTCAATCTTATCTTAATAAAGTTAAGCTCAAATTAAAGCCAATTAAAACCTTCACAAATCTCTATTTCAAGATTTCAATACAGCTTCAATACTTGCAACTGGGAGTTTCGAAAAAAAGGAATTTCCAATTTCTTTTTAATTTACAATACTTTCCTGTCTCGTCTTTCAAATTCTTCACTGAAAAGATAAATAAAAAGTGCCTCTATGTAATTTTTTCCAAACGCACATTTTGTCCTCACAACTTCGTTAATTTCAATCCAATCTGAACGTTATTAGGCACAAATAAAAACCAATCAAACCTTCTACAAGAAGAAAATACCAATATTATACAATACATCCAAGATAAGGAGGGCCAGTATGGGGATCTTGAAAACAGTGAAAAATATGACGTTGGTCAAATCAGGAAATTCTGTGCTCATTAAAATACCGCTCTGATAATATAAAAATTCCGAGAGATTCTGGAGATATCTGAAAAAACCCAAAATTCGCCCAAAACTATTTCATTTTTTCCTGATCTTATTTGACGAAATATTTCAAAATAAATCATTATTGCCACTTTTCCTCCTCTACACTATGGCATTATCAAATTTGTAATCCCACGTTTTGTCTTTGACCACCATATCATCAGATCCCCATACTGGCCCTGCTAATCTTGGACACATTGTATAAAGGCGGTTTCTTCAAAGCAAAATTTCACTCAACCAATTCAATTCAATTATGAGATAACCCCATTAACAGTCTTAAACAAATAAGATTGTCATGCAAAACAATCAGAACCCTTGCCAAAACTAAACACTTAATTAATCCTTAATCAATAAGCTATATTAAATATAAGACACAAGTGATTTGATTGCATTGACTTTCAAATGCTTTTAAAGATAAATCGATTCTCGAGTACCAATCCATGGCTGAATTTAAGCAATCATTTCTATGGTGCAAGCGAATATCTTAAAGATAACTGAAATTATGTCTTTTATTTCAATGACTCAACATTTATTTATTTAAACAATAGTTTTGATAATACTGTTCGAAATAATCCATCAACAACTGTCAGTAATGCTTATTAAACAAAAAATGTGTTACAATTTTATAGAAATAAATCTCATATTTTTCTTGATACTTTATTAACTTGTACAATTTTTTTTAGCTGGGTACTACCTTTTTTCAAAATAGGCTACAACAAAGATCTCCAAACTAAAGATATTTACAATACAACTAAAAAAGACTTATCAGGACCCCTAGGAGATATTTTAGAGAGGTAATTACCAGATTTTTTTTTAATGAATTTGTTTATTAATACATACCCACAATTTATTTTTCAGAAATTGGAACAAAGAAGTATCAAGAACACAAAAAACCAAAGAAAGTCCCAGCCTGAAACGAGCAATATGGAAAAGTTTTGGAAAAATGTACATGCTTTACGGAGTGTTATTGTTCCTGAATGCCTTATTTATCAAGTGAGTAATAACTAATTAATTAATAACCATCTAATAAAAATTCTCTCCAGGATGACACTGCCAATAGTCCTTGGCTTTTACATAAGATTCTTTGAAAAAACTTCAACACAAAGTCCAACCACTGGCTGGCTACTAGCCTGTGGAGTTATAGGAATGGCCTTTATCAATTGCTGCATTATACATCATTCTAATATGAACAATAGCCGAATTGGAATGAGAATTAGAATTGCTTGTTCTTCACTTATATACCGCAAAGTAAGAATTCTCTATGAACCTAATTATTAAGATTGTTTTGTAGCTAAGAAGTTTCAAAATTACCATTATCGAAAATTGAAAATTTTCCAAAAATGTCACCGAGATAGTTTTTGCCTCACAGCTTCTTTAATTTTTATCCGATTTCAACGCAATTAGGCTCAAATTAAAGCCAATTAAATTCTCTACAAACTTCAATTACAATTTTTCAATTCCCAATATTTTACTAACCATTTTTTGTAGCTTTTAAGATTGAATCATCTATCACTCGGCCAAACAGCAGCAGGTCAACTAGTAAACCTACTATCAAACGACGTGGCTAGATTTGACGCTGCAATGCTATATTTGCATTACATCTGGATAATGCCCATTGCAGCTTTGGTAGGGACTTATGTAATGTACAGTTACATTGGAATGGCTGCCTTTATTACTATGGCAGTGATGGCATTGCAAGCGATATTTGGACAAGGTTACCTGAGCAAATTGCAAGGGAAATATAGGGGACAAATTGCACAGTTGACTGATCAAAGAGTTAAGTTGATGAGTGAAATTACTAGTGGGATTCAGGTTATTAAAATGTATGCTTGGGAGAAGCCTTTTGAAACTATGGTGGCTTTTTCTAGAAGGTAATAATTAAAATATTATAAAATATAATTAACATTATTTTATTTTTTTATAGAAAAGAAGTAAAAGTCATTGCAAAAACTTCCCACATAAAAGGATTTTCTGCAGCACTGAATGTGTTTGTCGAAAGGGCCACTCTTTACATAGCTGTGATATCTTATGTATTATTAGATAATAGAATTACGGGCGAAGTTGTTTTTTCTGTAGCCCAATTGCTAAACACCATTCAGTTTTACATGTCGATTGTTTTTCCAATGGCTCAATCGGCTTATGAGGAAGCCAAAGTATCAATTAGAAGAATTGAAGAGTTTTTACTTATGGAGGAAAATCCAGCTTTAGAGTATTCAGATGGTAATTATACATATGTATTTGTATACAAAAGAATAAAGAACATTCAAAGGTGTGGAATAGAAAAATAAAAATGATCATTTTTTTTTTTTTGTTTTGGGTCAATTTTTGATTATTCCAGGCTTTTGAATTTTACATTTTCTTGTAAATTTCTTTTTATAAGAGAGTATTGCTCGGTAACGGTCGAACAAATTGCATTGAAATTTTCGGCATTTGTAGCTCTTATGAAGCTCTATAAACCCGGTAATTTACAATATTCCTAGGTTTATAGTTTTTGAGCAAATTGAGTTTGAAGTTTTTAATCAATTTTGATTAAAAATTAACTTTGAGGCTCAATTGCGCAAAAACTATTTGAGCTTTCAAACTCAATTTTGCACAGATTTATAGAGAATTTATTGCTCTTCAAGGTGGTATATAATATATTCCAATTTGCTAAAAATTTACCAAAGATATGGGCAATTTCTCAAGACATGTCAAGATTTTAAAAAATTTCCAGAGCCAAAAATAAGATTTCCTTTATATTTTTGTTTTTGCTCAAAATAGCCATTTGCAAATGATGTCAGAGTTGTTTTCCAATTTTGACCCGCTCTATCGATTGGTAAAGTCAAAATTGAGCAAAAGTGAAAAATAAAAAAAATCGAGTTTTTTATAAGAGATACATTTGTTTGAACTTTAATTCCAAAATCTTCAAAACTCAATTGCTCAGTAACCACTGGGCAAATTGCATTGAAATTTTCTGTATTTGAAGGTCTTATTCAGCTCTAAATACCTGGTAATTTACAATATTCCTAGGTTTATATTTTTTGAGCAAATTGAGTTTGAAGTTTTTGACACAATTTTGATTAAAAATTAACTTTGAGGCTCAATTGCGCAAAAACTATTTGAGCTTTCAAACTCAATTTTGCACAGATTTATAGAGAATTTATTGCTCTTCAAGGTGGTATATAATATATTCCAATTTGCTAAAAATTTACCAAAGATATGGGCAATTTCTCAAGACATGTCAAGATTTTAAAAAATTTCCAGAGCCAAAAATAAGATTTCCTTTATATTTTTGTTTTTGCTCAAAATAGCCATTTGCAAATGATGTCAGAGTTGTTTTCCAATTTTGACCCGCTCTATCGATTGGTAAAGTCAAAATTGAGCAAAAGTGAAAAATAAAAAAAATCGAGTTTTTTATAAGAGATACATTTGTTTGAACTTTAATTCCAAAATCTTCAAAACTCAATTGCTCAGTAACCACTGGGCAAATTGCATTGAAATTTTCTGTATTTGAAGGTCTTATTCAGCTCTAAATACCTGGTAATTTACAATATTCCTAGGTTTATATTTTTTGAGCAAATTGAGTTTGAAGTTTTTGACACAATTTTGATTAAAAATTAACTTTGAGGCTCAATTGCGCAAAAACTATTTGAGCTTTCAAACTCAATTTTGCACAGATTTATAGAGAATTTATTGCTCTTCAAGGTGGTATATAATATATTCCAATTTGCTAAAAATTTACCAAAGATATGGGCAATTTCTCAAGACATGTCAAGATTTTAAAAAATTTCCAGAGCCAAAAATAAGATTTCCTTTATATTTTTGTTTTTGCTCAAAATCGCCATTTGCAAATGATGTCAGGGTTGTTTTCCACTAATTTTGACCCGCTCTATCGATGGTAAAGTCAAAATTGAGCAAAAGTGAAAAATAAAAAAAATCGATTTTTTTATAAGGGATCCCTTCGAACTTTAATTCCAAAATCTTCAAACCTCAATTGCTCGGTAACCATTGGGCAAATTGCATTGAAATTTTCTCTATTTGAAGGTCTTAATCAGCTTTAAATATCCGGTAAATCACAATATTCTTAGCTTTATAGTTTTTGAATAAATTGAGTTTGAAGTTTTTGACAAAATTTGGATTAAATTCAATTTTGAGGCTCAATTACTCAAAAACCATTTGAGCTTTCAAGCTCAATTTTGCAAAGATTTATAGGGAATTTAATGCTCTTTCAGACGGTATATCATTTATTCCAATTTTCTCAAAATTTACCAAAGATATGGGAAATTGCTCAAGACATGTCAAGATTTTGAAAATTTTCCAGAGCCAAAAATAAGATTTCCTTTATATTTTTGTTTTTGCTCAAAATAGCCATTTGCAAATGATGTCAGAGTTGTTTTCCAATTTTGACCCGCTCTATCGATTGGTAAAGTCAAAATTGAGCAAAAGTGAAAAATAAAAAAAATCGAGTTTTTTATAAGAGATACATTTGTTTGAACTTTAATTCCAAAATCTTCAAAACTCAATTGCTCAGTAACCACTGGGCAAATTGCATTGAAATTTTCTGTATTTGAAGGTCTTATTCAGCTCTAAATACCTGGTAATTTACAATATTCCTAGGTTTATATTTTTTGAGCAAATTGAGTTTGAAGTTTTTGACACAATTTTGATTAAAAATTAACTTTGAGGCTCAATTGCGCAAAAACTATTTGAGCTTTTAAACTCAATTTTGCACAGATTTATAGAGAATTTATTGCTCTTTAAGGTGGTATATAATTTATTCCAATTTGCTCGAAATCTAACAAAGATAAGGGTAATTGCTCAAGACATGTCAAGATTTTGAAAATTTTATAGAGCCAAAAATAAGATTTCCTTTTTATTTTTGTTTTTGCTCAAGATGGTCATTTGCAAATGATGTTAGGGTTGTTTTCCACTAATTTTGACCCACTCTATCGATTGGTGAAGTCAAATTTGAGCCAAACTGAAAAAATAAAAAAAATCGAGTTTTTCATAAGAGAATTCTTATTTCAAAATATTCAAACCCCAATTGCTGGGTAACCATCGAGCAAATTTCATTGAAATTTTCAACATTTGTAGCTCTTATCACGCTCTAAAAGACCTGTAATTTACAATATTTCCAGGTTTATAATTTTTGAGAAAATTGAGTTTGAAGTTTTTTACAAAATTTGGATTAGAAATCATCTTTGAGGCTCAATTGCTCAAAAACTATTTGACCTTTCAAACTCAATTTTCCACGGATTTATAGGGAATTTAATTCTCTTTCCAATGGTATATAATCTATACAGGTACTTTCGTAATGTAGGTACTTGTGTCGGCTCTGACCCTAGGTTGTGAATAAAGTTACTTTTAAATGTATGGCTTAGAGTACAAAGAAATTATTTTATTTGTTTCAATTTCTAGTCGAATCTCCAAAAACAAGCATCAAACTAACAAAGGCCCGTGCTAGCTGGCTATCCAATCCTATAGCCCACACTCTAGTCGACATAGACTTAGAAATTGCACCTGGAACTTTGTGCTGTGTAGTTGGTTCTGTGGGTTCAGGAAAAAGCTCTCTGTTACAAGTAAATATAAGTCAATATATATTTTGCTGTTACATAATTCCAACCAATTTTAGGTAATTTTAAAAGAACTTCCTTTAAATATGGGCCGATTAGAAGCACCTGGCAGGATATCTTATGCTGCACAAGAACCGTGGTTGTTCACCTCAAATGTTAGACAGAATATTCTATTTGGAATGCCTTACATTAAAGATCGGTATAAAGAAGTTGTAAAGGTTTGCGCTCTCCAAAGAGACTTTGAAGAATTACCATTCGGCGACAAAACTCAAGTAGGAGAAAAAGGGGCTGCTTTAAGTGGAGGTCAAAGGGCTAGAGTTGCTCTTGCCCGAGCTGTTTATAGAGATGCTGATGCCTATTTACTGGATGATCCTCTTAGTGCTGTTGATGCTCACGTAGCAAAGCATTTATTCGAGGAATGCTTGCAAAAATATTTATGCAACAAAATAAGGGTTTTGGTGACACATCAAGTACAGTTTTTGAAAGGGGCCGATTTGATTATTGTAATGAATAATGGGAAAATAGACAAGATTGGCAAGTTTAGTGATTTGGAAAAGGATGTGGCTGCTTTGTCCAAGGAAGTTGAGCAAGATAAGGAAGCTAAAGAGAAGGAGGACGCAGTTATTGAGAAAGTCACTAGTGTGAAGAATAATAGGGAAAGATTGAAGTCTATTTCTTCAGTTATTGTAAGTGAAATTTATTGTTTTATTCATGAATAATTTATTTTTTATTTTTAGAGTATGGTTGGTTCAGAACCTGATGAAACTCAAGAACTTCTTGAAAAAGGTTCTATACCGACCTCAACTTATGTACAGTATTACAGAGCGGGTGCTCCTTATATCCTTTTAATAGGCTTGGTGATTTTACTTATTATAGCACAAGTTATGTGCAATGCCTCAGATATGTGGGTAACATATTGGACAAATAAAGAAGAATTTAGATATTTACAAGAACAAAAATCAATTAATGCCATAGGAACAACTTTGCCAACTTTATTGAACAGCACATTGAGTGATTTATATGACAATATAACTAGCCCTATTGTATTAACAGACAAAAGTCCAAATGACCAATTATTTTCTCGGGATACCTATATTATAATCTATACAATTATAATTATTATAGCTGTGATTTTGACTAGTGCTAGGTAAGAATTTTATTCAAACTGTTTTTGTTAGTTACAAATTATTTCTAGGTCTGCAGCCTTCTATAAAATTTGTATGAACGCTTCCGAAAGACTTCACAACATAATGTTTGCAAATATTTTGAAAGCTCCAATGGCATTTTTCGATGCCAATCCTTCAGGAAGAATTTTAAATAGATTTTCAAAAGACATGGGAGCCGTTGACGAGATTTTACCAAAATGCACTTTAGATTCTCTACAGGTGTTTTTGGTAATGGCTGGAATCTTGGGAATGGTTTTCATTGTCAGTCCCTGGATGATAATTCCAGCTGCAGGATTGGGATTTTTGTTCATCTATTGCCGGAACGTGTACTTGGCTTCGGCTCAAGATATAAAAAGGTTAGAAGGTTTGACCAAAGCACCAGTATTTTCACATATATCGGCAAGCCTTTATGGATTGCCTAGTATCCGGTCTTTTAAGGCGCAAAGTTTGATTATTAGAGAATTTGATGCTTTACAGGTAAGAGCTTCTGGCTATTTTGGAAAGAAGGTATTTCAAAATTATTTTTCAGGATCAACACACTGCTACTTGGTGTCTGTTTCTACTTACCAGTGAAACTTTGGGTTTTTACTTGGACACCATCAGTGCACTGTTTTTGGCCCTTGTGACTTTCCAGTTTTTGCTGTTTCGAGACGAAAATACCGTCAGTGGAGATGTAGGCCTTGTGATTGCTCAAAGCTTGATTTTAACAGGTAATTTTTGCAGAATACTTTCTTTTTTTTTGCCAAAAAAATGACACTGAGACAGTTTTTGCCTCACAGCTTTGTTATTTTGCATCCGATTTCAATGAGTAAAAACATCCGCAATTTTAATTGTAAGTTTCATGTCGACTCCCAATTTGTTTGGTATTATGAGAAAACTCTTATTAATAAATCCTGAAAGTCTCAAATTGGTGGGATGGCTCAAAGTATTTTTCAGGAACCTTTAAAGACGATTTTACAGGAATTTTCCCATTTTCTCAGGTATCAATGAGTAGTAGTATCAACTTTAGTTGTGAGTTTCATATCAACTTCCCTTCCAATTTGTTTTGTATCATGAGAAAACTCTAATGAATAAATCCTGAAATTGTTGGGATGGCTCAAAGTATTTTTCAGGAACTTTCAAAGACGATTTACAGGAAGCTCTAATTAAAGCCTATTAAATTCTCTACAAATCTAATAATTAAGATTTCTATCTCTCTAAAACATAATTACTTATATATTTTCTTATAAAACAATTCTTCCACAGGTATGCTTCAGTATGGTGTCCGTCAATCAGCAGAAGTATCCTCAAACATGACCAGTGTAGAACGAGTACTCCAGTACACGAAACTAGAAGAAGAAGGTCCCTGGGAACCGCTACCGGCCGACAAACCTCCTCTAGATTGGCCGAAGCAAGGACAAGTCAATTTCAAACATGCCTACTTAAGATATTCTCCAGATGCACCTCCATCTATTAAAAATCTCACTGTGGAAATAAAAGCTGGTGAAAAAGTCGGAATTGTTGGTAGAACAGGCGCAGGCAAGTCTTCATTGGTTGCCACTCTATTTCGTTTGGCTCCAATTGAGGGTAGCATAGAAATAGATGGACTGGACACCGGTGTTGTAGGACTTAAATCCCTCAGGTCATCGATTTCGATTATTCCTCAGGTACCGACTCTGTTTTCTGCTAGTTTAAGATACAATTTGGATCCTTTTGGAAAAAGTACTGACGAACAATTATGGAAAGCTTTAGAGCAAGTTGAATTGAAACAAGGTGGTGCTACATTAGATAGTGCTGTAAGTGAAGGGGGTGCTAACTTTAGTGCTGGCCAAAGACAGCTAATTTGTTTAGCCAGAGCTATTGTTAGAAACAACAAAGTACTGGTTATGGATGAGGCAACTGCAAATGTAGATCAACATACTGATTCATTAATCCAAACCACCATAAGAGAAGCTTTCAAAGATTGCACAGTGATTACTATAGCACACAGATTGAATACTATAATTGATTGTGATAAGGTTTTGGTAATGGACCATGGTGAAGCTGTAGAATTTGCTCCTCCAAATGAACTATTGAAAAAAAGAAACGGACATTTTACTAAAATGGTTGAACAAACTGGACCAGCAATGGAAGCTAAATTGAGGAAAACTGCTAAGGAAGCTTATGATAAAGCTTGGGCTCATATTAATGGACATGGCCAGGAAGAGTTAGACGATTGATTGGTATTTACAAATAAGATATTTTTGTAATCGTTACTAGTCAAAAAAAAATAATACATACAACCTTATGTAACAAATCTACTTAAATTTTGGTGCTTAATCATGCCTTATTTTTAATACAATTTCAGGATTAAGTACTTAAGATTGATAATAATTATACTACTTAATTGCGACAATAATAGTTAATACTTAATAATTTTTTCATGACTTAATGAACAATAGGATTAAGTTCTTTTTGACAAATTTTACTTAGCATCTAAGGTATAGGAGTTTAATGATATATTTTTTTTGATAACATTTTGAATTATGTATTTATTTGTCTTATTTAATAAATAATGTTGGAAAATAATTGACTTGGTGATTGTGACTCAATTACAATAAATGTACATCACCACTTTTAACTAAATTCGCTACATTATTATAACAAATCAAAATTCTCGATCCAGTACTTAAATCAGTAATATCATTGCTTTCGTCCACCAAAATGCCTTCAATATCCTTTTTGGCTTTCAAAAAAACTATGCTGCGCATGTTTGGTTTGACGATAAGGGCTTCCTCGTTCATAACAGTGGGGCAAAAACTCATCACAGATTCAAAGTGTTGGTTTAGATCTAAAATTCATGAATTAATGTACATTTTTTTCTTATAACAAATAATTACTTTCTTCATATTCTTGAGCAAACTCCAATTCGTTTTGGCTCAAATACAAATTCTCATTGTTGGTCACTCTGAGTCGTTCTTGTTGCAAAATGTGTTTGGAAAAAGTTTCGATTTTTTCCAATCGCATCCTCAAGTAACTGGTAACCAAAAATTTCAGCCTGTTGATTTCCTTTTGGTAAAAGGCCCTTTTGAAATCGAGGCTGTCTAGGTGCTGTACTTTTTGGTCCATGTGGCCTATTTGGCCAAGGAGTATTTCAACGATTTCTCGTTTGTTTGGTAGGATTTCTGGAGCGAATTTTTCGTTGAGCCACGCTTCTTCCATTATTTCGATTACTTGTTCTAAAGATAATTCGGCCTGAGAAAAATACAAACTTTTTATACGCCACAAAAATTATAAGGTAAGAAAATATCTTTTTCCTGCTGAATAGGGTCAGAGATGAGGATCTTTCATAATTACAAAAGTTTTGTGACAAAATTAAAGTTATGGTCACTGCTGCTACTCTACAGTTTCAAAGGAAAGTATTGTCAACTAGCTGTTTGGGAAAGGAGGACCCGGTATTCAACCTTATTAATTTAATTGCCGATTCGATCGAATGTTTATTGCAATTCAGCAATAAATTGATATAAATTGCGCTGCAAGCCGCAGCAAAGGCAGACTTAAACCAGTGCAAGTAACTCTCGTTGGAAAAGCCCCTCTGGAATTAAGTCTCCCCAGTGCAAGTACCTCTCGTTGGGAAAGCACCTCTGGGTATCTTCAGCCTTATCGTTGTCTAGTGCAATTATCTCTCGTTGGGAACGCCCCTCTGGACAAGGCATAAGGGTGACGATAAACTAATCTACAGTCCTCCAAGCAGCATTGACGTGTGGCTCCCTATAAGGACCCCAGTGTTCGAAGGGTCATGTATCTTATAGGATTAGCGTACATGTAAGGTTATATTTGGGAAAATATATATCTATATTTTTATATAACCTGAGCGAGTTTCTCTCCATCAACCCCAAAAGCTACAAACCCCCCATGTCACCCCCGTAAAGCGGGTAGTTGTGACAGTATCACAAAACCACAAGAAAAAAGATGGAAAAATCGAAAAATCATTGAGTACATTCAGGAGGTGCCAACAACTAAATTCAGCCAGCTCAGATTCTGTCTTCGTCGTCCGTATTCATATTTCCATAACACTGCCAATGACAGAGTATTCGTTCTCATGATAACGCTGTTCCTCGGTTTCGAGAATAAAGTCCCTGCTGAGTGACTGAGCTTAGCCACTAGCACCGCCTGAATGTACCCATTAATTTTTCGACAGGATATCTTCAGGTGACTACAATTTTTCCATAGAATCCTGCTCCAAATCTCAGAATAATTTAGTGTATGAAGTTTGGGGGGTCCTGAATTATCATTTAGACACAAAATCTCAACAGTTTTATGATTTTAGTACTGAGGTAACTACCTTATGGTTTAGATTTTTGAAAACTTAAATAGTATATCACATACCGAGTAGGAAAGTGTTTCATTACTGTCGAGAGATTTATATAGTCAATCAAGACGCGAAGCGTCGAGATTGACTATTAATCTCAAGACAGAAATGAAAAATTTCCTCCGAGGTTTGTATACTATTTTATTTGCAAGCACACCATTAATTAGGATTATTCATTTAATTTATTTACGACTAATGTATAATGTGCGTATTATATTTGTGATTTTGGCAGTATAATGACATATGTTATTCCTCCAGGGATTAATGACGAGTAGCGGGATTAATGGTCATTATTCCACAAAAGTGTCACTGTCAAACGTGTAGTGCTTGTGGATTTGTATTGAAATGGATGAAATTTGCTATTAAAAATCTCAAATAAAATAATTTGTCGTAAATAAAGTAGAGTATACTACTCGCAATAATGGCTATTATTCCCTCGGAATGTTACTCCCTCGCCGCTAACGCGGCTCAGTTCGTAATAATCCTCGGGAATAATAGCTATCATTATTGACTCGTGGTATAATCTACTATTTTTTAATAATAAAAAAATAAAACAAACATTTCAAAATCTGTCATTCACTGTTTTGACGTTTTCACCTGACAGGTTTTCATTGTTCCCAGCAAAGGTAAATAAATTAGAGTGAAGGAAATCGGTGAGGGAAATCGAAGAGGGAAGTGACACAGGTAAAGTGACACTTCCAATTTTTTAAAAAGTCAGTAATGTCAAGATTACATTTATGATTGCAAATAAAAAATCATAACTTTTCTTCTATTAGAGATAGAAAGTTGGAATTTTCAGTGATTCTTACCATACTAGAGGAATACAATTCCTGAAAATTTCAGCTCATTTGGACTTGTAGTTCCAGAAATAAAATCGCATTAAGCACTTTGGGGTGAATTTATCAATTTTTCAGTTTTCTGAGTGCCCTTTTTCATAGAATCCAGCTTCAAATCTCAGAATAATGTAAGGGATGGAGTTTGGGGGGTCCCGAATGATCTTTTAGACACAAAATCTCATAATAAAAAAAATTGAAATTTGATCATTTTGCTACTAAGGTACTTAGTACTTACTTATGATTTAGATTTTTGTAAACTTTAAAAAATCATAATTTTTTTTCTATTAGAGATAGAAAACTGAAATTTCTTTCTGGGATTCTTATTGTACTAGAGGACTACAATCCCTGGAAATTTCAGGTCATTTGGACTTGTAGTTCCAGAAAGCGTTAAGCAATTTGGGGTAAATTTATCAATAATTTAATTTTTCTGAGAGATTTTTTTCATGGATTTCAGCTTCAAATCTCAAAATAATTTAGTGTAAGTATATAAAGTCTGCCCAGCGACTGTGTGTCTACGGGGCAACGGTGAGGGGAATGCAGTTGTAGAAAAAAATGGCTGATTTCATTCATAAAATACCCAGCAGCGTGCGGAACTTTTTGGAAGTGTTATCGTATTGCAACTCATACACGAAAATCGACAATGACCAAACCTCCGCCACTGGATATTTCGATATAGATCGATATTCCAAGATGGGAGGATGAAATGACGTGAACCCTGGCCAATAGCGAGACGTAAGGTGACGTTAGCTCATTGACAACCGTATGGTTCCCCATGGCAACGACGATCTTACCAAAAACTCCACCAATCAGGTTCATCCAGGCCGGATGCTTGCCAAATAGTCAAAAGCTGATGGTATCTTTAGCAAATATTTATTTTTTAAAATAGACCAAATTGAAGAAATCAGGATTAAAATAAGATAAGATCTAACAACCCTGTTAAAATATTTAGCGTTTCATTATAGTGTAGGCAAGTTAGATGTTGAACCTGAAAAAATTCTATACAAGCATTTCTTAACAAAAATGCACGAGGAGTAACGTTCTAAACAACATACTAAAAGTCCCATGGATTATGTCTCTTGCAAGTTGAAAAAAACGGCCGCCATTTTGTTTTTTACATTTTATTACAAATATCTCAAAAACTATCAGGTATATGAGAAAAAGTAGAAGGATATTTTTTACTTAAAATGCAAATTTACATTGGTTGGGATGTATTAGCAACATGTATTTAAATATTTACTGACTTTTTCCAGTTTCATAAAAGAATACCTACTACGTTCAATTAAAAGTAATATCTTCATCATTTTCATATACGATGCACGAATTGCAGCAATTCATTCCTAAGTATTGACCACATTTTGCAGAACATTTTAATCCAAGTTTTCTGCAGGAGCATGCCTTGTTGCATGTCCCTTCCTTGCAATTATAGAATACCATTTTTAGTATATCAGAGGGGACAATTTCTTTTGTTACGGATGTAGGCGCAAGATGTCCATCTCTATCTCGTTCCCATCCCATCCGTAGAATAATGGATCTAACTTGTATCCCATCCACTCTTGTATCTTAAAATTACATACTTCATTATTTGCATCAAGTGATAATAGACATGTTGAACAGCGTCTTTGGTTGGGGGAAGCGCAGCCAAGTTAAAGTTTGACGAGATGTTATTCGATTGTATGAAGTAAATCAAGGTATCAATTTTTTCTTTGCTATTCCTGGGCCTGTGCAGTTTGGTTATAAATGTTACGCCTACTTCTAATAATTGGTTTTTATCTGGATTTTGTTGGTAAAATATTTGAAGACTTTGACATAGGGGAATATCATTTTTCAACAGTTTTAAACATAATGTTCTGCTTTTTTTGAAAATGAACGAAGTGGTGTCGCAACCTGATATAGCATAAAGAAATAATATGTATTGTTTAATATGCCCAAGTTTTTCTTGAAGTTCTCATATATTTGCTACTTTATCAGCTTTGGCAGCTTTCCCGAGACGACGCAGAATCATCTTTTCATGCTCCGAGTGATGAATCAATAGAACAGAACAGCAACGTCTGTGTCTTCAGATACAACTACGGTTGTTCTGCCACAATTAGAAAGTTTATTTACTGCAGTCCTAACGATTAAATAGTCTGCGTCGCTTTCAGCCTGTATTATTTTAATACCTGTTTGTTTAAACCAAATCTTTAAAAGCACTATGAGTTTCTGCTTGTTGTTATTATTCCGTTAAAATTCTTCCTGTGGCGTAACAATTGAATTTTCCAATTTTTCCGATATTTCTATGGCATTTTGTGATCTGAGTTGTTGCAGAGCGTCCTTTGTTGAAAAACGATTTAAATTGTAACCATCGAAAACCACTACACAGTCCTGACCATAATTATGTTTAGCATAATTAATATATTTATCGCAAATTTGGTGGAACGTAGTGGGCTTTTGCCATAAGACTTTGTGTAGGACTTGTAGGAGAAAACCGCCGTCAACTATATATATTGCGTTTTGCTCAGTGGACGAAATGGGTGTAGCCAAGGCATCAAATTCTTTAAAAAGAAGGCTTTTTGTGCCTTGCCTTAAAATACCATCCTTAAAAAGAGATAACGGATACGGAGATAATTCAGAGCTGAAACTGTTCCTTATTTCGTCTGGAGTTTTGTTTGAGCATATAATTCTATCAAATAATTGCATAGGGGATACATTAACATAATTCTGATTAATTTTAATATTATTGCTCATTTGTGAAAAATTTTTGGATTTGATCCGTTCGCTTGCATTTAATAATTGTGAAATATGACAAAACTTTCGAAAACGTCATATTTATGTCAGCGAGCAACAGAAAAAAACAACATTCCCCCTTGTGGCATCTGTCTTTCATGGATACATTTTTTTGGCAGATATGGCAATGTGTGCGCATTCCAGTTTTTGACTATAGTTCATTGATTCCTTCATTAACAAATTATTCATAATTTTCAGGACTCATATTATGAAGTCTCTGAATCTGTTGTAGATGAAGGTGGGTACTTTTGGCATAATTATTATGACCTGTTGCGTAAAATATTGGGATCATCAATCTTGTTTGTTTAATTGCGCCAGGTGCAGCAAAAAATCAGTCTGTCTCTATCAGACTAACAAAAATATAGGCATTAAAATACATTTGGAGTAGAAAGTGCCATATTGATGCAAATAAACAAACCCTATTGGCGGTCACTTTTTTGCAACTTGCCATTGTCAGAATCTACGGGACTTTTAGTATAGTTGTATTCACGATAGAGTTTGAATTTTGACTGTTATTTTCACCAGTTGAAAATAAATAAAATCCCCAGATCTGTCCCTTTTTCTGACAACTATCAAATAATGATACATGACATTTTGATTTGACATATAAAAATATCAGATTCGGGTCTTTGAATATTGAATTTCGAATTTTTGTGTAAAATCGTTCAGTTTTTTGTCGTTTTCTGCATTATTTTTTTATTTGTAATTATCGCAATTGGTTTTTTTGGTTTTTTATGTAGTGTTCTGTGCCTTTGTGTTTCGGTGTTGCGTTTCAAACCTGGTTTTAGTTTTGATTTAAGTGTTTACTCTTATTATAAGTGTTTACTTTGGACTCTAATTTTAGGATTTTTGGATTTTAATAACTTAACTTCCTTTAAGGAAATTGAAAATAAATTTTTATTCTGAAATGTATATCACTTTTCTAAATACGACCCTGTCGTTTATCCCAGCTGACGGAATCGAAGCGCTAACGCATGCTGAAAACCTAAAGAAAACGTTTACTAAAAATGTCAACGCGAACTGTCAACTTCACTTTCTATCGTGATTTAGTCTATATGTCATCTAGGGTCATGTTATTTGTATGTTCCCACTCATAAACATTTGTATATAATTTTTTCAGAAGTTGGACCTAAATTTCGATAACTTGACTACACTATTATTGTTATCAATATTTTGTTATTAAGAAATGGATTTTTAAATGAACTATGCCATGCCTAAAATCTGGTTTTTTTTTAAAGATAAAAGTCAAACTGACATTATGTTGGCAATACAATGTCAAATTTCAAATTTTCAAATTTCAAATATGCTTTATTGTCAGAAAATTATAGTACATTCTATTGACAAAGCAATGTGAAATTGTCAATGCTTTCAAATTTTTTATGTAGAAAAGGCTTGTGTTGCCAACATAGTTACTAAATTTTTGACTTTATCTTTAAAAAAAAACAGTCTTTAGTATTTTCGCTTTTTCATAATTAAACGTGGCAACATGGCACATTTACGTCCGAATTCCTTCCGTAGACTCCTCAGATCCGCTGGGCAAACAATAGGTTTGGGGGGTTCCGAACGATCATCTAAATACAAAATCTCAACATAAAAAAAGATTAAAATCTCATTATTCTAGTTATAGCTAAGTACATAGTTTGTTTTCCTTGTCCAAGTAACATTAAAACTATTGTTTGTAGCCTAAGTATACATAAACATAAAATTACATGGCATTATGATGGTACCTATTACTGGAATTAAGTGGTATTCCTACATTTGCGAGGCAATAGGTACCACTAAAAATGCCGCATGTATCTAATTATTAGCATATTACATTAAAGAAGCATGAAATGCGCAATACATGAACAAATTTTGGTTCAGTTGTTACCTCCTCGTACCCGTACCACAAAATGAAGTTCAATATAGAAACTTTTACAATCCTATCTTGAAGTTGATAAAATATCATGTTTAAAATTAGGTCTGTTTCTGCAGAAATCACAAACCAGTCAGAGCAAATTTCATTGGTTGAAAACAGTCAGAAAACTAGTTTCAACCAATGAAATTCACTCTGACTGGTTTGTGATTTCTGCAGAAACAGACCTATTGAAAAACTATGGGTTTCCAACTTCTTGCCATAAGCTGAACTACTATCAAACAGAAAAATATTATGGTGTGATGAGAATTTTCCATACATAATTATTATTAAAGGGTTGGGATTTCTGGATTAGACTGATTAGAGTTTAATATACAAAAATAATGAAAATACTCACCACATCATCATCATATTCATCAGATTCTAAATCCAAATTTTCATTTGGAATCGATTCCGGCTCATTTTCCTCGTCCATTATTGGGAAAACTTAAAGAGAGTTCGTTTTTCCTCACTTGCAAAACTTTTCTAATAATGAAAATTTGTTTTTGTTTACTTTTTTTATAGGTTATGATATGTCACTGTCAGGAACAGCACAGCAAGGATAGTAAAACAAGAGGTTATCTACGTATTACAATAATGGAGTCAAAATAGGCAAACTGTATTTTTATTCACAAAATAATTATTATTCCTAACTAATTACACTAAAAAAAAATAGGTTTTTTTATTCTACTACCGTGCGTAAAGTACTTACTTTACACACTCACTGAAAATGATGTTAATCAGTAGTAGAAATTTTTTTGTATGAAACATGTACCTATGTAAAACATCTCACACTTGTTGCATAAGAAACTATTTAAAAAAAAAAATTATTTACTCCTTAGTCTGACGTTGCTGTTGTTCTTCGATGCTCTTTTTAACACTTTCAAACGTTTCCAAATGTTTGGTTCTAGCTTCGACAACTTCTGGAAGATCTTTGGGAGCTTCTGGAACAATCTGCTGATTTGTTGGTATTGTGTAGGCAGTTACAAATGGTTGTGGATTCAAAAAGTTGATTCCGTACGAGTAACCAAAAGAAGGAGCAGCTACAGTTGGAACTGCACGGATAAGTCCAACAGCTGGATGAGCATGGATAACTGGTTCAGCAGCACTTTTAAGAGCTTCAAGATGTTTAGCTTTAGCTTCAGCAACTTCAGGAGTTTCTTTAATCGGCTCAGCAGGACTGGGTCCTACAGGAAGATTTGTAGCTGCTACTCGAAACCCATTTACAGCATCTGATCTGTATTGCACCTGTTGCAACTTTCCATAAGCATCAACGTAAGAGTAGGAGCCTACAGTTTGACCATCGAGGGATTTGATTTCGTTTTTGGCTGATTGGTCGTTGGCGTAGCCGTAAGAGTACTGACCGAGGATGTCTTGGGAATGGTACTGGCTGGAGTGCTGAGTCAATGGTACAGTTGCTAGGATTGTTGGTAATGCAATTGGAGCTACAACTAAAAAGTAGATTTTCATGACAGAGTGGAATTCTGATGTATTGAAAAAGCTACTTACCTCCAGCGCTAGCAATGGCCAAAAAGGCAGAAACTACCACAAAAAATTTCATATTGAACGCGCTGCTGATCAAATCAGTACTCGCATAAAATCACTGTGGGTACTATCGCAGATCTGTAGGTCTTATTTATACGTACCGCACCCCCAAAAAAGGATAACGTGTGTGCGTGTATTAATCTTAAAACTTGCTTTTAAGTGTCGAAAAATAAACGAATTAAAAAGTACGGCCGTGTTTTTTTTTTCCTCGGTCTTCAATTTGTATTGTTTTTTGTATAGATATGTAATTATTAGTACGAGGCACAATGTTTCTGAATATTTCTTGGCTTATCCAACTTGGAGAATTTTATCACAAAAAACAGGAAGTATATAAGTACAAACAAATTGCCAAAAACGACTCTAAATTTTCTAATGGAGTACCTATTCTTACCCAAAAAAAGAGTATTTTTGGACAAGAATCAAAAAATGTGCAAAGTAGGTAATTTATAAGAATTCAAGATCTAAAGATTCTAGATGAGTTTTCCATAAGGGCACCAAAAAATTCAGGTTTTCAAGTTCTAATGCCGGTTTTCCACTAAACGGACTGTTGAGTTTGTGTTTTAATGCTGGTTTTCCACAAAACAAAAACACAACCCAAACATTTTCAAGACTAGCGTGTTTTGAGACAGTTGGAGTTTTGTTTCGCCGAGAAAACATGACGTAGTCTGCTTGATGGAAACAAGAGTTTTGTGTTTATTTCAGTTTTATTTTTGTTTTAAAACATGTTTTAAAACACAAACTCAACAGTCCGTTTAGTGGAAAACCGGCATAAAACATGTTTTAAAACAAAAACAAAACTGAAATAAACACAAAACTCTTGTTTCCATCAAGCGGACTATGTTAATGTTTTCTCGGCGAAATAAAACTCCAACTGTCTCAAAACACGCTAGTCTTGAAAATGTTTGGGAAAAGTTTGAGTTTGGGTTTTGTTTTTGTTTTGTCTGTTTGGTGGAAAACCGGCATAAGAGGCAAGATTCGAAAATTCACGAAGTTTGCAAAATAAGTCATGAGTCAATAAGACACAAGATCTTGAATCTTTTTAAAGGCCGTTTTACAGCTTGCAAGAAAACTTAAATGCCATTTATTACATGCAAAAAAATTGCATTCAAGATTTCTTGCACGTCGTTTTACACCTTGCAATTTGACTTGTTTCTTTCTCTAACCTTATCCATACTTTTTTGTTTTTAACGTTGTGTTGTTGATGTTTGCATTTTCCAAAAATAAAAAAAGTGATTATAAGTCGATATAAAAAGAAGAAAGCAATAGCAGCAACTTTAGGCATCATAATTGCTAAAAATTCCCTAGCTTGCACGAAAACCTTCAAGAAAAATGGCATCAAACCGATTGCATGCAATGCCATTCAAGTTTCAAGAATCTTGCAGAAACCATGAATCAGCTGACTCACTTCTGCGCATGCCCTCGTTCAAGTTTCTTGCATATTGCAGAAAGAATTGCAAGCTGTAAAACGGCCATAAAAAAGAGAATCAAGAACCTTGCAATTTATAATGTAATGACTCCAAGACATTTTCCAGGCTTGCAGAATATATATAGAACCTCAGAATCTTTAGAGTCTCCTCAAAGAAAAAACAAATATTTTATGATCAAAATAATGCTCCTAACAGTCTTCTCTATGAAGAAACCAGAAAATTTCCAAAGTAATGACCTAATAAAGATTCTGGATCTTTGTGAGATGGGGTAGATCTTTCGCACAAAAAAAGTAAGAATTCATTTGCTACTGTACTAAATAAAATGTAGTTGACTTTGAAGGCAATAATATGTCTTCTCGCGTGTCTTCCAGCTCACAGCAAGGCCGTAAAACAACAAATTCGTTTTTCAGGATAAACTTACAGACAAAAGTAATAAAATATCTTGCACAAGGATGCGAATTTATAAATGCGAGCCCTTGGATGGTCAAAGATTTTTTTCTCAAGAATATTGTAGATTTTGAATAAAAACGATACTTTAAATACAAAGATTATCAGGATGCTTTTTTCAATTTCAAAAAACTTGTTTTAATTAATTAACGAAACGGCCTTGCTTCCGCAAGGCAATTTGGTACCCGATTTGCGATGAAGTTTAGTATGGTACCGCCGCCTAAAAATAAAGTCAATTGCCGACCAAGACATTTTAAGTTTTCAGCGTACCTGATAAGAATTTTTAATTGGATTTGGGGAATTAGATTTTAGAATATATATTGGACAATAAAATTTGGCAATAATAATCTAATTAAAAGAAAACATACATAATTCAATTAAAATATTAAAATTACTTTAATAGAATCAATAAATATTCTAGCTTTTACATAAGAAATCGAACGGAAAACGATTCTGCATCCAAAAAAGTTTTAGTAAATGCAAACCGGTTCCTAAAAAGCCCCTTTTGTATTGGTACTTTCAAAGGGAAACAAGGGAGCAAAACTGAATTCATTTGGTTATATAGTGTTGAACTTATAGGGCTAAAAAGGTTGATTTGTGCGATTCCGTTGAGAAAACATTTTTGAACTGACAATTTTATAATATTAATGTAAGTAAAAGTTTTGAATATTTCAAAATTGTATGTATAATTATTAGAGGTAGCTAAGTAGGATACCTATAAACATTTGAAATAATTTTGAAAATAATCAATTAACAGGTGGTTATTGAGTGCTGATGGTCGAAAAAGAAAATTCTTTTTGCATTGATTTCTCGTATTTGCCATCAGATTTTATCCTTCTACGAATAAAATAAGGGTTTAAAAAAATCCCTTCTATAGTTATCCTGGTTCTATTATAATCTATTATCGATTTGCGCACATTCTGGCAAAGTTGTGCGACGATCAATACCTACCCTCAAACATCTTGAACTCCAAAAAGTTAGGTAAATAACATTTCCAAATTTCCGATGGGAGTACCTACTATAACAAGGTTTTCCTAGAGTCAAATCCATCTAGTAATGCTCGGTTTTTTTTAGTACTTACTTATGATTTAGATTTTTGAAAACTTTTGAAAAGTCATAAGTTTTTTTCTATTAGAGATAGAAAGCTGAAATTTACAGCCATAATTCTATCCCAGTAGAGAACTACAATCTCTGGAGAATTTCAGCTCATTGACATAGTTTCAGAAATAAAATCGCCTTAAGCAATTTGGGGTGAATTTATCAATTTTTCAATTTTCTGAGTGCCTTCAAATTTGAGAATAATTTAGTGTATGGAGTTAGGGGGTCCCAAAGGACCATTAGGTCACAAAATCTCAACCAAAAAAAAATTGAAATTTCATCGTTTTAGTAAGGAAGTCTTCGAGCTTTTTCTGGGTGTGGCTTCACGATCCTTTTACTATTTCCAGGAATAGGGTACTTGCATGAAAAATTAAATTGATTATTCTTTATTGCAAACTGTAGGAAATCGAAAAAAATCGATACTTTTATTTATTTTGCCCAAATATGATTATTCCAGAAGTTATACATACAGGGTGGAAAATTAAAAAGGATCCACCTGGATTTTCTCGAAAATTATCAGGAAATTAAAAAAACGCCGAAATACGTCGATTTGGTTTGCAAGGGGGACATTTTTTGGCTATTTCAAAATTTTCCTAGATTGCACCCTCTACGGGGTGAGTTGCACCCTCAAAAGTTAAATAGGGAAACTGGGTCGAGTGGTACCTTATTTGAGAGGTATTTGAGATGACTTTACAGATCTGTCATTTTTTTCGAAATCTGACTTCTAGTTTTCAAGATATTCGCCTCGGAAGTTGCCATGGGTCGAAAAAAGAACGTGTTTCTCGTGAAAAAAATAAAAGTGGGTGGGTCATGTTTGAAAAGTTGTTCAAAAGGTTCAAACTAACAAATTATCTTTGTTAGTTTGAACCTTTTTGAACAACTTTTCAAACATGACCCACCCACTTTTATTTTTTTCACGAGAAACACGTTCTTTTTTCGACCCATGGCAACTTCCGAGGCGAATATCTTGAAAACTAGTAGTCAGATTTCGAAATAAATTACAGATCTGTAAAGTCATCTCAAATACCTCTCAAATAAGGTACCACTCGACCCAGTTTCCCTATTCAACTTTTAAGGGTGCAACTCACCCCGGTAAGGGAATGCAATCTAGAAAAATTTTGAAATTAGCCAAAAAATGTTCCCCTTGCAAACAAAATCGACGTTTTTCGACGTTTTTTTTAATTTCTTGATAATTTTCGAGAAAAGCCAGATGGATCCTTTTTAATTTTCCACCCTGTATATTAAGTTTTGTATATACTGAGCATGTGCGACGTCACTAAATTATATAAGTGACGAGTGACATCATAGGTATATTTCATACCGTCAATTTTTGACTAAGAAGAAAAAGAAAAAACTCGTGTTGACTTATTTTTTATCGACTAATGAAGTCGCGATAAAAAAAAATTCATATAGGTATCCATGATTCCAACTTGACAGGCCTTGGGTGACTATGGAAAAGCAAAATATTTCTTTGTTGCCCAATTCTCAACTTTCCATTTCGACAGTCCCTCAGATAAGAAATCGAACAATTCTAAAACATGTAATAGAAACTCATTCTACTGAGTCAGCAACTATCGCATCTACCTTCTGTTAACATTAACTCATTAAAACCCTTCTAGCACTTTAGCTATTTATCCAACCAACAACTAACTAAACTAGATGGCTTTGATACACTTGGCTAAGATAAGTCACTTTGTTGCATTCCAGCAATATTCTGGGAACTTTCGTAATGCCAGAAGAACCAATGTCGTTGCTTTTTGTTGCTCGTAGCACTCATGGCATCAAAAGCTGATTATACATGAACCAGGATGTTCTTTCGTCAAAAATTGGTAGATTGAGTTGGTCGCTTATGAGAAAGGCTCATTTGATAGATCGATTTCACTGTTTCTTTCCTTATTGGGCTTAACATGAATTTTCTTTCTATGTCTTTCCTTGAATTCTTTGAGTAATTAAGGTAAAAGTCCCAATTATCGACACTGTCCCAATTATCGACATTTTTGCACTTCAGATCCTAAAAATAAGAATCTGGTTCTTGCTACATTTATTGTCGTATCATAATAGGAAAGAAGTAGGTTTTCCCCACCTTACCTAAAAATCCTTAACCGGTAATACAGAAAATATTAATTTTAAAAATATTTCAATTGAGTCATTCTGCAGTGACATGTGTACTCGTGCAGATCGTTGTGAAAAGTGCTAAGAAACAGTTAAGTTGATTATGGTTATTTTAGTTTGAAATATTTAAGCAACCTTATGAAAATTGTTATATATATATATATATATATATATATATATATATATATATATGCAGAGTATAAAATTTATGATTTTTGCCAATAATATGGCATATAATCTGTATAAATTCAAAATTCTGAGCTGTCGATAATTGGTACATCCATTTTTAATCTCTGTACCATTTATCGACATAGGTGTCGATAGATGGGGCAATGCAGCCTTCTCTTTTCCTCTAAATATTTAAATATCCCCTGAACTTATTCTTATTTTGTCTGAAAAATGTGAAGGAAATTATATCAAACTAACGCCGTACCTACCAATTATCGACACCCATTTTTCCCCTTTGGTAACGACGTTAGAGTAGGTGTATTATGTGTGTCGGTGTTTGGTACCAAATATGTCGATAACTGGGACTCATTTTTTTCAGAAGAAATACTATGATGAACAAAAACGAAAGATTCCAATATTCGGTAGATAAATGGATATTTCACATTGCCACTTCAGCCACTTGTGGGTTTCCTGCAACTAAACTGCAGCTCATAGACAGTGTACAATTACTGCTGAAAAATCTAAAAAGACCGAATAATTTTATCAAATGTAAATTATGGATGATTTTTACAAACTTTACATGCAAATGGAGCATCATTCTTCTTTATTTGCCTATATATCCATATTGGCTGCCATACCAATAGGGATAACGATCTCTATCTGTTACATACTACCAGCGCAGGTCGCCATTGGTACGAAGCTTTCATGAAGCAGCATCCAGAACTTTCACAAAGAGTTTCCAAAAATCCCAAAATCTAGCCAATGCTCGAGTCACCATAACTGAAGGGAAAATCCGTCGTTGGTTCCTTCCAAGAAATCAACAAACAAATATTTTGAGCTTGTCACCTTATTGAGTTTTACCATTTTATCATTCAGGTCCGATGTCGATATTCCGTACACAAGTGTGTCGATATTTGGTACAAAATAATTTTTCCCATGTCGATAATTGGGTCAAATTGTACTTTTCAATTTATTTATTTTTTGAAAATAAATTAGGTATTTCTATTTGGAACATAACTATTCCACAGCAATAATCAATAATATACCAATACACAATTAAATTTTCAAAATCCTACCTTTAATGTGCAAATTTTTATTTCCCTACGATCTAGCCAAAACCTCTTAAGGTGTCGATAATTGGGAAGTTTACCTTAACTGTCCTTAAATGTTCCTTTGAATTCTTCCAGATTGTTCCAATTGAAGATTAGGTTCTGGATTCCATCAAGTTGGAATGCATATATGCGATAAGCAAAACAGCTTTCAATGTAGAAAATGGACATTATGAACTCGTATGCCTTTCGGATTTAAAAATACCCCTGCGACATTCCAAAGAGTAATGGATAACGTATTTAGAACTGCTAATCAAAATATGTCTAGTTTATATGGACGATATCATAATATTTTCCACTTCTCTTCAAGAACATATTGCAAATATTTGAAAGATAAGTACAATTTAATCTGAAACTACTGTTGGATAAATCCGAATTAATAAAGAAATCAGTGGAATTCTTGGAACTCCAGATGCAATCTACAATCTACTCGTATGTAGAAATTTTGGACTCGTTTGAGTTTCTTCCCGGACATGTAATAGTTATTTACATTACAAGTGATGCGTTTATGAGCATGATTACAATAACGAGTGTGAAGGATTAGAACGACGAGGTCGTAGACCGAGTCTTTCTAATCACACGAGTTTTGTAGTCATGTTTAAACGCACGTGTGATGTACAACGTTTTATCTACAAAGCGAAAAATAAGAATATTTTTCCAATTATTTTCGTTCAATAATAGTTATCTACATTTTACGTTTACAGGTTTACCTTTGACATTTGTCAAATCACCAAAAATAGTTGTGATGCTGTGGTTGTGTTATAATAGACTCATAACCTCGTCCATAACACCACTAGTTGTGTTATGAATTCATAACCTAGTCTATAACACCACTTAATTGTGTCATGAGTCTCTTGACGTAACTCCAATACTAGACAAATATGGTTATGTAAAAACGTCATAACCAAACGGTTGTAGATAATAGATATTTACAATACAAGTGAGTTATCAGCAGCATTAAGATACACGTGTGGAAGTTGCACAACGAGTGCGTAGCACGAGTTGTGTAACCACACAAGTATCTTAATGAGGGTTAACTCACGTGTATTGTACAATATTTTATCTACGCCATACGCTCTTAACTTTAAAAACACAAAAAAATTTAATTTCAATAATAATTGCATTACCTATTCTAAAAACCAACTACCCGAATCAACTCAATACCTTTTGTTCAAATAACAACATAAATTAACTTGACCAAATTACCACGAAAACACGATAACACCATGCATGGTTTCATATCAATTTGATAGTAAATAATATTGATGTCACTATAGTTTCAAAAACCTAAGAAAGAGTGCGGTAATGAAAATGCGTGAGTTAAAAAGCTTTTATCTATAAGCGTTTGGTTATGACGTTTTTACATAACCATTTTTCTAGTATTTGAGTTATGTCATGAGACTCATAACACAACTAGTGGTGTTATAGACTAGGTTATGAATTCATAACACAACTAGTGGTGTTATGGACGAGGTTATGAATCTATAACACAACTATTTTTGATGAATTGATAAATGTCAAAGGTAAACCTGTAAAGTTAAAATGAAGGAAGACAACTACTAATAGAAAAAAAATGATTGAAAAAACATTCTTATTTTTCGCTTTGTAGATAAAACGTTGTACTTTACACGTGCGTTTAAACATGACTACAAAACTCGTGTGATTAAAACAACTCGGTCTACGACCTCGTCTTTCTAATCTTTCACACTCGTTGCTGTAATCATGTTCATAAACGCACTTGTAATGTAAATAACTATTAACTCACTCAAAATGCGTGAGTTAAGAGCTTCTTAACTCACTGGGTGCGGTAATGAAAATGCGTGAGTTAAGAATAAGCTCTTAACTCACTCGAAATGCGTGAGTTAAGAGCTTCTTAACTCACTGGCGTAGATAAAGTAAATTACTATTTCTGTCATTTGGTCTGTCGAAATGTTTCTGCCTGATTATCGACTCGTTCAACGTTCAACTTCTTTGTCCAAATATGCCAACCTACTACACAAAATGTCAACAAAAAAAAATTGAAATTTCATCGTTTTAGTAAGAAGCTACCTTATGATTTAGATTTTGGAAAACTTTGAAAAGTCTTAACTTTTTTTCTATTACAGATATTAAGCTAAAATTTCCAGCGATTCTTATCCCAGTAGATTACTACAATCCCTGCAAATTTTAGCTCATTTGGACTAATAGTTTCAGAAAAAAAAAATCGTGTTAATCAATTTGGGGTGATTTATCAATTTTTCAATTTTCTTGATTCTTGAGTGCTTTTTTTCAAAGATTTAGGCTTCAAATGTTACAATAATACAGTGTATAGAGTATAGGAAACTGTAAAAAACAAAATCCCAGTAAAATATTTTTGATTCAGTACTCAGTATCATCGAAAAGATTAAAAGACGTTGAAATTTGAAAAATGAAATAATTTTCTGTAGTCCTTTTAGTTTTTGAGTATTATTCAACAGATTCCACAGAATTTTTGAACACTTAAACGTGTTGAAATGATCAAATTTGCAGAAAAGTGAGTTTTCTGTATATACTATACAGAATCAGCATTTACATAATTTGATTCACAGAAGCTTAGAATCTAACGAATTCAGAGTCTTGTTCTGAAGACTCTGCAGATAAAATTGAAGTTATAAAACTTATTGTAGGTAGCTTGAGTACGTTTTGGCTTTGAGAGTAATTATTTCACAAAAATCTCCATTAAACTCGCGGTCCATGGAAGCTTTGAGACATTAGGACATAAAACTTAAAATTAATATCATTCTAAAGCATCTCCAAGAGCGTGAATTTTAGTTTTCTAAGGCTTTTAGTGTTATTTTACGCCTCTTCCATAAAACTCTCAGTGTATTTATAGAATTCATGGGGCTTTTGAACATTCATAGGAAGCTTAAAAGGGTGGGCAACTTATATTGTAGAATGAGTTTGGTTCTATAACGCAGTAGAATGAATTTGTAGGATGGAAGCAGGAAAAATATAAGACAAAACAAATAAGGTTTGTTCGGAGAAAACAGAAAAACTTTAAAAAGATGAACAAAAATTGATTTGAGAGAAATGGGTGCCAGAGACAAAATCTGAAAATACAGAACAAGAAAAATTTTGTTTATTTCACGATAATGTTTTGAATTTTTATAAAGCATACCAAGACCAATAAGAGTCAAAAATCGACTAGAAATAATAAAGCCCAGGATTGCATCAAGGTTACATGAAATTTTCTAGTTTAAAACACTCACAATTACAGCAGTTATAAAACGTTAATTTGTATTTTTGCAGCAAATATACAATATCTTCTTCTCTCACTTTGCCTAAGACATTTTTTTTCAGCAAACATGTAAGCTTGAAAAAAAATCCTAAATAACTGTTCGAAAACAATAAGGCCGTTTTGTTATCATCGGTACTATTTTGGTACCGCTGGCAAAGGATGGACCGTATTCTAAACGGAAAATTGTTAATATCCTGTTCTGCCACCTACTGTGCTACGCTCTATCTACCCCACATCAGTTTTTATCTCTGGGTAATTTTTCACTTCTCAAGTCGGACAACAGTGTTTCTTAAGAGTGTGTGACACAATAATAATTTTCTTTTGTAATATAGCAAATAGAAAAAGGTAAGAATTTGAAAAAAAAAAAATACCGTGATTGTTCATACCTACACTTATACAATTTCAATTATTCTCTCTAACTTTATTCAAATAAGTTTGAAAATTTTTGTCAGTAGGTAGTTTGTGTTTTTCAAAAAACAAAATTAGTCTTGTCTTTGCAGTTTGTTAAAGACAATAATACAGGTATCATTAATTTCTAATGCATTTTTCAGTATATTAAAAGTCTCCATAATGACAAAATCTCCGAAAAAATCCCACCAACCGCCATCCAGATCGATGAGCAAACAAGACGAAATCCTGGAAGACCAAAACCGATATTTCGCCAACTATGGCAAAAAGAAATTGTCCAAGTGGGAATTGATGTCGTTGTTTTTGTGGAATCCCGAAACCAAAGCCGTAATGGGCAGAACTGGATCCAGCTGGTGTAAGTATTTAATAATAAGCAAATTTGGTTAAAATTAAAATGGAACGAGCCTAGAGACGTTTACCGGTAATAGTTGTTAAAGTAATGACCAAGGCGAGTGCGTCATTCAATTAATCAATCAAGATGTGAGTTAATCATTTTTTCAGACTATGTGACGTGACGACACTGTGATAATAATGCTCTATAGAGAAATATTTAGCATTATTTAACACTAATTCCTATTGCATTAATAATAATTCCTGCATTATCGAACAGAAACTTTATTCATTCATAAATTATTACGATAAACGCACTCTCTCTTTAATGTGATTGATGACTAAGAGGAATAATTCATTATTTAATTAAGCCTAACATTTTAGTATATTTATTTATTGTGGCTAAGATTTCGTTGTTGGTGGACAAAACTTTTCAAATTCTGCACTTATCGTTCATATATTTTCAAAGATTTCAAATTTCAGAATAATTTAGTGACTTGTCTGATTTGTGCCTAATGAAATTCAAGTCTTTTTTTTAAAGATATCAAAGTTTGTCTGAATAGAGGAAAATTGAAAAAACATTGTACTCGTCATGGTTTCAATATTAAGAACCTACTACTGCTACTGGTACAGAAATAATCATGAATTCAATTCTCGGCATTATTGTTCAAACAAGAATTTACGAAAATTCTAGATATTTCTGGGTGCGTATATAAAGCGCGCGTAGTTTATAATAAGTCAGTGAGTTTTATAGTCGATCCGATATACATGGTGATTCACGTAATCCGTGCATTAGCTTACAGGTGGATTAGATAATCTTTACTAATCCACCTGCAAACTGGAAAACTTCTATTGTCTGCTATAAGCAAATCAGGATGTATAGTTCATCTGTGATGAAACTAAATAAACACACCCAGAAAAATTCTGTTGTTATTTAATACTGCACTGATTAGAATTATTCGCAATAAGAATGAAATTCATACAGATTAAAGTACAAAAATGTGCTGATTAAATTTAACTATAAACCTTATCTTTAAAAATTTCCTATAGAAAACGATTAGTTGTTGTTGACCATCATTTTACCTGCATCGCGACCACTCCACACCCATCAGACCCATATGGGTCCCGCTAGCGCGCACCTGCCTCTCACCCTGTCTACCTCACTTAATTAAACAAAGCCAGATAGTTTAGTCCTTACCAACGGTCAGCGAGATTGTTATTAACTTGGCTCTTGGAAGTTAATTAGTGTTTTATACCTGCTTTTAAGTTAACCTAAGAATTTTGTTGTGTTTGCAGAGAATATTTCGTTATTCTTTATGTGTCGGACACGCGTGTTTTCCTATTTATTGTTTTTAAGTTTAGTGTAGGCTTAATTTTTAATAATAATTTACAAAATGACTGGGCCACCAAGCTACTCGGAGACTGATTATGTTAAGGAAAAGTTGTTTCAGCCAGAGAAACAAAAGTTTTTCACAAGGAGTCCTGCAGGTTGTGGTACGTTTAAAATGGCCTAATAGAAAATTGTAAAACTTTTATTGATGCCGCATTATTCATTCATGAATCACGGGCGTGGTATCAGGGACGTACTTGAACTTTTCTGGTCTTTTGAATTAAAGCTAAAATAGGTATTTTCTTAATCAGGAACTATAGTTAAGATATGAAACTTTTAAAGTAGTCAATATGTACTTACTTGATAAATTTCAGTAAGTAAACTTCATTCGGAAAATCATAGGTGTCTTAAATTCTATTGTATACAGGGTGTTAAAGATTTGCAAGAGGGTATGGGGTAGGTACCTAAGTACCTAGGTTTTAAAAAATCTCAAAAATTTTATTTCTATTATTTTTTGAATTTTGAATTTTCTCTATTTATAGTTTTTGAGCAAATTGAGTTTGAAGTTTTTTATACTGATAGTCAACTTTGAGGGTCAATTACTCAAAAACTTTCTGAACTGTCATACTCAATTTTGCATGGACTAATAGAGAATTTATTGTTCTTTCCAAATTTAACAAAGATATGGGCAATTGCTCATGACCATGTCAAGATTTAGACAATTTTCCAGAGCCAAAAATTGAATTTTCTTTATATTTTTGTTTTTGCTCAAAATGGCTATTTGCAAATGATGTCAGGCTTGTTTTCCATTAATTTAGACCCGCTCTATCAACTGGTAAAGTCAAAATTGAGCATAAGGGAAAAATAAAAAAGTCGAGTTTTTTATAAGACATACAGAGGGTTATTGGTTATACTTAAATGTCACCCCCCTCTATCTTTTTTATTTGACATTTTAGAAAAAAAGTGTCCCAAATAAAAGTTTTATGGTTGAAATTAGATTTTCTGAAAAACTCACTTTCGCATATACAGGGTGTTTTAGAAAAGCTGGTCGCGCTCCAACTTTCTTATTTTAAATAGAATATCCTGTATATTATTGAATATTCGGATTCTACATAAAATTTTGAGCAGATTTCATGTGATATACCATATACCCAAGTTCAACTGTTTTGGAAATATTGATGGTTGAAAATTGACTTTTTGCAACTTTGACAGGCTGTAAAACCCAAACGGTTAATTTTAGAGCAAAACCGATCTTATGTTTTTATCTTGGATTTTCATAAACTATCAGTTGACACTGATATTTGACATACCAACTTTGAATTTAATCCATGATTAAAAATTCAAATTAAATTTAATCTCTGGTTAAATTCAAAGTTGGCGTCAAATCATAGCTTATGAAAATCTAAGAAAAAAATGTAAGCTAGGTTTTGCTCTAAGATTAACCGTTTAGGTTTCACAGCCTGTCAAAGTTGCAAAAAAGTCAATTTTCAACTGTCAATATTTCCAAAATAGTTGAACTTAGGTATAGGATATATCACATGAAATCTTCACAGAATTTTACGTAAAGTCCGAATATTCAATAATATACAGGGTGTTCCATTTAAAATAAGAAAGTTGGAGCACGACCAGCATTTCTGTAACATGCGAAAGGGAGTTTTTCAAAAAATTTAGTTTCAACCATAAAACTTTTATTTGGGACACTTTTTCTAAAATGTCAAATAAAAAAGATAGAGGGGGGTGACATTTATAACCAATAACCCTGTACAGGGTATTTGATTATATTTGGCACCATATCTACAGCCTTTACTATTTGAGATAGAAAAAAATTGTAAATACAAAACTTTACAGTTTTTTTCTATATTTTCTTTTAACGTTATCAGAAAAAACAAAATCGCATCGGAAAATGGAGAAACGTAGACAACTTCGACTTTTTTAAATGGAACACCCTGTATATTTTGCGATAAAATGAAAGACCTTTTCTTCCTGATTACAATTATATATATGTTGATCACATTTGCATGAGCCATTTTTGACATATTGCAGGTCAAATTATAACTAAATTGCAAAGAAATTTTATAAAGATAAGAGATCCTTAAGGAACTTCTCTGCAAATTTTTTATAATTTAACCTGAGATATGTCAACAATTGCTCAAGCAAATGTTATCAATGTATATATATATATATATATATTTGGAATCAGAAAGAATAGATCTTTCATTTTATCGCAAAATATACAGGGTGGTCCCTTAAAAAAAGTCGAAGTGGCTCACGTTTCTCCATTTTCCGATGCGATTTTGTTTTTTCTGATAACGTTATCAGAAAATATAGAAAAAAACTGTCAAGTTTTGTATTAAAATTTTTTTTCTATCTTAAATAGTAAAGGCTGTAGGTATGGTGCCAAATATAATGAAATACCCTGTACATACCTCTTTGAATTTTAATTCCAAAATCTTCAAATCTTAATTGCTCGGTAACCGTTGGGCAAATTACAATAAAATTTTCTGCATTTGTGGCTATTATTAAGCTCTAAAAGACCTGTAACTTACAGTATTCCTTGGTTTATAGTTTTTGAGCAAATTGAGCTTGAAGTATTTGGCAAAATTTGCACCAAAAATCAATTTTGAGGCTCAATTACTCAGAAACTATTTCAGCTATAAAACTCAATGTTGCACGAATGTATAGAGCATTTATTGCTCTTCCCAATGATATATAATTTATTTCAATTTGCTCAAAATTTTACAAAGATATGGGCAATTGCTCATGACCATGTCAATATTTTGGAAATTTTCGAGATCCAAAAATAGAATTTCCTTTTTAATTTTTTTTTTGCAGCTCAAAATGGCCATTTGGAAATCATGTCAAGATTTTTCTTCACTAATTTTAACCTGCTCTATCGATTGTTAAAGTCAAAATTCAGCAAAACTAAAAAATAGAAAAATCGAGTTTTTCATAATGGTACTTCCTGGGTACCCCGTTTGAATTCTGATTTCAAAATATTCAAAACTCAATTGCTCGGTTACCGTTGGGCAAATTGCATTAAAATTTTTTGCATTTGAAGCTCTTATTGAGCCCTTAATGGTCTGTAATTCACAATACATATTCCTAGGTTTATAGTTTTTGAGCAAATTGAGCTTGAAGTTTTTGGCAAAATTTGCACCAAAAATCAATTTTGAGGCTCAATTACTCAGAAACTATTTCAGCTATAAAACTCAATGTTGCACGAATGTATAGAGCATTTATTGCTCTTCCCAATGATATATAATTTATTTCAATTTGCTCAAAATTTCACAAAGATATGGGCAATTGCTCATGACCATGTCAATATTTTGAAAATTTTCCAGATCCAAAAATAAAATTTCCTTTTTAATTTTTTTTTTCAGCTCAAAATGGCCATTTGGAAATCATGTCAAGATTTTTCTTCACTAATTTTGACCTGCTCTATCGATTGTTAAAGTCAAAATTCAGCAAAACTAAAAAATAGAAAAATCGAGTTTTTCATAATGGTACTTCCTGGGTACCCCGTTTGAATTCTGATTTCAAAATATACAAAACTCAATTGCTTGGTTACCGTTGGGCAAATTGCATTAAATTTTTTTGCATTTGAAGCTCTTATTGAGCCCTAAATGGTCTGTAATTCACAATACATATTCCTAGGTTTATAGTTTTTGAGTTTGAAATTTTTGACAAAATTTATGCTTAAAGTCAACTTTGAGGGTCAATTACTCAAAAACTTCCTGAGCAATCAAACTCAATTTTGCACGCACTTATAGAGAATTTATTGCTCTTTCTAATGGTATATAATTTATTTCAATTTGCTTGAAATTTAACAAAGCTATGGGCAATTGTTCACAACCATGTCAAGATTTTGGAAATTTTCCAAAGCCAAAAATATTTTTGTTTCTAAACATTGTAAAACATAAATCAAATCATACAAACGTAAATCGATTTTTCTTGTAGCAAAAATCGGCCTATTCTACCTCATCTTCTACGCAATGCTGGCAGCACTGATAGCAATTTGCATGTGGGTCTTTCTGCAAACCTTAAACCCGAGAATCCCCAAATGGCAACTGGACCAATCGATTATCGGCACCAATCCCGGATTGGGCTTCAGACCGATGCCTGACAACATGGAGAGCACCCTCATTTGGTTCCAGGGTACCAACAAGAGCAACTATCAACCTTGGGTTAACAAACTCAATAACTTTTTAGAAAGTAATTATAACTTAATATATATAAAATATGTACTCATTTATCTATTGTAGCTTATTATACTCCAAGTAAAATCGCCAAAGGCAGTGGGCAAATTAAGCCTTGTTCACATTCAGACTTTCCTCGTGAAAATGAAGTTTGCGAAGTGGATGTTAGACAATGGGGCAAATGCAACAAAGACGATTCGTATGATTATCAGAGGAGTTCGCCGTGTATTTTTTTAAAATTGAACAGAATCTATGGTTGGACTCCGGAATATTACATGGAAAACGATGAACTTCCAAAAGAAATGCCTAAGCAGTTAAAGGAACATATTTTGAATATTACTATTCCAAACCAAGTAAGAACTTGTCAGTAATTGGGTAATCTTTTAAGAAGTGCAAGTAAATAAAAATACAAAATATCCAAGTATATAACATGAAGAAAACCTTGCAGGGGTAGTTTTAAGCTCTATGTTGATCTGAATTATTGTTGTTTTTTGGACTAATTTAAGTCTTTACTATTTACAGAGAAGAAACGTTTGGATTTCTTGCCAAGGTGAAAATCCAGCCGACAGAGAATATATAGGAAGTCTCACCTATTATCCCAAAAACTTTCAAGGATTTCCGGGATATTATTTTCCTTATTTGAACAAGGAAGGTTACTTAAGTCCCCTTGTGGCTGTGAGATTTGAAAGAGCACAACGTAAGTAGCAATAGAAACTCATATTTTTTTTTTGCTTATCAAAATGATTTTTTAGCTGGTGTAGTAATCAATGTAGAATGTCGTGCCTGGGCCAAAAACATCAAGTACAGTCGAGGTGATCGAATAGGCTCAGTACATTTTGAGTTACTCATTGATTAAAGAAGAATTTTAGTTTTTTTGAATCTCATTCGAATGCATTTTAATTTATTTGAGAAAATCCTGCTCAGGTTTATTGGACAATTTTCCATTTATACTGCCTCAAAATGTGTCTTATCTAATTATTGTATAACATGCATATATTTTTACACTGGGACTATAATTATTGCTTATATTGCATCGATATAAAACCCACAGTCTCAAATTTTGATTGTGTAAATGTAAATACTTTCTCATTATTTATAAAGAAAATATAGTAGTTGTACTTGTATTAGTGTCAAGATTGATTCAGATTGTGAGTATTTTAGATTTGTTTGAAATTTTGATGGCACTGTAAGCTTTAAAAAAATAAAAGAAAATGTTTCAAGATATTCGGCAATAAAAAACTGATAAGTAATTAATACAAGCATATGTAAGAGTTCATTGGTAGGTAACTTTTCATTTGACATAAAGGGCATTTTCTTTATACATTTTTAAACATTGTTCTTTGAGTTTTTTATTGTCGTCTGAGACGTCTGATTAAACTTCGAGTAGCGCTGCAGCCTATGGTGCTGGATCTTCCTATTTACTGACGGTTCTCGAGTTCTTGATTAACTCTGACATTTATTGATTATTCTGTGACATTCAATTATCAATTAAATTGTGGCTTTTTTCATTGTGTCTATTGTTAGGTTCCCAGTAGTGTTTGTTGGTTACATATGGCAATACCACGCAATACTTATTATACACATGGATAGTATATTCTTCAATTAAAGCTTAGAAAGCTATGCTTTCACCCATGTTTCGTTACAATTAAATTATTTCAAAAGTCCTAATCAATTTTCTTTTTCCTTTCTAAATGAGTTATTTTGATTCATCAAGACTCTGGAGATTTGGGAGACTCAAAAGACTCATTCTTCAAAATTGAAAAATGCAAACTCAATTGTATTTTGTAGTTAAACTCTTTACACTCTATACAATTTATTGAATTAAGTAATACCTCACAACAATTATTATTATTACACAAAAAATCATTACTCATGAGTGAGCTGTCCCTCTGTGAGACAAATAACCGGAAAATGACGGCTCTCATTGAAACAAAAAGTAGGTTTAATTTTCGGTCGATGTCCGGCTGCTAGTAAACGCAGCAGCACAAAATTAGTCTTGGACGTTCGAGCCAAAGCAGCTTCAGTAGGACCGCCTGCAGCTAAAAGTTGTCCAGCTTGAGCAAAATGCCGTCCGGCTGACAAAAATAACGCTTCTGATCCTTGCAGACCTGCAGCTTGAGCTGCAGACCTGAAATCGCGATAAGCAGCTGAAGGTGGTGCTGGAAGGCGAGTGAACGCATTGAAACGATGTTCAAAGCGGACACGTTCTCTGTCAAAGCCTGGTAAAGGGGCTTGCAAAAGACCTTCACGAAGTAATCCCAATAAAGCCTAAAATATTAAGATGAAATATAAATATGCCAATAAGATTATTTTCTAGACCTTAAAATATCCTCCACCAAGTTGTTGAAGGGCTTGCAGCCTAACAGCATCTCTAGCGTGCGGTCTGGGTCTTTTGGCAGCCTTATTAGGCTTTTGTCTACGACCTCCTTTCCCTGCTGACGCGGTAGCCGCAGTACCATTCCAAGCTTCTTGCAGCAAACTATCGGCACGTGACAGAGTCGAAATCAACCAACCATAAATACACTCGTACAAATACCAGTAAATGTAATAATATTCGTGCTCAGCGTAAAGTTCCAATTCAAATCCAGCCAAAAGATAAAGCGCTTGCGCTCTAAGAGTATGGTACAAAGCCCAAGTGGCGAAATGGGGCCTCGGTGGTACTCCTAGTGCTAAGGCGCAAGCTGCATCAGCACGTTCCGCTTCCTGATAAAACATAATTTCAAATGGATATTGGAAAAATTATCAAGACAAGGCACCTCTTGTAATAAAGCAAATTCCTCGAGCAACATGGCCAATTTGTCTCTCTGTCTAGCCCTGTTGTGACCACTCAGTTGCAACAAGAGCCCTGCTGGACGAGCTGCACGTGCTAGGAAAGCGTCCGCAGCTGAACGAGCAGCCGGAATTGCTCGACTACCTATAAATGTTTATCAGAAAAATAATATAGAACTGAGTTTTTGCGTAATCAAAATCTGAGATCTATGGTACACTTTATAACTTTTTTAGGACTTGGCAAACCTGATTAAGATTCTAGTAGCAATCAGTAAGTAGTTGATGAATTCTAGCAGCATAATCAAAATTATTGTCCAGATTCTAGTGAGGCTTAAAAAACTAGTTGCCAAAAGAAAAATTGCTTTTCCATTCAAAATTACTTTACTTACAGCTACTAGCCCGAAATTCTGTGTCTATAATTTATTTTGTATTGCTGAAATCTATATTTGTAAATGAGCTTGAAGCATTTTTTAGTTCTGTTCATAAATAAAACGCAAAATATCACTAAAAAAAAAAGATTATCTTACTAAGTGCGTGTGGTCCACAGAAATTCCTCAAAGCTTCCCTAAGTGCTTCCCTAGAAGATCCAGCATTTCGACCTACTAGTTGCAAAGCACTCCGTGACACAAGGCAGGGTCCAGATTGACTAAAATCAGCAAACAATTCCACTGTCTGATGAAAAGTGGTGAGGCCCTGAGCCTTGCAAACCACCTTGAATCGTTCCATCATTTCAGTAAAGTGTGTAATGGCCTCGATTCTTTTTTTTATTTTTGTGTATCTAGGAAACGTGGGAGGTAGTAGTCTTTGGTTTATTGACGGTTCGAAACAAGCCATTTCTTCTTCGCCTTCTTTTGCGCCTTGGCCTAAAAGGACAGTGTCTTTCATTGTCTGTAACATTTCTATAGCGCTTTGCAACAGTCTTTGGCAATCGTTGAGGGAATTTTGCTGTTGGTCTTCTTTTCTAAGAGAGTTTAATACTTGCAAAAATATTCTCATGAATTTAATTCTGGCAAATATTGCTTGGGTTTCAGGCTAAAAAAAATCATTGAAAATTATATTTTCAACTTATTTCAGAAAACTTTACTTCACATTGCTTATTTCTAGCCTTCCTGTGTAATTCCTCTTCAACTTCTCGTAACATTCCAATCATCCTTTGTTCAGATATATCTGGATTCAAATGGAAACCATATTGCATTGGTTGAAAGTCTTCCTCTTCATAAACCATAGCCCTAATAAGAGAAGGTTTACAAAAACAAATGCCTAAGACAAAAAAACACAATTTACTTATGTAATAAATCCTTAATGACATCCAACAGCTTGTACACAGCTAAACAAAACACTTTAAGAGCCCTATCTTGTGGTGCATAGGGTCTATGCAAGTACAAACAAGTAAAAACTGTCTGAGCCAATGAGTGCCCTTCAAGCCAGGACACTAATCTTGCCAGAGTACCATCAATGATACCTAGAAGTGTTGTTGGAGGTAAATCATTCAATGGCAACAAACCATCCTACAAAGTTTCTAGTAAGATTGAATACATACAGAGTTATGATGGTTAAAATACCGTTACTGCCTGTTCAAAGGAAGTAATTTTTCTCGCTCCTCTGTTGCAGAGCATGCCAGCGTCCATTTTGGGGTCCATCATTTCTATGGCTGACATTGCTTCGAATAGACCGAAAAGCTCATCGTGTAGCAATTCGCCTAACTGTAAATCTAATAGAGAACTTTTGTGTGAATTTAGGATTTTTTAGATGTCCTTTTTTTCAAAGATTGTGGCTGCAGAATAATTTCAACATAAAAAAAAAAAATTATATTTCATTTTAGTCGAGGGGGAATCCACCTACCTAATTTTGTACACCTAAAATTCTGAAAAACGCTAATTTCCATGTTATTATTGTCCCAAAAAATTCTAAAAATTCTAAAAAATTGAGCATGCGCAATAGATAAAAATTCTAAATTATTTCTAAAAAATTCTAGTTCAATTCTAAAAAATACTAAATAATTCTAGAAATTGCTAGAAAATGCTAGAAAATTCTAAAAAATGCAAAAAAATACTGATAATTCAGAAAAATTCTAAAAATTCAGTTTGTATGTACACCGAAATTCTAAGAATGTTTCCCGCTCGGGGGAACAACCCACCTACCTAATTTTGTACACCAAACATTTTCGAAAAATTCTAAAAATTAAAAAAAAATCCAAAAATCCCTACAGATTGCGCAGTGCACAGGCTCTTGAGCATGCGCAATAGTTGAAAATGCTAAATTATTTCTAAAAAATTCTATTTCAATTCCAAACAATACTAAAAAATTGTAAATTATTCTAAAAAATGCTAGCAAATGCTAAAAAATACTGATAATTTTTAAAAATTCTAAAAAATTCTATCAGTTTATACACCAAAATTCTAAGGTGGTTTACCCCTCGATTTTAGTAGTAGGATAGCTCCCTTATGATTTGAAATAATAACTTTTTTCCTATTTTTCTCCCAGTTAAGGAATTCTTCTCCTAGTTAAGGACTAGAATTCCTGGAAATTTCAGCTTATTTGGACTTATAGTTTCAGAAATAAAATTGTGTTAAGCAATTTGGGGTGATTTATCAATTTTTCAATTTTTCTGAGTGCCTTTTTTCATAGAATCTGACTCCAAATTTGAGAATAATTTAGTGTATGGAGTTTGGGGCATCTCAAAGAACCATTAGGACACAAAATCTCAACAAAATTTTTTTTAAATTTCAGCGTTTTAGTACTGAGGTAGCTTATGATTTAGATTTTGAAAAACTATGAGAGGTCATAACCTCGGTCATAACTTTTTTATGATACAAAAAAAAAAAATTATCGTTTCAGTATAAGAAGGTAAGTATTATGAATTAGATTTTGGAAAACTTTGAAAGGTCATAACTTTTTTTCTATTATAGATAGAAAGCTGAAATTTTCAGTGATTCTTATTCCAGTAGAGGACTACAATCCCTGAAAATTTCAGGTCATTTGGGCCTATAGTTCCTGAGATAAAATTGTGTTAGCAATTTGGGGTGATTTATCAATTTTTCAATTTTTCTGAGTGCCTTTTTTCATAGAATCTGACTCCAAATCTGAGAATAATTTAGTTTATGGAGTTTGGGGCATCCCAAAGAACCATTATGATACAAAATCTTGACAAAAAAAAAATTGAAATTTCATCGTTTCAGTAAGAAGTTTAGCTACCTTATGATTTAGATTTTGGAAAATTTTGAAAGGTCATAGCACGTATGCTAATTTTGACCAGATTCATTTTTTAGTTTTGAACATGAAACCTGAGATTATTTGTATTTCCGAAACACATCTAACGGAAATTATAGATAGTTCTGAAATATGTATCGACGAATATGAGTGCTTTAGGACTGATAGTTCAAGTAGGCATACAGGGGGCGTGCAGATGTATATCAAAAGGTATATCAAGGTATTGGAAATTAATAGAGTAGTATTGGGTAGGTCATATTGGTTATTAAGTACTAAATTGAATATACATGGAAGAACATTTTTTGTTGCATGCCTGTATCGTTCTCCTAACAGTAGCTGTGCTGAATTCATGACATTTTTTGAGACGTGGTGTAATGATTACGTCTGCGATGTTAATATTCCTTTGTTAATTTTTGGTGATTTTAACATTAATTGGTTGTCTACTGACTTTTATAGTGAAAAATTTAGGGCCTTAGCAAATGATATGGGTTTATTGCAGATTATAAATGAGGTTACTAGACCCACAATAAATGGTGGCACAATAATTGATTTGGTTTTTACTAATCAAATATCTGTGAATTTTAAGGTATTACAAGTCCCAAGAATTAGTGATCATTTTATGATATCTCTAGAAACAAAACTTTTTAGTTTTCCAAAACCAGAACCTATCATTTTAGAAAGCAGAGGAAAAAAGATTAATTTTGAGCTAATAAAAAATAAGTTATCACAGGTTGCATGGGATTTTCATGTAGCAGATATTGATAAAAAATGTGATAACCTTATCCTTACGATAAAAAATGCGTTTAACATTGTAGCTCCATTAAAAACAATTAAAATACAATCTCGTTTTAAACCGTGGTGGAATGAACGAGTTCAAGATGCAATAAGAGCTAGGGATGAGAGTTACAGACAACACAAGCTTATTAAATCTGAGGCGAGTCACGCAATTTACAAAGAGAATAGAAATATGGCAGTTAGGACTATTAGGCAGGAAAAAATCAAATATTTTGAAAATCAGGTGGATCAATGCAAAAATGACCCATCTAGTATGTGGTCTGCATTAGGTCAAATATTACCGCAAAATAAAAAATCCTTGAAAATTTCTGAAGTTCATATTAACAGTGAAGTGGTTAATGATAAGGATATCTTGCCTGATAGGTTAAATAGATTTTATATAAACAGCATAGAGCAAATTGTTAGTGAAATAGACAACACTGCGGACACTTATATGAATAATAATTATTCTTCAACTATATTGGATAGGTTTGATAACTTTAGATTGATCGATACGGAAGCTTTAAGAAAGGTTGTTTTCTCCTTGGAATCTAAAAGTAGCCCTGATGAAATTAGTGTCGACCTGCTAAAAAACATTTATGATGCCATTGAGGATCCACTCATAAATTTAATAAATTGTTCTTTTGATACCGGCGAATTTCCAAATCGGTTAAAGATGTCCACTATAATACCCGTCCAAAAAAAAGAAAATGTTCTTGATGCTACAAATTTCAGGCCTATAAATACTCTTGCAACAATAGAAAAGGTAATTGAAAAAATTGTTTACATACAGTTGCTAGATTTTGTTGAACATAATAACTTAATAACTAAATTTCAATCAGGGTTTAGAGCGAACCACAGTTGTGAAACTGCGGTTCAGTGTGTTGTGGATGAGTGGAAGAATTGGGCTGATAGTAACTATATGGTAATTGCAGTGTTTTTAGATCTCCAGAGGGCTTTTGAGACGGTAGACCGCAAAATGCTCTTAAATAAACTTGAAGCTGTGGGTGTTGGTGGATGTGTACTAAAATGGTTTAAGAACTATTTGGCAAATCGAGTACAGAATGTTAAAGTGAATGGAAAAGTTTCTGGAAATTTAGAAAATTATCATGGTGTACCTCAGGGTAGCGTACTGGGGCCAACTACTTTTTATTTTATATATAAATGACATGGCAGATATTTTAGGAAATGCTAACGTTCACTTATTTGCTGATGACACACTGGTTTATGCAGCCTCTAGGAATTTGACAAGCCTTGTTCAAAACATGAATGCGGCGTTAAATAGAATTTATAAATATACTGTGAAATATCGTTTAAAGTTAAATGCGAATAAGTCAAAATTCATGTTAATAACCAATGACAAAACCAAACTCCATTGTGATGACAATGATCTTTCATTGATGGTTGGATTTGATAAGATTCAAAGAGTACAAAAGTTTAAATATTTGGGGGTGATAGTGGATGATAAACTTTTATTTAGGGAACATTGCAATTATATTGTGTCTAAAATAAGTTTTAGTGTTAACTATCTATGTCGATGTTCCTATTTTCTCTCTTTCTGGTCAAAGTTAGTTGTATATAATACATTAGTTTTGCCACATTTCAACTTCTGTGCAACAATCATGTATTTATTCAAGCAGAATGAGGTGGCTAGACTACAAAAATTGCAAAACCGGGCTATGCGTATGATTCTTTCCTGTAGCAAGTATACACCAATAAACTCAATGTTAAGAGTAATGCAATGGCTACCGGTTGTGGAATTTGTAAGGTATAATGCCTTGGTTTTTATTTTTAAGATAAAGATTGGACGTGCTCCTGAATACCTTATAAACAAAATAGTTTACAACAATGAAGTGCATAACTATAATACCAGAAATAGAAATAATTTTTTCATAACTCCAAAGAGTAAAAAATGTACAATGAATTCAATTTTTCATAAAGGATTTAACGAGTTTAATAACCTACCAGAAGAGATAAAAAACTGCACTTCATTGTTGAGTTTCAAGAAAAAACTAAAAATTTATAGGTATGCTAGGTAATTGTGATATACTGGATGGTTGATCTTGTGATAACTTTTAAATTATTGTGTATCGTTTGTGATTATTAAGTTTTGTTCTGTTAGTTTACCTATTTTATGAATTATTTATTATTTTACATTTTATTTTTTACTTACTTTTCATATACTTATATTGTATATATTTTGTACTATTGTAAACTAGCAATTTTTATGCTAAATAAAGGATTTAATAATAACTTTTTTTCTATTATAGATAGATAGCTGGAATTTTTAGCAATTCCTTATCCAGTAGAGGACTACAATTCCTGAAAATTTCAGCTCATTTGGACTCATAGTTCCTAAGATAAAATCGTGGTAAGCAATTTGGGGTGATTTATCGATTTTTCTGAGTGCCTTTTTTCATAGATTTTGGCTTCAAGCGAGGCTTCAAGTTTTAGAATAATTTAGTGTATGGAGTTGGGGGAGTTCGCATTGATCATATAGACACAAAATCTCGAAAAAAAAAAAAAAAAAAATTGAAATTTCATCATTTTAGTACCACATACTAAGATACCTCTTTATTTTTTCCCGAGTTTTTTCCCAAGATAGATTTTGACATTGAAAACTTTGAAACATAAACAATAACGCTTGACTCTGATTGGTCGCAAAATGAGGTGTTTCTGCAGGTTGACATCAGTTTTACAATAGCGACCAATAAGCGGCATTAGCGGCGTTGTTTATGTTTCAAAGTTGACAATGCCAAAATCTATCTTGGAAAAAAATAAATCATAGCTCCCTTCTTATAACTAATGGCGTTTCCGATTGGTAGATTTAGTGCGGAACTAGAGCAATTTTTTCTATTTCTGTCTTTTTCTTCTACAAGTCGATTAAAAGGATGCAAATACACTCAGTGCGCACTGAATTTACCAATCGGAAACGCCATTAGATTGTTGAAAACTTTAAAAAATCATAACTTTTCATAGATAGAAAGCGGATAGTCAACCATCCAAGGACCTTTTTTTTTCAGTTATACATGTAAACCCCATACTTTGTGAGTGGCTTGCTTACATCAAGTCCTACAACTTTTCCTCTACGACTTTTCTCGGAAATGGCACGTATGCGCGCAGGCAACTCGCAAACATGTCGATCTGACGTAGCTATGTTTCCTGATACATGTAGGTAAATCTAATTTTACGAATACTGTTTGATTTTTATTTCTAAATCACGGAAATCAACTTGGCCGACAAAAATAATGGCAAATTGGGGGAGTCCGATACCCCCAAAATGTCGATCTGACGTGGTTATGTTTCTTGATACATGAAAATCTAATTTCACGAATAATGTTTGATTTTTATTTCTAAATCACGGAAATCAACTTGGCCGACAAAAATAATGGCAAATTGGGGGAGTCCGATACCCCTAAAATGTTTGCGAGTCGCCTGCGCGCATACGTACCATTTCCGAGAAAAGTCGTAGAGGAAAAGTTGTAGGACTTGATGTAAGCAAGCCACTCACAAAGTATGGGGTTTACATGTATAACTGAAAAAAAAGGTCCTTGGATGGTTGACTATGACATTTTCAACTCATTTGAACTTAGTTCATCAGAAAAAATCATGTTAAGGAATTGTCAGTGTTGTTAATTTTTACCATTTCCATGAAAATTAAAGATAAACTGATAAATAAGCATGCAAACTCTTACCTTTAACACTTTCAGTAAAGCTGTCAGTAATTTCCACCCAATTTTGAGAAGTTTTATCACTTTCAGCAGAATAATTGGGGCTTATCGAATGGTGGTGTGGACAGGACCTGAATTACAAAAAGATTTTAGGGACAAAAATGTAAAATGCATATTATGTTTAAGGATACTCACTCGTCGTCTTCCATTTTGCTACAGCTAATAATTAAGCAATTTACTAATTAATCTTAAAATAATTCAAATTTTTAAATTTATAAACAAATATACATAACCTCACTTTTATATCGCTCAAGCAGTGTTGCCAGAGTTTTTCGACGACATAGGGCAATCCACACAAAATGGCGGTCAATGCATGGTCAATGCCATAAATTTATTTAAAACAATCGTGACATTTTTTATCAAAAAACTGTTTTTTGTGTATTTTCTGGTATTTTTAGATAATTTTCTAGTGTTTGGGAGGATAATTTTCGTATTTTAGGATCGAAAGTTTTTAGTTTGAGAAATTATTAGTGGAAAACCCGGATAAAAAGGCATTGGCCTCCATTTTGAATTCCATTTTGACAGGTCGTTGGATTGCCCCAGGGCCGTATCTAGACCAAAATTTTGGGGGGGGGGTTAGAAAAAGTGGCAAAAAAAATTGTTACACTACTGATAAAAATTAAAAAAATAAATAAGTATTTAACGAGGGGGAATCCACCTACCTAATTTTGTACACCAAAAATTCTAAAATTCTGAAAAATGCTAATTTTCATGTTATTATTGTCCCAAAAAATTCTAAAAATCCCAACAAGTTGGGCAGGCTCTTGAGCATGCGCAATAGCTAAAAATTCTAAATTATTTCTAAAAAATTCTAGTTCAATTCTAAAAAATACTGAATAATTCTTCAAATTGCTAGAAAATACTAAAAAATGCAAAAAAATACTGATAATTCTGAAAAATTCTAAGAAATTTTAAAAATTTTATCAGTTTGTACAGGGTGATCTATTATAAATGTCACCCCCTGCCAAGAATCGTAAACTCTACAGGATTGCTCAATCCCATAAGACAAACGTTCATAAAAACATCGAAGATGGCGGTATGCGAATGACGTCACGCAGTCCTTGATCGGTTTGTGTTTTTTATGACAGTACACTATCCTTGCATTTTCAAACGTGAAAAATTGTTATTTTGAGGTTATTTCCTTTGAAAACTGTATTTTGTAATTAATTTATTGATTTTAAAATTAGCAGACTTCAAAAGCTTGTGTCCTTGAGGCTTGAGTGGTTGGCTAATTGCTAATTAGAAAGACGAGTTTGTTTGCTTTTGTTTATCAATTAGCCAAACATATTGCCAAAAAGTCAAAAAAACGAAGGGCTGGAGTCAAGCTGGCCCCCGGATTCGTTTCAATGTTTTTTTTGTGTATGAAAATGAGCACAATTCGCATAAATACTGGCACAATTATTATTATTATTATTATTATTATTATTATTATTATTATTCGTATCAGCGGCCATCTTGAAAATGCGCGTGACGTCACAGCAATTGTGAACAAATTTAGCCGATTGAGCAATCCTGTAGAGTTTACGATTCTTGACCCCCTGCTAACTTTATCATTTGACGTTTTTGACAGAAGTTTTAAGAAATTGTCAAAAGTCTTTAACTAAGTTAGTTTTAGGCATACAGGGTGCGTCAAAAAAGTGCAGCAGTATGAAGTTATATTTTTTAAAATGGAATACCCTGTATATTGTATGCTTATTTGTAAGTCCCCTTTAACCTGATTTCAACGATATACGGTTTCATATGTTTATCTCTCGATTTATCTTCAATAGTTATAGGGAAAAACGCGAAAATCCCTTGGTAGGTCTCTCATGTTATTTTTTCAAAAATAATGATAATAACTTAGACACCTGAATTTATTATAATATTTCACCTTGTATATTAATGAATAAAATTTGAACAATAAACTGTTCATAAAAAAAATTCTCTAAAGCTTCAATGGTATAATTTTTCTTTTTTCAATATGAAACCTTGAAAGGGGTTTTCATGTTTTTCCCTATAACTATTGAAGATAGACATATCAAACCGTATATCGTTGAAATCAGGTTGAAAGGGACTAACAAATAAGCGCATAATATATAGGGTGTTCCATTTAAAAAAATATAACTTCACACTTCTGCACTTTTTCGACGCACCCTGTATGCCTGAAACTGACTTAGTTAAAAACTTTCGACAATTTCTCGAAAAAAAAACAAAAATCCATACAGATTGCGCAGTGCGCAGGCTCTTGCGCATGCGCAATAGGTGAAAATTCTAAATTATTTCTAAAAAATTCTAATTCAATTCTAAGCAATACTAAAAAATTCTAAATAATTCTAGAAAATGCTAGAAAATACTAAAAAATGCTAAAAAATACTGATAATTCTAAAAGATTCTAAGAAATTCTAAAAAATTCTATCAGTTTGTACACCAAAATTCTAAGGTGATTTCCCCCTCGGTATTTAATAAGTGTTGTTTGTTTTTAAGTTACATTTTTTGAATTTCATTATTTTTCCTAAACTCACACGAAAATAGGAAAAAAAAAATAGAATAGGCCTGATCAAAATTTTACTTCATTTGGGGCAACTTTGATCACGCTTCAGTTTTGCCCGTAAAATCAATGAAACAAATAAAATCTAAATAAAAAAAAATAAAATAAAAAAAAAACACCAGAAATTAAGAAATAAATACGCTTTTGCTTTAATCAAGTTTGTTTTTTATTACAAAAACATAAAACTAACAGAAAAAAATATATATTTTGTATCTAAAGGTTGAACAAAAGTAAAACAAAACGAAAAACAAATTACTAAACAAACTTAAACCAAATAACATTTGCTGTCTGTGCTCCAGACACGAAAACAGAAAAATTGTAATTTCTAGGAAAACGGACGTGATGAGAAAGTAGCACTTTAGACCTCTACAAAACTTTCAAACGCCTTGAAATCATATTGCCCCCTATGATGTTCTGAGGGTTCTCGGGATCCTATAATTTCAGATCTCTGAACGAAACTTTCATCCAAAATGTCAGGAAAAACAAAAAAATTGTTCTTTTTACCTTTTTTAAATCTCAGAAAACTGACATTAAAAATATCGTCACCTAATATTATTTCTGTTATTTTGCTTACAAAGTATTTATCGACATTTGTATTGACAGTTCTCATTTTAACTAAGACAAACGATTCAATTTTCAATTCTGTACTTTCCAAATTTTCGGTCGATTTAGTGTTGCAGTTTTCGTTTTCCTTTTCTTCTTCGTTGAATTGTTCTCTTCCTTGTTCGTCATCTTCATCGTGAATAGCTTCATCCTCTGTTTCATTTTGCATGGTTCCTTCTTCGAACATTTCTGAGTCTGCTGTAACGTGCGTTACGCTTTTGCCAGGAACGACTTTTACCATTTTCTTTTTTTGCCTTGTTGAGGTACTTGGACCCCCACCAAACCTCTGCTCTTTCAAGAAATCAATTAGTGTATTGCCTATGTCACCTTCATTTTCTTGAATATATCCCGGAATTTTTGATAAGAACCTCTGAGGATCATACCGGAAAACTCCAGTCGCGGCAAATCCACTAATTAGGATTCTTTTTATTGCATGGCCTTCACCCACGTTATCCATTGCAGATAAAGCTTGTTGAAGAAGGCTGGGAAATTCTTCTTTAGGCAAGCCACCTATATTTGGGTTTTTTGTTTTCCAAGCTCCTAATATTTTTCGCCAAGTTATTTTCATCGGCCTGAAAAAACAGACATCAAGAGCCTGTGTAAGGTGAGTGGAATGGGGAACCAAACACACAAAAGCGATATTATTTTTTTCGCAACACTTAAGAACATCGTCCGTGAAATGTGCGGCCAAATTGTCCCCAATGATAACTTTTTTCCATCTAGTTTTTTTGCATGTGGTAAGAAACAGGTCATAAACCAATCCGTAAAACTTGATACCTCCATCCAGCCATGATTCGTTCTATTATATCGCGAACCACCACTGCAACACCTATCTTCGCAACAAGGACTACCTTTTGGACCATTTTCCGTCCAAGTATTCCACATCTTTGTGGATCTGTATATTATGTATGGCGGAAGTAGTACACCTGAAGCCGATCCACATATCATAATTGTCGTAGCAGATTTGGTAAAGTTACAGATTTGTTCGGGGTACTTTACACCTCGTCTATAAATTTTAAATTTTTTTCCAGGATCGTCCGCCATATTTGTTTCATCATAATTGAATAAATGCGATGGAGGGACATTTTCTATTGTTGCTTTCAAATTATTGAAATATTCTTTCAACGACGCTTCGCTGACTGTAGCTCTAGCTCTTTTAATGTTTGCAGCGACCCTTTTACAAATGTCAGATTTGTTTCTTATTAAGAGGCCATCCACCCCAATCTATACCAGGCTTATTTTCCGTTAGATAAGGTATTATCTTGCCCTGCTTGTCAAGATAGTTTTTGGCTAAGAACTGCATGTCTTCTTTGGACAAGGGATATCCCCAGTCGCCACAGGTAGCGGCGCTTTTGACGAGTTGAAGTTCTTCTTGTGGAGTGAATAATGTGGGACGTCCTACTGAACGAATGTGGAGCCCTTTGTACCTGTTGTACAAAGTCCCAAATGGAATCCCATATTGTACTGACGCTTTCCGTATACTAAAATTATCTTCTGTAACTTTTCCTAAAGCTTCTTCGACAACTTCCTCTTTATAGTCTTTATATTTTCTGACACCCAAAGTTCTCTGGTATTTTCGGACCATATTTCTGCAAGATAAAAATAATATTCAAGTATGTAGGTACCTGCATTACTATTACCATATGGGGCAACTTTGATCATGATCAAAGTTGCCCCATAAAAGGCGATTAAAGTTGCCCCACGAAGGATTTTAATAAATGAAGGGTCTAATATTATTTTGAGAAAAATCTAAAAATGATATTTCTGTTCTCAGGTTGATAGGTTTCCATGTAAAATAATAAAAATTGATCCATGATAAAATAGTGAAGCTGTGTATATGAAATTTCAGAAGCTTTTTAAAATAAACAAACGTTAAAAGTAAACTTTCCTACCGCGGCAAATCGCACCACCATAACCACACTCTCGCAAAGGACTGACACTTGAAAAACATATGACCTGTTGAGACGCGCCAAGAAATTTGCGCTTGCGTAGTAATACAAGAAAATAATAGTTGAGACATGGGTTATCAAAATTGCCCCACAATTATCAAAGAAGCCCCAGTTGACGGTACGTAGCAGTAGAGTAGCACTGAAAAATTGGAAGAGGAAGATCCATGGAATGGGTATAGAGATAAATAATAGGTGCCTGTATTTACTCTTCAGTTTGCAGATGATCAGGTCATAGTGGCCAGTGACAAAGAGGACATACAATATATTATTAGAAAGCTGATAAAAGAGTATCAAGAATGGGGCCTGAGAGTTAATATAAATAAAACAAAATATCTATGTGTAGGCAACCAGAACGGAAACTTGGAAGTGGGCGATGGTCAGGAAATTCTGCAATGTCAAGAATATGAATATCTAGGTATCACATTCGACAACACCAGAACATACGTGAAAGAAATAGAAAAGCGAATAGTTAATGCTAAAAAAGTAATATAGGATGCCTAAATGGAATATTATGGAGCAAGGAAATTACAAAGAAGAGAAAATTTAATATACCTATACGAGACAATGATAAAGAGCAGCCTTCTATATGGAGCCGAGACTTGAAGAATTACAGACAGACAAAAGGAAAAAGTGGAAGCGGTTGAAATGGATACTATGAGAAGATCCATGCGAATCTCACGAAGAGACAAAATAAGGACCGACAATATAAAACAACAAATGGGTATAGAAGGTACGATAGTCCAGGACATTGAAAAGAAACAACTTACCTGGTACGGACACGTAGAACGAATGCCAAATGACAGGTGGCCCAGAAAAATGCTGCATTGGCAACCAACTGGTAGAAGAAAACGAGGAAGACCAAAACTGGAATGGCAGAAGACCATACAGAAGTCCATCAGTGAAAGAAATCTCTCATCAGAGGATTGCGACGATAGAAGAGGATGGAAATTAGGTGTCGGACAACGAAGAAAGACGTTCTAAAACGACATGTATATATATTGCCAGTATTGCCAACATAATGTCATTTTGACTTTTTTTTTAAAAAAACAGAATTTAATTAATTTATTTTAATAAAAATTGAATTTTTTGGTAAAATGATTGGAATATTTGCTAAATTATCAATTTGCCTCAAAATCCTTCAACTTCGGATAAAAACCTTCAATCCTTCAATAGTCAAAACTTTAGATCAAAACCCTTCATATTGAAGGAAATCCTTCAATTCTGGCAACACTGCGCTCAAGAAAATGTCAAAAGTTGACATTCACACCCAATCAGAAGCCGCAATCTAAGCTTGGCAACAGCGCTAAAGGTTTTTCAAATTCAAAAATAATCTCCTTTTGGCGCCTTTATATTATTTGTATTTTACAATAATTATTATAATAAAAATTGATATTTATAGAACAAAATTATCTCCTGGTAGTCCTCTCGCTCCCAAACCAGTCACTTTGAACGTAGCTCCATGATGGGGTGGTAATAATTTTTCACCATCCACGGTAAAACTTGCACTTGTTACAAATAAAACATCCAAATCGATGCCACCCCAAGCTACAGAAGTCACCTAAAACAAAAAAATCAATACACAAACAATAAACTAACAATAAATTCTTACCTGTTTAGCAGGAATTTCAACCGTCTGCAACAAAGTCTCTGGTTTTCTGGGATCGATTTTGATCACCTTGTAACTGTTGAAAACTGCCACCCATAAGTTACCATCTGTATCGATTGTCATACCATCAGGAAAACCTTCAATGTTATGCTTGGGTAGAGTAAAAATTGGTGTTCTGTTTGCTACAAACAAATACAATTTAAATTGATTTTAAAATGAAGTCTCTTCTCACATGAAATAACAAACCGCAGTCAAAGTGAATTTCATTGCGGTTGTTGACGATTTGCACCAATCAATTGGTTTGTGATTTCTGTAAGAACAAACCTATGATGGGCTTACAAATGGTTCCATTAAGGCGATCATAATCAAACGCATCTACACTATAAGCAAAACTATCAATGTAATAGAATTTATTTAATTTGGTATTCCATGCTAAACCATTCGAAATGCCCACTTTTGTTACGTGAGTCTTAACTTGGCCTTTGTGTAAGGAAAATAAGGAGCCCGATGCTAGTTGGACGTGACCATTTTCTGGTTCTGGTCCCATAGTACCTATAATTATACATTATTATCATTAAAAAAAAAAATAAGTCACATTATTACCCATCCATAGTTTTCCACTAGGATCGCATTTTCCATCATTAAGTCTGTTTTCAGTACCTTCATCTACTTCAGCTAATTTTTCAATTTTTGATGGTTTTTCAGACTTACCATCCCATGTGATAAGTTGCACAGTTCTTTCAACTGTAACCACGAATTGGTCTCGCTTACCTTTTACTGGAACCACCACTGATATTGGCTTGTCTAGAAAGTACTGTTATAGCCACCAGATTAAAAAGGTAGGTATACCTTAAAAAAAAAGTCTTACCAAACACGAGCTTAGAATGATGTCCCGTAGATGGTATATATTTATGGAGAGCTTTGCCGAATATATCCACCAAATAGAGACTTTGAGTTTCTGCGTCCCAATGAGGACCTTCGCCCAGTTCCAAGTTGGGAATTTCGGCAATCTTTTCAATTTTTGGCGCCATACCTTAATAATTTGTTAATAAATATTGATATATTAAAAATAATATGTATTGTTACTTTGCCTTTACCTTATTGACTCAAAATAAAACGTTTTCAACCGGCAATGGAATTCTCACAATAAAATCTAAACTCCTCGTCTTATCGTTTTTATTATGTAATCATCAGATTCTTTTTTATTATTTATTTATTTGACCTCGAGGAGGTTAACAACAAAAACTGTTTTAAAAATTTAATGTGAAATCGTGTTTGTCAACAGCAGAAATGATATTATAAAACTCATCAGTAGGAAAGTGAAAGTCCCCACTTTTACTTTATGTTTTTCGTTATTTTTAGATACAGCAAATTAAGTCATCATATAGGCGGGCCTTTCATTATAAAGGACTAGGGCCTCACACACTACGATGAAACACGTCGTTCCAAAACCGAAGTGTGTGGTAGAAAACCATCGTGTTTTTCTACCACACTTTGCCTTTTAACAGGAATTTAATAATATTACTTTACCAAACTAGTAATATATTTTGTGACAAGTTATTCAAGTACAAACGAGTGGATTGTTGCGGAACTTATGGATGGACCCAGCCATCTATTCACCAATATGTTGTTCAAGTACAATACTAACCTGACTCACTCAAATGGTGAGTTATTCTCATTAGTTTAAAAAGTACACGTTTCAGGTGATAGAGTGTCTTATTTGAACAATTTAACAGTATTTTGGTGAATAGATGGCTGCGGAACTCGCTGCGCTCGTCCCGCAGAGGTCCACCCATAAATCCCGCAACAATCCACTTATTGGTACTTGAACAATAACTTATTATATAAAGTCGGAATTTGGAAGATTATCCACTTTTTGTCAATTTGCCTTTTAACAGGAACTAGTAATGTTACTTTACCAAACTAATAACATAATGTGACAAGTTATTCAAGTACAAATGAGTGAATCGTTGCGGAACTTATGGGTGGACCTCTGCGGGACGAGCGCAGCGAGTTCCGCGGCCATCTATTCATCAATATGTTGTTTAATTACGATACTAACCTGGCTCACTCAAATGTAAGTTATTCTCATTAGGTAATTTAAAAAGTACACGTTTCAGGTGAGTGTCTTATTTGAACAGTTCAACAGTATATTGGTGAGTAAATGGCTGCGGAACTCGCTGCGCTCGTCCCGCAGAGGTCCAACCAGAAGTTCCGCAACAATCTACTTATTTGTACTTGAACAATAACTTATTATATAAAGTTAGAATTTGTAAGATTATTCACTTTTTGTCAATTTGCCTTTTAACAAGAATAAGTAATGCTACTTTATCAAACTAGTAATATATTGTGACAAGTTATTCAAGTACAAACCAGTGAATTGCTGCGGAACTTATGGGTGGACCCAGCCATCTATTCACCCATATATTATTCAAGTACGATACTAATCTAGCTCACTCAAATGTGAGTTATTCTCCTTAATTTAAAAAGTACACGTTTCAGGTGAGTCTCTTATTTGAACAGTTCAATAGTATATTGGTAAGTAGATGGCTGCGGAACTCGCTACGCTCGTCCCGCAGAGGTCCACCCATAAGTTCCGCAATAATCCACTTATTTGTACAGGGTGTTTTTTATATATTGACACCCCACCTACAGCCTTTACCTTTACAGGTAGAAGAAAGGTGTAAATACAAAAGTTGCACAGTTTTGGCTGAATTTTTAGAAATAATGGTCAGAAACAGAATTTGAATGTCAGAAATATGAAATTTTGTATGCTTCCAGCTTTTTTCAAATGGGATGCCCTATATATTTCATTCTATATTCTTGAAGAGCACAATGCCCCGATCTATATATTTGATTGAGCAATCTCTCATATATTCGACTACAAGAATAAATGTAAAAATAGTAAAAATACTGTCCTACTACTGATTTTGTTAACCATTCTACCTGTACAGGTGAAAGCTGCAGGTAAAATTTGAGGTTGGTTTCTCTGATAGTATTTTTTAAATTTTTAGAATCAAATATGTTGGAGACGGCTCAACCATCAAATATAGACAAACTATATAGTTTTTTTATCGGGAAATTGTGCTCTTAAAGAATATAGAACCAAATATAGTGCATCCCGTTTTAAAAACGCTGAAAGCATGTAATATTTCACATTTCTGATATTCAATTTTTATTTTTGACCATGGATTCTAAGAATTTAGCCAATACTGTACAACTTTTGTATTGATACCTTTCATCAACATGTAAAGTTGAAGGCTGTAGGTGGGGTGTCAATACATAAAAAAACACCCTGTAAACACCTTATGGCTACCTTATGATTTAGATTTTGGACAACTTTGAAAGTTCATAACTTTTTTCTTAAAGGTAGAAAGCTGAAATTTTCAGCGATTCTTATCCCATTAGAGGACTACAATCCCTGAAAATTTCAGCTAATTTACACTTATAGTCCAGAAATACAATCGTGTTTTGAGCAATTTGGAGTGATTTATCAATTTTTCTGAATACCTTTTTTTGTACTCAGTTCTGGAAAAAAAAACTAGAAAACTGCAAATGTTCCCAAAAATATCTGGTGGGGTAGGTTGTAGTACTTCTACATAGTGCTTCCACAAAATGCTTTTGTATTTGAATAATAATTTTAAAAAAACAATTTCTCAGAAATAATAGAGAAGATAATAAAAAGTTCAACCTCTAAAAACTTAAATATGCAAACTCATTTTCAATTATTACAAATTCAAGATTTGTTTGTCGCTGTTTCAAATAGCCTCAATTAAAATCAATTAAATAAGTAAAATCACACACAACTCGATTGCAAAAATTCCTGCTGGGAAGTCCAGATGCCACTACAATCGACGCCGCAGCATCGGAAAAATCGACGCGCAACTCGTCCAGTTCCTGAATCCTTGGGCAATTTCGCCACCCCCTTCTTCTTGCCAGAACAGGACGAGTGAACGGCAGCAGGACATTTTTCCGAGGAGTGCAGGACAGCGAAATGGCGGACAAGAAACCGGCCGAAAGTCAGTTTTATACGCGTCCACCGCAATTGGGCAAATGGGAATCGTTAAGGGTGTTTTTGTGGAATTCGGAAACGAAACAGTTTCTTGGCAGGACTGGAGGTAGTTGGGGTAAGTGATTTTTTTTTTTTGTAATAATCTAATATTTAATTCCGGGACACTAAATCAAAAAAATGAGTTTGTCCTTATGAGAAAATCCATTTCCACCTTACTGTAACCTTTTGACCTTTTCTCAAATTACTCCTATCCTCCCTCTCCTTATTCTTCATTTATTCACCGGGTTATGTAACCTTTCACTCCCTCTTCACCTACTTTTTTTCCCCTTTTTATTAACCAATTAATATAAATGGGTTTGTAGACAAAAAAGTTTTGGGGTCTTTTATGGGTTTTAAGGGTAGCAAAATTATCTTTTGCTATAAGGGTAGTAGTTATAGATGGCGCCGTCGCGACGCCTTTTTGGATTTCAAACGGACGACGCCCGATATGCAGGGGTCGATTGTGTGTTATTTTTTCGATGGTTTGCGTGAATTTTCGGAATAAAGATATCGATCATTGGAATTTCATGGATGGAGAAATTTTAAAAAAATAATAAAATGTTCAATTTTGCTATAAAAAAACAAGTCTAATTGTCTGTTATTTAAGCTCGGAATTTCCTGCTGGCGTCAAGGTTTTGTATTTTATTGAATACATTCTAATTGATATTATCAGAACAAATACATAATAACTCATCCAAGTACCTACTTTATTTAAAGTACTCCAACAACTTTAACAAACTTGGGTTAAAACTTGTTTATTCTGAGAATATTATTGGGCTCACAATTATTATTTATAACCAAAATTCCTGCAGATTGGCACAGCGAAAAATCAATTTAACATTCTGACCTTGTTATCAATAATTTCGGCTCCTAATAATTTATTGCAAAGTTTACTAATTTACTGTTTAGAATTATGACCACTGCTACTAGCCAAGGTAAAGAATAACTTCATTTCTAACTTCAATTTAACGAAAATTCAGTGCACCCAACAGGATGAAGCTTATTAAAATCATTTTGCTCTAAATAATGTATGCAAATTATTGTTTTCAATGTCATATTTTGTTGTTAATTGAGTTATTCCTTTCATAATACATCACTTTTTTAGAATATGTAATTTTTGAATTCCATGACTATCTGTTTACAAAAGTTGTTCCTGGAATATTCTAGAAATGTCACATACTTTTGGTCATTCTGGAATTTTCTGACCATTGTTTTATTATGTAAGGTCTTTTACAATTATCAATCAAATTTCATATTTCTTTGTGTTGATGAGCTTAATTTTCTCAATTCAAATTAATCATGGAAAGTTTCTGTACTCCCTAGACTTATGTCCAATTAAAATTTCCAATTCCAAAAATAAACTACACACTATCACGTTATCAATAGGCTTCACAGCTCATTAATCAGCTTCATCTTTCGATAGTCAATCAATTCCCAAATTGGAACGGTGAGTGAGCAGAAAATAAATACGTCGCTCGGAAATAAAATTTCGTACGAGCTTCTCTGACGTTTTACAAATTGGATATTGGAACTATAAGAAAACATTCAAGGTAAAAGAGGAAAACTGAGATTAAAGTAGGTATATATTATTCATACAAAGGCCTATGGGAAATCGACGGAAAAGTTTATGAAAAGTTAATGAATTGATTGGTCCTTTTTTTCCCAATTTTAAACCTTTATTTTGCCTTAGACTGCATTATAATTTATAGCTTTTTTGGGTTTTTTTCTTCAGCACAGTGGATTTGGTGGACCCTTTGTTGAGACACACTCATCCAGTATCCAAATTTTTGTTTCTAATTTCCCATTGAAGTATAGAATTGAAAATCTTTTCCTGTAGAGGGGAATAGAATTGCAATTTTTGAAAATCTCAAAAACAGTTGTAGAGCGAGTAGAAGTACCTCAGATTGGAATGGCCAAAAGCATAATTTAAAAACGTCCAATATTTCGAAACTTTTATCTCCAAATCGATTTCACCCACTTCCGGATCCCCCACCTAACAAAAAAAAAATATAAAAAGTTGAAAATGCCGCCACTTTACTACAGACGCTGCCGACGGTGGCGTCGGATCGTCACAGTGGCGTATTGATCGGATTTACCCTCTCTTTCGCTCTCATCCCCTTGCCCGAGTCTCTTACGACACATTTATCTGCGGAAACGCCACCCTCTCCTACCCCCGTTACTGACCTAGTTACGATTCGCGTGCCTGATACAGCTTAATTGTATACTGTTCATTATTTTCTCCAGCTAACATTGAGATTTCTGAACTATGAAAGGCTCTTCTATTTCTTAATTTTTGTAGCTTATTCCTGGCACTCGAATTCCTTGAAATAAAAAGAGCAGAGTATTCCAATTCCAGTCATTAGTCTGATTCACTCAATAATAAACTTTTCAATGATTGAGTGTGTGTTGCTCATTAGTTCAAAAATTTTCAACGACTTTTTAATAAGTAACTCTTGAATTTGTCGAAATAAGGGATTCAAGAACCTGGCATAAAACAAAATGTGAAGATGATGATCTTGTGAACATGTAACAGAGACATTTCAGAAAGATAAAAGGAAGCCAATTTATGAAGAATATTTTACAATTCAGAGTTTTCTATAGTTAGGAAATAAAATACATAGTTCTTGACAAAATATAATTTCAATACATAATAACTCGAACCAAAATATCTATATCAGCAAGGAATTTGACTATTGCAATTAATACTTTTATTTTGAATGAATAATCCTGACTATCCAATAAATCAAATCAAGCTGTATAGCGCCCGCCCTAGTATCACTGTATAAGATGTTGATTGTTGGCGAGCGGTTTCCAATTTATCACAGATTTTTACCAGTGTAGCTACAGTGGTAGGGTTTGTAATTGCTAAGGGTGGAAGAAAGTACACAAATCCTCTGCATTCCAAATGGTTGATATCTCTTTATTTATATAATCAGGTAAACAAACTTCTTTATTTACTCCAAGACTTGAAAGAGCTCTTAAATTAGTAACTTCAATTTCAAATACATTTCATCAAGTTCCTTATTCAATATCAATCGCTACTTTGCTGTTATACTCTTTAAAAGTTTATACGATTTACTAGCATAAAATTAATTCGAGCAGTGAATGCATATTACTAAGAGTCAATAGATAAGTTATAGTTCAAATCTTTGAAGTTCACAATTATCTATTTAATTAGTTAAATGGTAAATGGCGAACGGTGTATTGGTGGTGTTTATTTCCTTGAGCAACTACCTATAAAATTTTGGAGGGGGTCTATTCGCAAAAGAGAGAAACAAACTATTGAGGTTTACTAAATTATATTTTATTATATTTAAAACCAAAAATTTAAATAAGCAAATACCTTTCTATTCTGACAGCCACTTCTATTTTTCCCAATTCAAATTATTTCCCATCCGTTCAAATTTCATTACTACGGACCAGGAAATATCCATACTAAAAACGCCCTACTTCTTCTATTCCTAATAACTTATAAGTTTATACATTACTCTTTCAAACAACACTTCCGATTCACATTCCTATTAAAACTACCCTTCACCTATATCTATAAATTCTTAAAACTCCTAAGTCATTTACTGGCAGCTTATGCAAAATAATTATTTAAGTCATAATCCTACTCACTGGATTAAGTATATATGTATTACCTACCAACTATATTTTTATAAAAATCTTATAATAATTTCTGAATGGTTAAAACCATAAATCAAAATTTTCCATTACATTTGATGGTTTATTCTTTTACTAAGGATCAATTTAAACTGAACAATTACTATTTTCGAATTCCTAGCCAACATACACAATTATTTAAATTCTTATTAGTTCGTTACTATATCCCTTAAACTTCAATTGGACAATCCAATTCAAAATTCTTTAATAATTCCTACTCAAAATCAATACTTGTTAAGTGCATTATAAATTCCCCCTGTTAAACTCTTTGCAAAATTAAGAGAAATGTCATTTCACTCAAAGCAATTAAATTTATGCAATAATGTTCCATAGTCAAAACACTCGAGTTATTAATATTTATGCAATAAAGTTCCAAAGTTAATTCACTTCATAGTCAATCATCATTTATAAAGTCAAAAAGTTTTACTAGTCACTAGAGTACTTACATTTAACTTTTAACACGTTAAAATACTTTATTAATTTACTTCAAAAATCTCTAGAGCTCGCACATAATGTTGAACGAATTTAAATGTTCTTTCTTTCACAATTTTCCGTTACTATTTCAAAGATTCAATCAAACGCGTTTTTCCCGAGGCAAAAATAAAAGAAACTTTTCGCGAATTTTATACGGACTAACTCATTAGGTACTGTAGACTTTTAACCCAAACTGGACTGAACTTAAACTGAACTCAACTCAACTCAACTACCCTCCACTTCTAAAACCGCTGTATTTATCTTTTTCGATTCCCCCCAAAATATTATTAATTACCAACCAAAATCGACAATGGGCGGTCGTTTGACTATCTAAAATTTAATTCTATTGGTGGACTACTCGACCTAGATATTATTCCAATTATTCCAAAAACTAATTTCATCATTTTTAGAGGATGATGCAATCTGTTCGAAATTTTTGTTATTTTGGGTCCAATTTAATTAGGTGCCTAACCTTGTAATTGATCTCTTCCGGGTTTTTATTTGTTTAAAATCGAATAATTATGTCGCAATTTCCTGGTTTAGTGGGGTCAACAGATTTGGTTGTAAGAATTGGACATATAACTCAAATACCGACATACGTGTGGTCATAAATCACCTATTTAATTACTTTGGCCTCGCTTTTAATATTTATGAATTTGATTTAGATGATGACTAAATAATAAGAAATTAACGTTTTTTAGATATTTTAATTAATTTGAGTCAATTTTTATTGGTTTCATTTTAAATTTTTTGATACTGATGTTAATTATTAGAGATTCAGTTTTTGATTATTTGATTACATTTAATTTTTTTTTTACAGTAGAGACATTGTAAATTACGGGTCTATTTTCCCGGGTCATTCATTACACAATGTTCAATTCTCTTCCTAGGGGTGTCTTTACTTGTCGTCGCGACGCGTGATTAATTTTTACTACCCATCCCGAATTCAAATGTTCGATTTCTGATATCTACTTCAAGTTCGCTATTTAAAACTCTATTTTACGAATTGCCATCTGACCATGATTTTATAGACTGTTTTGTTTAAGTATATCAAAAATTATTAAGTTGCCGGTTGGAACTTCACTAGTTTTCACGATTTAAGAATTTTCTCACTCCGATTCAAGAATTTCCTATTATAGTAACTTTGTTTAGAGTTAGACCAAAATTTACTGCTTACTACATTTTCGGAAACTGACTTATTACTCGACTTTCAACTCAAGCTTCGGGCCGTTCTGTCTCACTTACTTAGTGACTTTTTCTTACTGTCTTCAAACAGCATGGACATGCCCTTTTTATACGCGATTTTTGCATCATTTCTGGCCACTGCTCCGCGCTTTTAGAATTTCTTTTCTTTATGAATTTAAAAAGTCAACAACATCTGCAGGTGTTCGTTTTTAAAGGTTCGCGTCCGGATGCCGCTATAATAAATTAGAATCGGTTCAAGTTCAAGGAGACACTTGAAATTTAATTTTAATTTTTCTCGGTACGAATATGTATCTATATGTAATTCTTGTCTCAAAGGATGCCGCCCGCCATAAATTATAAATTTGTCTCAAGGTAAAACGTTGAAGAAATTTAATTAATTAAATAATTCTCTAAGTAACCGAGCTCGTCTTTTTGTGAGTCATTACACAAACCAATTATACCAATCAAGAGCTGGGGAATAGCAAAATATTGGATTTCCAAATTTCACAAGAATATTTCCAGTTCAATTCCTACAATATAACATATTCACAAAAAACTAACTCCACTAAGCCTAACCATTGTATATTCGCCTATATTCCACCAGCTTTAGCAATTCCAGCAGCACCACCAGGTGATGCTCCAAGGGCGTTGAGTCCAGCAATTGTATACTATGATCGCGCACACACGTGTGATGTACAACGTTTTATCTACAAGCGAAAAATAAGACAATACAGTTTCAAGTCGATCATTAACCTTCCTCGTTTTTTCAGCAAAAATCCTGTTCTTCTACTTGATCTTCTATGCCGTACTGACTGGATTTTTCGTGGCGATGCTGGTGGTCTTTTTCCAGACTTTAGATTACAAAACGCCTAAATGGCAATTGGATAGCTCACTTATAGGAAGCAATCCAGGTATGTAAAGTCATAACTTTGAATATTTGAAAAGTATTGAATTATCAAATATGTTCTCAGGTCTTGGATTCAGGCCTATGCCCCCAGAAAGTAACATAGAAAGTACGTTGATTTGGTACAAACATTCCGACAAGGGAAACGTACAATATTGGCAAAGGGAACTCAACAAATTTTTGAATCGTAAGTGTTTATATAATCAATTATTTTGTATTGATTGGATTATTATTTGTTTTTAGATTATAATAGAAGCAACAACGCCCATGCGGACAAATTGGAAGATTGCAGGCAGTTCCAGTCGCCTTCTCCGAACAAAGTTTGCAACGTTAAAATCGACCAAATGTGGCATCCTTGTGTCAAAGATGCTGGCTACAATTACGAATCCGCAGAAGGAGGACCTTGTATTTTCCTTAAACTGAACAGGGTAAGAATTTTTGCGATTTTTCCAGGATGGTTGACCAACATCTAATTATCCATTACTAACTCTTATTTTTGGTCATTGGACTAATGACCCCTAATTAATGGGGTTCATCTCCAGGTTCAAGAACCTTGTGATGTTTTCTGATTGTAATAATTAATTCATCAGAAAATAAACTCAATTATGTTATTTTGTAGATTTTCAACTGGATTCCAGAATATTTCAATTCGTCTACAGTTGATCAGGTACAAATGAGCCCCGGCCTTAAAAAAGAGATTCTTGAAGCAGAAAGCAAAAATCAGGTAAAATTATTATTTTTCCAAATTGCTTGTGGTTAAAAGTGATTTATTTAAAGCACCAAGTCGTATGGGTGTCTTGTGAAGGCGAAAACGTAGCTGATATCGAGCATATCGGCCCAATCCGGTATATTCCTCAAAAAGGGTTCCCGTCTCAGTTCTTCCCTTACAAAAACCAGGAAGGATATTTAAGTCCGCTTGTTGCTGTACATTTTGAAAAACCAAAACGTAAGTTTAATGACCATTAAAAAACCAAGAACTATTTTTTCTGAAAATTCAATTCAATTTCTCCTTTAGGTGGTGTTCTAATTAACATCGAATGCAAAGCCTGGGCAAGGAACATTATCCACGACAGAGTCGACAGGAGAGGTTCCGTCCATTTCGAACTTATGATCGATTAAATTCTCACAAAAATTTTATCTAGCAAAAAAGGAGGCTCCAAAATAACTGCCAACAACTAATTTCTCTCTGACAAAATACTCTGTGTTTAATTTATTTTTGCCATAATCTTACGAATTCGTTTCGTAAAATTGTGGTTCGTAAATAGCAATATAAACTCAAAAAGTAGGTACTTAAAAATAATCGAAATAAGTATCAGAATCTACAAATTTGAATAATGCAAACTAGAAATCGGTGTCTCAAATATTATTTTGTTGTCGAAAGTATGAAAAAATTAATCGTTAAATTATGCCTAAAGTTTAAACAAAACGCTGTTTTAGTGTTTTGATGTAGCGTGTGGACCCCGTACTAATTAATAAATAAAATATATTTGGAAGCATATACTTTTTAGTTATTTTGATTTTTTTTTAATGCCATGCTAGTTTTATTGTAAGATATACATAGGTATAAGCTAAGAGTTAATTCCTCTGATTGAGAAATGAAAACAATTGTAGAGAAAAAAAGATATTTGTTGGAGCAGTAGAGACTTTTTCTCTACAATTTTCAATCTGTGTCATAATATAATTATCCATGCAAACTTTTCACAAAATTCGATTAATTTCTCAAACACAGGCAAATGTTTTGAGCTAAAAAGAAATCCTGACTTCAGTGTGCATTAAAAACCAAAGAAAATATTAAATTGTTATATTTGTATTGTGTAATAATAATTATTATTGTCAGAATTTCAAATTATAATAAATATTGTGTATTTTAAATAAAATTGTTTGAGGCGTTGGTGGTTTACGTCAGTGTTGTGATAATGGCAGTTTTTTTTTTTTTTTTGTAAATAACTATACATTTATAATGCCTATTTAAATTAGTTTACTTCAAAAAAAAATCCTACCTACATACTTTGAATCATAATAATTCTTGGTCCAATGTGTTTTTTGATATTTATTTATTTATTTGTTTGCAATTTTACACCAAACCACTTATAATTATTAGGTTTCACGTTAAGTCACTGTTACAATATTGCTATGAAAATTAAAAAAAAAAAAAAAACAACTAAGTACATAAAAAAAAAAATACTTATTAAGATTTTAAAAGTCTGCTTATTTAAGCTCTTGTAAATTGTTTAAAATCTCACAAGAGTTTAAACTTAGAGCCGGAACTAAAACTACTAAAAAGTAAAAAACTTGGAAAAAATATATAAAAATATTGTTATTGATAGAAGTAAACTTAAGTGTTAATAGTACTTCATAGATTTTAGATTATTCTAGTATTAAAAAAAAAAAAAACAACAACAATAATAATAAAAACAAAAAAGCTGTTTTAGGACTGATTATTTAATTTCATGGGGTACATTTTGCATATCAGAGTTTAACATCAATAATTAATAAGCAATTAAAAGCGCACAAGAGCTCGATTTGTTTTCCAAATACCTTTAATCGCGCTAAACGTATTTGAAAAATACAGAAAAATCGGTTTGGTCCTTTAAAATAATTCTGGAAGTGGTTTTTTTCAAAATTAATCAAGTTGCATTATATAAGTTGGTGTATGAAAAGGACAAGACCGAAAACAGAAGTGCCCCTTTCTCACCAAAATTGAGTCTCAAGGTGCATTATAAGCAAATGCAAAAAAAAAAAATAATAACTTTTTTCTTAATATTTCACCCCGCATTGCATGCCTATACAAATCCCCCATCATCAATTACTACTATTTTTTTTTAGGAAATCTCTAATAAAAATTTGTCGCTTTCTATGTAAAATACAAAAGGAAAACACACACATTTCCTTATAGGACGTGTAAAATAATAACTGGACAGATATTTGAGATCATTTTAATAAATATTTTTCAATACCTCTATACTTTCTAGTTATAAAATAGCATAAACATTAAGTACACTTTTAACTTTTGAATTTGAATAACCTAATAATTAAGGCAACTTATCTTTTTTTGAGACTCAGTCCAATAATAATGGTGTAAAGGATGTACAATACCGTCAAAAGCCTTAATTAATATTATTTTTGAAACTCCATCCAAAGGAGGACAATAATGAATAATTTTAATGCATATAATATACAGGGTGACTCATATTTATAGCCCTAAATCTAAAATTTGTTGTCATAATCCTTTTGTTTTTTTTTTTTGTTTCTTTGAGCATCCTTTACGCCAATTTCTAAGTAGATTCAAGCTTTAGACGATGTTATTCTTAATCATGTTCAAGTGTTGGATTATTTTGAATTAAATTAAATAAACGCATCGTAGGTGAAAACAAAATATAATAAATACTTAATAAATAGGCTATTATTTTGAGATGTAATGATAATTTGATGGTTTTAATTCGTTTTCGTTACGACTTGCTTTAATGTGTGATTTTTTTTTTAAATTAACAATCTAGGTACCTACCTTAAATAAATAAAAAAAATACTATAGTGGTTCTATGGCTTGTTTTATTTGGAGAAAGAAAATCAAAAAATCTGTAAAAAAAATATAAGGGTTTCTCTGTATCTGTAAGCTTGGGAGAGTAGTATATATTATGGTATGCCACAGCACTTAGGCCACATTAGGCCCATTGTGCACCTTCACAAGGGGAGTTGATGTGGTGCGAGTTGGAGTCATACCCAATCTGGCAGTGCCTGACCAGCTCTACAAGTTATTGGAAATTGGGTGGTAGCGTCTCAGTATCTGTGGGGAGATATACTGAAGTCAGAACGATGACTTTCTTTTGCCCACTGTTATCACTTTGACGGCAGTGTCTGACATACATAGCTGTGTAAGTGGGTGGCCCGTGTATGACTTGGGGCAATAGATGGCCCTCCTAGGTTGATTATTGCTGGGATTGCTGAAAACTCGACCAGTGAGTGTGCTTGAACCTAGGATTTTACTTTGTCTTGTCCAAGGTTCTTGGATAAGTGCTACTGTGTCCTGTGCCACATCCAGGTAAGGTTACTGAAGCCGCCCTACTATGGTGCAGGTTACACTGAACAAAATCACTTTTGGCACAAAGTATTCTCCTAAATAAGGGAATTGAAAGAAATCTAGAAGGATTTTTTCAGAACCAAGAGGCAGTCTGAGGGTATTTATTATATTAGTGTAGGTACAGATTGAGAAACAAATTAATTTTCCCATAAAAGTTAAAATAATTTTAATCAAATTCAACATATAAATCTTAAAAATACTTCAATTCGTTTTCTGCATTAGCTGTCTTTTAATTTCAAAAACAATGATCCCTAAAGCTGTTCCAGCATTCAAGCTCTCAACTCCATTGCTCAAAGGTACATTCAACCTTGCCCCATTAAATTTACTAGCGAGCTTATAAGATTCCATACTAATCCCTTCAGTTTCACCCCCAATTATAAGGACTAAATGATTGGGTTTTTTAAAATCTGTGCTAAAGTATGGCAAAATAGGAATACTGGCTAATAAATCTTGCATGGATTGAAGACTTTCGTCGTTTTTGGAGCTTAAAATATTATTGTCTGCAATAAACACATTGGAATTATCTGGTAAAGTATTTGAAATTTCATCCCAATTAGTTTCCTTGGATATTTTCACTCTGAAATGGGCCCCACAGGCGGTGCGTAATACTTTTGAATCCCACACATTAGTGCAGCCTTTTGTTAAAATAACTTTATGACAGCCTACACCACTGGATGTCCTTAGAATAGCTCCAAGATTGTTGGGCTCCCTCACATTGTCACAAATAATAGTCAATGGTAAGGCTTCTTTGGGCTCAAATAAATCCGCTGAAGGAATTTGAAATATGCCCATAATTCCTGGATTTGTGGTCAAGTCTGACCAAACTTGCATTTCTCTATAAGGCATTTTGTATAGGTGGCCTTTGCGAGGCAAATAAGGCTTTAGATATTCGACCTCTTTTAGGCGGCTGAATAAAATATAGTCCATTTTACAGCCAGTTTGTAGAGCTTCTTTAATTAGCCTTTTGCCTTCTAGAAGCATTAAATTGTTCTTCTTGTTGTTTTTTAATTTGGACATTATTTCTAGGATTCTCGAGTCTTCATCCTGCATTTTTGTGTAGATTAAATTACCTTCTTGGTCCAAAAGGGGTTCTGGATCTTTGGAAACATGTTTCAGTTTTTGAGTTGGTGGATTTATTTTTGGGGGTTTGATTACTAAACTTCTGGGCTCCTGGAATGTGGGTTTACGTTTACATTCGGTTTCTTGGAACTTTGAATGTTTTTCAGGCTTAGGAGGCGGTGGGTGGTCGGAAACATCATTTTCTTGCGCGAGTTTTTCTGGTGTAAATTGACTGAATCTTGGTAAGAGTCTGATTTGCTGACAACTGAATAGATAAATATTTCTTAATAATCTTGCCATTATTATTTATTTCGGTGTGTGAGTGTGGATTATTTTGAGGTTAGGTTAGACACATAAATAAACACATCCATGCAAATAAATCCTATTTTATGTCCATCTCTCTTGCTCCTGTGGCATAAAACAAAGATAACCAATTGAAGGAAATTAAGAATTGATGCAGGTAGCGCCACCTGTGTGAAAAACCAGATACTAGTTGTCCTTGTGTGAGAGTCGGCCATCTTAGAAAGAAACAAGAAACTGCAACAGCTCCCTATAAAGAGGTCTCGGTTTTCCAATTGATATTCAAGAAAAAAATCGATTTTATTGCGTAAAAACTGTTAAAACAGTTAAAATAAAAGTTAGGCTTCAATTTTGTAGAGTTAGTATTCGGGTAAATGCTGTAATTTATTGAAAATATGTATTTGAAAATTTCTCGTTTTCTTGACATCATGGAGATATCGGTCACGAGAAAAAAAAATCGATTTTTCAGTAAAAAAATCAATTTTTAGTGTGTGAAAAGGGTTGGAATAGTGAAAGTGAAAGTTTAGCTTCAATTTGATTCTGATTGGTTACGGGGTAAGTGATAAGTTATTTTCAAATTTGTATTTAAAAATTTCTGGTCTCGACATCATGGCGGCGTGTTTGTAGACCTCCATTTTATAAAATAAAAATTTGTAATTTTTTTTTAAATTAAATTTTTCTTTCAGAATACCTAATTACTTTATTTATATCCTATTACATTAAGTACAGGAAAATTTATCATTTTTCCCTATCAAATAGCATTGAAAGGTGATACATTTTACCTGTACCTGTGGACATCGGATTGTGAATGGACTATAGTTTAGTTTGGAGCCTTGGAGGGTTCCAAATGATCATTTATTAAACCTCGATTTAGACACAAAATCTCAACACAAAAAAAATTATATCTCGGCATTTCAGGGCCGATTTATTAACCTTCTGATAAACTGTCAGGTATGCAATCTGACGGATAAAAACGAATTCTGTAATCCCATTTGTCAGCAAGTTATCCAATGACGCCGACTAATATTTTTATGGAGATGTAAATTTTTCTTCCAGATAGCTACCAGCAAGTTTATTTGAAGATGAATGAACTCGGCCTTATGGCCATTTCCACCAACTATTTTTGGGGAGCCTTAACGATAAGTATTAAAGTATTCCCTAAAATGAAATTCTTCCATGGAGAAATGTCAGTTTAAGGCATACTTATCGTTGCGAGGCTCCCCCAAATTACTCAGTTGGTGGAAACGGCCATTAGTCCTAGGAACTTTCTCCTAAGGTCAGTGTCGACGCGTGACAATAGTCTAGTGGGGAACGGTGAATATAGTATGGAGGGCTAGGGATGCGCACGATGTATCGATGTTTTAAAAACATCGATTTTCTTATTTCGATGTTCGATGTTTATATCGATATTTTTTTATTCGATATTATTAGAGAACATCGATATTTTTTTGCGATGTTTTTTCGATGTTTTCTTCAAAATACTACACCAGTACTTTCAGTCCCTTAGCAAAATTTGATGAAAATCTATTTGTTAAACATTGGGAAGAAATAAAGAGTGTATATCTGCGACTATCGAAAATAGCTTCAAAATACTTTTTTGTAGCAGCTTCGGTTCCAAATGGGAGACTATTTTCAAATAAAAGGACAAATTTTGACACAACACAAGAATTATATGGAAAAGGAAAAAGATAAGTCAAAATTGCTGTTCTTGGATAATAATTGTGATTCTAATATGATTGTTACTCGTATTCATATCATTTAGGTTGAGTATCTAACTAGATTTACTCCCTAGTGCTTAGTTCTTGCTATTGTTTGCTTTCAAATGTACTTTTTCTTCATTAAAAATTGTATATTAAGTGCATGTATGTATACTAAATTAAAAATACATAAGGTAAAACGCTAGTTATTGACACTATAAGGGACATAATTACTCTTCAGCATTTTTTTTTTTTTTTTACCAAAACACTTAAGGTGTTTCTTATATTTTTATATTTATCTTTGGAGATTTTTTTATTAATTTATTATTAAACTTTCAATATAGTGACCTTATTTCCATTACTGTGATTTTTTTTTTATTTGATGTTTTCCATACAAGTGATTGACATGGATATTTTCCCAAAATTTATTAATTGACACCCAGTTATTGACTACTACTTAGTATTAATTTATTTTCCAAAATCAGTTAAGAACTTTTCTCTTAAATTTAACTAATGCCATATAACAAAAAACTAACATGTAGGTATGTCTAAAAAATAGTATCAGATACATCTACAGGTTCTGGAAAAACATATTTTACCCTATCACCTGATACTATCATATTTGGGAAAGGCAATTTCTTAATAATCTGAGTAAAACTTATTACAGATACATCAGTTGCATTTAACTTAAATGTAGTTTTTTTATCATTACAACAAATCATTCCTACTACTTCAGCTTCAGAATTAATTAATATTTCTTGAACAACACAAGCAAAATTCTTCCAGTTTTTCTTGCCAGGAAACTTAACTAATATATAGTCACCCCCTTGGATATTTTCTTTTTCAAGAACTATGTTTTCCTTTTCAGAACTCTTTAATTTAGTTATGTTTATTTCTTCATCACTGTTCAGTTCAAAACTTTCCTCATCACTTTCTCCACTTGATGCCCACTCTTCTGAAAGAGAATCTGAGTCACTTATATATTTCCTCCTTTTTGATCCTACTGGTTTTCTTTTTTGTAGACTTTTTGAAGTTTTCTTTCTTTTCATCTCACTGAATTTTTGTTTTGTCTCTGTATCTTTTTGCTTTTGGAGTGCCTTCTGTTCTCTCAAAATTAATCTTTCTTTTTTCTCTTCTATTTTTCTTTGTTTTTCATTTTCCTTTTTTCGATGGTATGCCTGCCATGCACTCGATGTCACTACAGATGGAATTTTTTCTTTATTCTTCCTTTTCTTAGTATTAGGTTGTTCTTCAGGCCAAAAAAGTGCTTGCTTAAATGGAGAAGGAACTTCAAAAGGAAGTTTAGCTGTACTTGATTTTACTGCAGTTAACTTTTCAGGAGTTTCAGGATCTTGAAATAGGGAAACATTAAATGAAATATCAGAGGGTCCTGCCACTGGACTTTTTTCCCCATTATTTAAATGTATTTGTGTTACACTTAAATTATTTTCTTCTAAAGAAACCCCAGAGGAAGAAATTCCAGAGGGTCCAGGCATTGAATAGTTTTCTTCCTTATCATTTTTGTCTAAAGAAACCCCAGAGGAAGAAATTCCAGAGGGTCCAGGCATTGAATAGTTTTCTTCCTCATCATTTTTGTCATTGACATCTAATAATTGACACCCCAGTCAATAACTGGATTTACTTGAAATAAAAACAAAAAACTTGAATTGGCAACATCGTCTTCACCTCAGGATCTTAATGCAAACTAAATCTTAAAAATATCTCATAAGTCAGTCTTTGACAGGGTGTCAATCACTGGTCTTGGTATACATATATGCATTTCAGTCATTGACACTCATTTGTGCACTCATTTTTTCACAGTTTCCTTTTGTTAGGCTATGTTTTTACTCCTTATTTTGAATTTTTAGTCTATTTTATAGATCTGATTTCACTACCAATACCAGATATTTAAGAATTAAACTTTTTAAATTAAGGTTGAACAACTTACGCACCTTAAGAATCTGATTAAGCCACATATATCACTGTGCACACTTTGAAAACTTTAACACGTGTGTTGTTAACGCCGGGTCCGATAATTATGGCGGCCGATGCGGTGTTGCCAAACTGATAAAGGAAGAAGTTTATGAAGGAATTTAACACAAAACAAGGCACATTTCCTTAAAAACCAAGATTTTGTAGGAAGTGTCAATAACTAGCTGGATGTCAATAACTAGCATTTTACCTTAAGTAGGTTAAGTAAAAATCATATTCTACTTATTAACAGTTTAATTTTTTCTTACCATATTTTCAAAAACATCGATGTTTAGAAACATCGATATTTTCAAGCCGATGTTTTTACAACATCAAATGATACATGGATATTCGATGTATCATTTGATGTCAACATCGATGTTTTCAAAATTTTGCGCATCCCTATGGAGGGCTCGAGACCGAGGGTTCCATGAGGCGTCCCCGTCCCCAACAAAATAAAATTTCATCGTTTTAGTAAGAAGGTACTTTGCTACCTTATGATTTAGATTTTGGAAAACTTTGAAAGGTCATAACTTTTTATCTATTAAAGATAGAAATTTGAAATTTTCAGTGATTCTTATTTCAGTAGAGGACTAAAAATCCCTGAAAATTTCAGCTTATTTGGAGATTGGCCTTATAGTTATAGAAGAAGAAAGGAAATAAAATCGTGTTAGTTAAAATTTTAGGCATTAGCAATCGATGTTTGTTTTTGTTGGTAATTTTTTGTTTCGTCTGATTCGTGATTGATAAATAAGGATGGGGTTATTCTAAATGGGTATTAAAAATATCTTATACGCATATAGGTATCTTTTCACATAACATTAAATTTTGAGCTTTAGCATCCTTTTTCTTCCGTTATTTTTACTTTTTATTCTAAGGTTTAAATGTTTTTAGTTTCAAATTATACACTCACACATATCCATGTAACTACCGAGATTAATACCCTTCTTCAGGCAACTGAGCCCATAACCTGATGTGATTTCACTTTTAGTTCTAACGCAGTGGGGTAGTAGTGACACATACTCTTTTAACCGAGGGGTGTCTCACTGTGTCAAAAAATGTACATGTAATTCCAAAACAATACCTATTTATCTGAATTCCAAAGACTGCCAAAGAATTCCTGCGACTGCCGAAAAAATCCATAGACTGCAAAAAATGGGGATGAATTCGACTGACTACAACTGAATGTCAATGACTTTTCAACGAATGCCTGTACTTCCTGTGACTGCAGTATGACTACCCTTACTTCTGATACTATTTTTACTAGAATATAGGTACCATGTAATTTCGAAGAACAAAATAATTTCCATCATTTCGCTTCAACTTTTAGAAGTCAGTTAATCAATTGTATAGAAAATTGTCAAGAAAAATATACTTACATTTTTTTTTACAAAACTGTGTTTAGGGAAAATTAGGAAATAACTAAAACGCTAGTACAACTAATATTTATTTTAGAAGTTCCATCCACTATCCACAGACCCTTGTACAGAGTGGCCCACTTTCAATGTTTTAATGGGCTATATCAAAAACCAGCAGAGATATCAAAAATTTGGGAGCACATTCTCGAGCTCTTTTTTTGGGAAAATAACAATGGCGAAGACCTCGGCGAAGACAAATCACGGCTAACTTGATGTGTTTAGGAAATACAGGGCACTTTTCAAATTTTGTCCAATTTTAAAAGATTCTCTAATTTCCTTATTATTCAAGATATCCAAAAACCAAAAATACTTTCTAAAGGCAGTTTTTCAAGTAGAATCCAGTGGCATGACCAATTTTTTTCCAAATACCACCGATTTTGGAATATTGACCAAAGTTGTATTTTTTCAAATGGGACACCCCGTATATTATTTTTTCATTGAATAGTCTTTGTGAGCTGATTTCAATGATATGAGGTTTTATACCTTTATTTTTAACCATATATGAAATGTTGTCATTACTGACTTTTCAAAAATTTGAAAATGTCATATTACTGTCTTTTAATTTTCCTGCTCCATTACCTGTCCCAGGACGGGAAATGAGGACGGGAAATTTTTTCCGTCCTGATTTCCCGTCCACGGAGGGAAAATGGAGCAGGGAAGTACTTCCCGTCCTCATTTCCTGTCCTCATTTCCCGACCTTATTTGGTTCTCACGAATTTTTTTTTTAAAGAAATTATGGTTAAAAATAAAATAGTATACAAACCTCGACGGGAAATTTCATTGCTGTCGAGAGGTTGTATAGTTTATCGAGACGCGTAGCGTCGAGATAAACTGAACCTCGAGCATTTCCCGTCTCTGATTGTAATATACTATTACCTTCAATAGTTTTGGAGAAAAAAAATAAATTTCGTTTTTTCCATAAGAAACAATGAGTTAGAAAAAGATAGTTGAACTATGAATCGGGGATGATAAATAGGCAACACATAATTTATTCAATGACCTCTCTCTCTCTAGCTCATTGTTTCTGAATATGGTCATGTCACTGGATTCTCCTTGAAAAACAGCCCATAGAAAGTATTTTTTGTTTTTGGATATCTTGATTAATAAAGAAATTAGAAGGTTTTCTAAAATTGAAGTATTTGTGTTTTTAATCAATCGTTCGTTGTAATAGTGCCTTCGCAAGAGTCCTCTTCAATCAACTCAGAAACTTCCAGTACATCTTCGCATCAACGTTATCAAGGCTGATTCCTGTAATCAAGGGGTCAGATGATTCCTTCGATGATCCAGGCAGAATAATAAGAGGTTCTAACACTGACGATAATACCGGAAATGTCAAATGATGATGGCATCTCTGATACTGAGCTCGATAATGAAGGTTTTTTTTGGAGGGATGAGAGAATGCTTGGGTTTTTTGAGGATCCTTGTTGGTCTTTGTGATTTTTTTTACTAGCTTGAGAAAAATGGGTCTTGATATGCCTATTAAAAATTTGAGCAAATCCTTTTTTTTTGTGGGTATTTAGACTATACTAACAGTAACAAAATCACACTCTGGGCATCGTATCCATGAATTTCCCTCTCTTAATACCAGCGTTGCCAACTTAGCGGATTTCCCGTCATATCTAACGGATTTTGGTGAAGGGGAACGGAAAAAAAACAGTTTCAACGGGTGACGGATTTTTTAACGGGAACTAAATAGTTATTTATGTACCAAGGCTTGTAAGTGTTACTTTTTTGGCCGAGGATGCAGTTTGCGCGCCGAGGCCCGTAGGGCCGAGGTTTGCAAGCATTTGAGGCCAAAAAAGTACACGCTACAAGTCGAGGTGCATATGATATTTTTTGTGCTACCGTACATTCAAGATAATAAATATCATTCCCAATATTTTAAGTTCTTCAATACAGGAAAGTATCCCTGTGTTAAATGTGACTAGTTGTAAAAATGTTTCTTTTACTTTCAAAATTACAAAGTAAATAACTATGAAGTATCTCATTTTTATATTATTACCTATCTGTTTATGCTAATTTCAACTTTTTGACGTCTAGGTATTTTCTATTTGTTTCAATAAAATTGTATCCTTAATTTGTTTTGGGTTTTTTATTTAAGAGGTCGAGTGTTTTTGTGACATTATTTTGACAGATATATGAACCAAGCAATTTTCACCTTTCATATCAACACTTTTTTGGCCTGGTCAAAAAAGTAACTTTTTTGGCCCGGTCAAAAAAGTAACTTTTTTGACCCGGACTGTAAGTGACACTTACAGTTCATGGACGTAGGTCAAAAAAGTCAACTTACAGAATGGGTAGCACAAAAACCGAATTTTCGCGACGAACTACTTCCATGATTTCATGAACACAAACGCTTTCGTGAGAAACTTAATTATGACGTATATTGAACTTTAGTTCGCCGGAAGCATGGATGCAGCTTCAGCCAGCGTTCAAACTCATGACGTCACTAGCTATTGATGAACTACTTTCGTCGCGAAAATTCAGGTAAGTTTCTATTTGAAAATTCTAAATTATGTTTTATAAATGTAATAAAGCGATTCAAGCTACTTTTGGTCTGTAAACAAGCCTTTACGGAAAAGTTGATCCGACTAGCCCGATCACCAGCTGATGTTATCTGTCTTTTTTCAATGGCTTCATTAGAAAAGGATAAAATACAAACAGCCGATGATCGGGTGAATCGGATCAGTGTTTCTGAAAACGCCTAAAATCAAATGGCATTTGTCGTCAATGTCGTTAACTCTGCATGATTTGGTTGGCCCTACTGAATACATTTTATTTGTTTAGCGCATTTCGCATTTTTCATTCTGACGGATTTTATTGACGGAATAAAAAATGGTTTAACGGATTTCTGACGGAAATCTACAGGAATTAAAAAAATACTGTTGGCAACACTGCTTAATACCACAAATAGGGATGTAAGCCAATTTTACTGACAAGTGTCATGTCACAGTCAAAATGAAAATGACGGTCACGTCATTTATTTTTATGACACTCTTGTCATTTATTTTTTTATGCATTAAATTTTCTGACAGTCAAAATGATAACTGAACTGACTCTCATTAAAATATATGACCGTCATTGAAATATATGACAGTGTCACAAAAATATCAGCTGACTCTCGATATTTACTATCAATCTTGAAAAAGGAGATGGGAGTGTACTTTCTAACTCATTAGTCATTAAATGACTTTGATGCTGATGACTGTGAAACTGGAGAAAAACTATAGTCAACCAATCAAATATCTGATTATTGATTTAAGTTAGGTTATGTTCTACATTCACGGTAAATGACCATAAATGACAAAAAATGACAAATAAATGATTGTCATTTCACATCCCTAACCACAAACCACTGCAATTTGTCTATATTAGCTAGAGATCGTTTTCGTGTGATTTCTAAGTATTCTGAAAGGTCTCCCAAATTAGATAAAAAACTACTAGAACAAGTATGAATTAAATTTTTTATATGCGTTATTGTGGATTGTCCGAGGAATTGTGATTCATTTTCTTGGCTTCCATTAATCCATTAGGTATTATGAAAAGATGTGGAGAAATTATTTTCCGAACGCTTATCTGCGTTGAATCTCTGTGCTCAGGCTTCTAGGCTTCTACAAGTTTTTTTCATGTTGCTTACTTACTACGTCACTTACGTTTCAAATATGATGTCAATAAGCAACTAAACAAATGTTTCTATTGAGGATTCCATATAAATATTGCAAAAATCAAATTCGCGATCCAAAGCGTGTGGCAAATAACTGCGAATGCAAACTCCTCAGAATTGTCGTGAATAAAAATGAATGTCGCGCGACTTCCAGCGACTACCGCGCGACTTCCAGTGACTGCCAAGTGAGTTCTAGTGACTACACGGAATTGCGCCACTGACTGCCAAACTTCCAATGACTACTAAGCGAATTCCTGTGACTTCCACAATACAATCAAGAAAATGTACATGTAATTCCAGAAGTGACACACCCCTCACTTTTAACCTTTTCAAGTTCCAAATGTATTACCTTTTTATTGATTCTGTGGAATTAAGTTCTGAAAACAATAATTCATCAAAATGTTAAATGAAAATTCAATAAAATTTCACATAATGGTTTATTATCTCTACTATATTCAGAAAATGAGGGCCTAAAAGCCCCTTGTTGTATGATCTACTGATCATCATCACATCATTAGTTTATTCTTATACAATATTAATAATTAATAAACAATAGTATATCAATAATCATGTCTACGAGACATAATGTGAACTGTGAAAACTTGACAAAATGTTTGACTACAATTTTGAATTAATTGATAAAAAGACAAATTTATTGACATTAGTATGGCACAAAAATCAATAAGTATAACACAAATCCTGAATTGAAGGCAAGGAATAGTCGGCTACATTCTCATAATCACACACTTTATCAAATTAAGTTCACAACCTTCAAAACCAATTTGCGACATTCATGTAGGAACTTAATTATTTAACAGGTAAACATAATTTTTATACAAGAATTTACAAGAATAAACAATTTTTTTTTTTAATATCAACACTCGCCAATCAAAAAGACAAGTAGAAGCGTCCCTACATGGATGCCATTTCATATTCAACAATAAGGAAGAAACCACCCGGGGGCCGATACATTGTTGTCCTTAAATAACATACACACACAATAATTATTATTTATTATACAATCATAAAATTTATATTTGTCGAAAAATAATCTTTTTTAGTATTCCTCCTTGTTGCTGAACTAACCTCGCCCTTTATTTTTTTTTCTCCAGGATTATTGTAGATAAATTCTTAAAATTAATTATTTTGACCAGGAAATTTATTGTTTGTGATTGATGTTTATTGGCTATTAGTTAACAATTTTTTTCTTTATTATTTGAAAATTTTTAAATTTCAATATTTCAGTACCAGTAAGTATAGATATTAGAGTACATTTTTCAGAGATTATAACTCTTGTCAGGGGTGTGGGGTCAGCTAATTATAGTTTTGGAAAATCCCATTATCCAAAAATCACAAACAATATATTTTCCTGGGTATCCACTATCCACTTAACAAAGCTGCTAGAAAATGGAGAGCCATCACTAGTCCCTATATAAGCCGCGTCCATTTTCCAACAGTAGGAGCAAACAGCTAAATTGTTTGCGTTTAGTGATGTGACTTAAATAACAATCATTACTAAAAATATCACAAAATTGTTGTTGATAAAATGAAAAAATAAAATGAGCCACTATATTTACAATTCATTGTTTGTTTTACTGTAGACGAGTGTGGGGGTTTGAAAAGTCCTTTTTTTTTTTAATGTGGCTCACATTTTTTTTTAGAATCACTCTGTTTTTTTACTTAACTTTATTTTTCAGAAAATTTCAGATGTCCTAAAAATATATCAATAACAACAACTAGGTTAGAGACCTACATATCTATTTTTTTTTTTTTTTTTAATTTAGGTCGATGCTTATTTTAAAAATAAGAAATCTCACCAACTCGCCACACAGTCAGTTACCAAATAACAAACAAAATAAAAAACAACTAATAAACTAAAAAAATCTTCAAATTCAAAAACACAAACATATAAAAATATATATTTTTTTAAAAACTATATCTAGGTATGTACCTATTAATTAATTAATTTTTTTTTTTTCTCAGGCAACTGACGGGCCTTTACAACTAATAACAATTAAAAATATCAATAAAATTAACTGAATTAAGCAAATACGACTTGAACAGAGTGTTATTTTATATTTCTGTCAGCCAAGCTGGGGATAGGCGTTTTTTAGGCATAGCAAAAAGCAAAATATAGCAGATAAATCCTAACAAAGTTAAGATTTGTTTCAGCAACATTACAAAAAAGGACTTTCTGATTGATTCTTTTCCAAGATCTACATTTCTATCATCAACAACAACTGTACAATAAAATATTACAAAACAAATAAAATAAAAATCCGAAACATAAATTTTCAATAGTAATCACAAATTTTTTTCCTATTTGGTATTAATAAGCCAAAACGATAATTTTGTTTTTGTAATTTATAAAAATTGAAATATCAAACAATTGTCATGATCTGAATCAAGCGGGAATAAAAGCGTATTAAAAACTAATAAAAAGAAAAATGCTTTTAGCGTTAATAACATGCACATAATATCGCTAAAAGGGGGGTACAAGCTAAAAATCTATTCACTATATTTGAATAGATTCTAATAATTGTTTCCAACTAGAGACACATGCAAGATAATAATGTAACAATAATAATTGTTAAGAAAATTATTCTATATGCTAACTATGGACTACAATGATCTGATATGAAATAACAATTTCTGAGTTTTTGTTAATGCATTTCAAATTTGAAACACTTTTAGCAGGTTTTTTACTGTTCAATGTCTGATGAAATCAGCCATTTTTTTTTCACAACTTTTTATTTTTGTTTTGTTTTTTGTTCAAGAGTAGTTATTGAACATGCAGTTTTGTGGTGAAATAGTCGATTTTCAGCCCAAGAACGTTTTAAATATTGACAAAATTCGCAATATTTGCAATATTTCATATCAGACCTCCTACAATAATCATAATAATATAGCAAAGTGGGTTAACACTAATCGGTATTTTTTTTTTTTAAATAAATTACTAACTTCTGTAGGCTTCAATTTATCGATATTATTTAAAAAAATCTTTTAAGATTTGGACCTACAGTAGTTAATGTACAGGGTGGTCCAATATATGGACACTTTCAATAGGAAATGTCAATTTCAAAAAAATGAACCACTGTGAGGCTCAAATTTCTTGAATCTTGATTGGTGCAAACCGCATTTTGATATCTTAAACCGATTTGCCGCTAGAGGGCGTTTCCAATGACATTTCAATACAGATAGACACCGCATCTAAATGAATTGATTTCCGTAAAAAATTCAATTTTTGTTTCTTGATTGACTTTAAAATTCAATTTTCAACTATTCCCGGCTCTTGATTGACTTGATTTGACGTTTTAAAATTCAATTTTTGAATATTCCCGGTTATGATTGGCTTTAAAATTTAATGTTTGGATATTCGCAGTTCTCGATTGGTTTTGAAATGTAATATTTTTTTATTTTCCCAGCAATAGATCTATGCAGGTCGCAGTGTAACAATACTCCTAATTCATTCATTTATTCAATATTTCGAAATCAGGGCCAAATAGAAAAAAACTGAGAACGTCACTGGATGTTGCTTAAAAAAGTACCACAGAAAATAATTATTTTCATAATCAAAAAAGATTTGAAGCTTTCACAGTGTTGCTCAAAATCGAGAAACACCCTCTAGTGGCAAAACGGTTGCATATATCAAAATGCAGTGTGCACCAATCAAGATTTCATAAAATTTAAGCCTCACAGTGTATCTTGCTTTCCTATTAAAAATGTCCAAATTGGACCACCCTGTATACAGAATGATTTATCCAAACGTGTCAAACTCAAGATAATTATTTCATACAAAAAAAAAAAATAAAATAAAAATAAAAATACATTTTATAGTTATCACAGTGGAGTCACCGGTTAAATATAAATAACTGTCACAGGATTGTAACTTAAAATTTAAACATACAATAAAATAAAATACAATATCAGCGAGGAAAAAATAAAAAACTGCATCTTAAAAATTCCCCTGTAAGGCTTGTATCACATTTTTGTTGACAACTATTGATTGTCGCATTTAAAGGGAATTTTTAAAAATACTAAATTACCAAAGCGACAGTTTGGGCTAAATCACCCCAAAAAAAAAAAAAAAACGAATTCAGTGGGATTGGGGGTGGCACGAGGCACTCAAAGGGCAAAACCCAACAAACCTAGCAAACAATGCGACGCACTACAAGCATAAAGCAGAGACCCGTGCTCTGAAGGAAGCTCTCACTCTATCTCATGGTATTAAAAGGGAAGGGAAATAGTAGCAAGTTTGTCAGAAAAATTAATTTTTGGCAAAAAAATACTCTGAAAAACATAAAAACAAACATGCTACTACCTGCTTTTTTTTTCTTCTAGGTTTTATTATCGATGTGTGTTGATTTTTTTTTTATTTTGTTTAATTTACAATATAAATGTAACGAGTTTTTGTTAGAATATAATTTGTTAGACCTAGTAAACTTTAGAACACTATTATAAGACGAATAAAATAAATCCCTTATATGCGAGTTTTGTCCGTAATGACCTACTTTAATAGTTATATACAAAATGTTTGTTAACATATATTTTGGTATATAACGAAAATATACGCCAACAAAATATCACTCAGTCGTTCGTTCAGACCACCCGATATCACACACGGCGCTCCTCTTCCACCCTTTAATACCAGATCAAAAAAAATTCTAAATGCTTATACAGGAACATGAAATCCACCCTTTAGTGGCATTTGACTGAATGGGGAGATATCAAAGTTATAGATTAAATGGACACCCGTTCTAACTTTTCAGTCTTTTCATATTGGATTGGATTAAAGTTATCAAAAGGATTATTGAAGCTAAATATTTCAAGAGTTATACAAATAATTTAAAGCTTTTTATATTTTTATTCGTTGTTTCTTATTTAGCAATAGTTTAAGAGGAGATAATAGATGTCGAGGCGAGGTAAAAGACAATATTAAAAGATATCTCCCTGATTGTCAATTGCCTGTGTATTAAGACGAACGTATTATGTGACATCAGAGAGACTTTAGCTGGTAGGATGTCAAACAAACAAACAAACAAACATACAGAAGAAATTCACTCACACACTCACACATCTAAAAAAAATCAATAATCTAACCATCATCAATCAAATACAAAACAATAATATGTATTATTTTTTCACCGTCATTAAATGACCAATAAGTATAATATAATAATAATGTATAATAAAAACGTCTATGCAATATATAAACATATTTTATTATTATGATAAATAAGGTTTCGGTGTTAGTCGTTGTCGCTACTGCAGGTAAGAGGATAGGGCGGCCATGACGGGCGCCGGGGGCAGTACCACGGGGATGTGGTAATATTTACAGGCAGAACGGCCGCACTGGCCTTTTGCAGCGTCCCGGCACACCGCCACGCGGTTGTCGATCACTTCAACGCCCTCCCCTGTGGAAAAAAAGAAACAATAATTTCAATCAAATAATTAAGATTTTATATAATTTCTTTGAGATTTTCTCTAAGTTACTCAGGATTTCTTTTAATTTTCTAATGAGTTCCTTTGGATTTCCCATAATTTGATTTGGGATTTGCCTTGTGGTTTACCCCTCAAAAACTATACTTAAACTAATAAATTTTCAATAATGAATCAATCAATAATTCTATAATCTTGATTCAAAAAAAGCTAGTGGTCATGGTTATGATGAGATTTCTGTTAAAGTAGTCAAAGAAGCTAAGAGTACGTTAAATCCAAATTTTGAAATTGAATTGCGAAACAAAATTGGTGCGTTCCAGGAAGTTCACAAAAGATTCAATATGGAAATTTTAAACTTCTCAGAAATTCACAAGATCGAAAGAGGCGGAGATTCGTCTCAGACAAAAACAGAAACTTTGCAATATAAGTAATGACTCAAAATTCAGGATCTTGAAAGACTTTACCCAGACAACACAAAAAGTGATAAAGAAGTCTTTTTCAGGTCTATATTACGTCTGAACATCTGAAGACCAAAAGAGACGTTGTTTTGAAGATGTCTATGAGATATCATAAATTCACATCTTGGAGACGAGTATTTGGTACAACCAGGCCTAAGAGTGCATAATGGTTTATGTATTGAAAAGTGATTCGATTCAAAGACGTCTTTGAGACATTTCGTTTTTAGGCAGACTTCTGAAAGACGTTGGGTTTTGTAACATATGAAGTCTTCGAGATGCTTCGAAGATGTAAGCAGATGTCTTGAATGTCGTTTGTGGACATTTTAGGAACTTCCTTAAGATGTTTTTGTGTTGTGTAAGTCAGAATTAGTCAAGATATACAAAATCCAGGGAATTCGCGAATGATTGAATGAGGAAATCCTAAGACTGAACTCAGAAATTTACAAGATTTAAAGAGGTGGAGAATCGTCTCAGACAAAAACAGAAACTTTGCAATATAAGCGATGACTCGAAATTCAGGATCTTGAAAGACTTTACCCAGACAGCACATCAACTTTTTTTCAGACCTGTATAACGTCTGAACATCTGAAGACCAAAAAAAGACGTTGTTTTTAAGATGCCTATGTGGTACAACCAGGCCTAAGAGTGAATAATGGTTTATGTATTGAAAAGTGATTCGATTCAAAGACGTATTTAAGACATTTCGTTTTCAGGCACACTTCTGAAAGACGTTGAGTTTTGTAGTATATGAAAGTCTTTGAGACGCTTCGAAGACGTGAGCAGATGTCTTGAATGTCGTTTGTGGACATCTTAGGGACGTCTTTAAGATGTTTCTGTGTTGTCTAAGTCAGAATTACTCAAAATATACGAAATCCAAGGGATTCGTAAATGATTGAATGTGGAAATCCAAAGACTGAACTCAGAAATGTACAAGATTTAAAGAGGTGGAGATTCGTCTCAGACAAAAACAGAAACTTTGCAATCTCAAAATTCAGGATCTTGAAAGACTTTACCCAATTACCCAGACAGCACACCAAGACTTTTTCAGGTGTGTATTGCGTCTAAACATCTGAAGTCCAAAAAAAGACGATGTTTGTCTATGAGATATCGTAAATTCACATCTTGAAGGCGAGTATTTGGTAGAACCAGGCCTAAGAATGCCTATGCGTTTATGTATTGAACAGTGATTCGATTCAAAGACGTCTTTAAACATTTCGTTTTTAGGCAGACTTCTGAAAGACGTTGAATTTTGTAACACCTGACGTCTTTGAGATGTCTTTAAGACGCTTTGAAGACGTCTTGAATGTCGTTTGTGGACATTTTAGGAACGTACTTAAGATGTTTTTGTGTTGTGTAAGTCAGAATTAGTCAAGATATACAAAATCCAGGGAATTCGCGAATGATTGAATGAGGAAATCTTAAGACTGAACTCAAATTCAGGATATTGAAAGACTTTACCCAGACAGCACACCAACTTTTTTTCAGGTCTGTATTACGTCTGAACATCTGAAGACCAAAAAAAGACGTTGTTTTGAAGATGTCTATGAGATATCGTAAATTCACATATTGAAGACGAGTATTTGGTACAACCAGGCCTAAGAGTGAATAATGGTTTATATATTGACAAGTGATTCGATTCAAAAACGTTGGGATTTGTAACATATGAAGTCTTTGAGATGTCTTTAAGACGCTTTGAAGACGTAAGCAGACGTCTTGAATGTCGCTTGTGGACATCTTAGGGACGTCTTTAAGATGTTACTGTGTTGTCTAAGTCAGAATTAGTCAAGATATACAAAATCCAGGTAATTCGTAAATGATTGAATGTGGAAATCCTAAGATTAAACTCAGAAATTTACAAGATTTAAAGAGGTGGAGATTCAGGCCTAAAAGTGAATAATGGTTTATGTATTGAAAAGTGATTCGTTTCAAAAACGTCTTTAAGACATTTCTCCTTCAGGCAGACTTCTGACAGACAGAGAGGTTTTGTAACATATGAAGTCTTTGAGATGTTTTTAAGACGCTTTGCAGACGTAAGCAGACGTCTTGAATGTCGTTTGTGGATATTTCAGGGACGTCCTGAAGATGTTTCTGTGTTATCTAAGTCAGAATTAGTGAAGATATAAAAAATACAGGGAATTCGCAAATAATTGAATGTGAAAGTCCTAAGACTGAACTCAGAAATTTACAAGATATAAAGAGGTAGAGATTCGTCTAAGACAAAAACAGAAACTTTGCAATGTAAGTAATGACTCAAAATTCAGGATCTTGAAAGACTCCAGGAATCAGGAAACTTGTGAAGTAATGACTCAGAATAGAGGTTTTTGAGATTTCTAAATTATATCATAAAAGAGCCAAGACGTTTGCGAAGTTCTGCGTTGCTACTACTCAAAAATTTAATATTTGGTTTGGTTTCGATATGCGGATCTGCAAATACATAACTCAATATTGAAATCGTAAAAAAAAATGTCCGCTTCTAGAACCAACTATTAATTTATATAAACCACTTGGTTATCTGAGCGTACATAAGTTGAACAATAATAATTGATGAAATGAAAATTTCAATATTTATTCACTTAGTGCTGAACCAATAATACCAAAGCAAAAATGGTTTCTTTGAAGTAAATTTATGTCTCACCTTCCTGTAGATGTACAAATTTGCAGGTTGGCCGAGTGCAAAGGCCACGATTAAAATCTTGGCACACCGGGAGGGTGTCCAGTAACTGAAAAAACATAAAAATATCATTAGAACACACGATCATCATATACTTGAAACCAAATTTTAATATTTAAAAAAATTACATTTTTTTAAATTTTGTAAGGTAGTGTGCACATGTATGCGCAGCGATTTAATAGGAGAAATCTAATCAGCATACATAAGCACTCTAACTAAAGAAAAAAAAAAACAACAATTTTGTTTTACGGATGCGCATGCCAATTAGATAAAAATTTACTATAAAACAGAGATCGTTCAATCATTCTGCACAAAAATCTAGAAACTATAGAAAAAGCCTTAAAAAAATATTCCATTGGAAATTATCAATTCTCTTTGCAACAAAAGTAGTAAAATTCCAGTATATCATAATATTAAAAGTAGGGTTGTTTGAAGGCAAAACTACGATATAAAGCTGGCAGCATAAGGCCAAAACCAGAAGCGTGTTAAAACATAAAAGGAAAAAAAAATAATGATCGATAAGTTGGGGGTGTTTGACATGCAGAATGTTTGAAAATCTTAAGGGGGTGGTATGAGAGAAAAAAAAAACACACACAAACGTGTATATTTGGGCTAGATAATTAAAAATCAACCCTTTTGCATCTGGAGTATTAGTAGTAATGATTTATAATATGCTTGGTTAATTTGTTAACCACAAATTATTAGGGGTTATTATTGTTTAATTATCCGACCAAAGTACGACTATTATGGCAATCGAAACAAACGCTGGTGCGACAAAAAAGATTTCTGTCCTGCAACATAAGTGTTTGGCAAACAACAACACAAAAAAACAACAAGTTACAATGCAATACACTTATTAATGGTTAAACATTTTTCTTTTTGTTGCGAAATGTACGAAGTGAACTGGAATTAGTAAAGTCATATGAATCCCAAAAATTCGAGCCTTGACTGTTTGAAGATCATTTTAAAAGCTTGCTTTTTGGTTTCTCAGAAGTTTCAGTATCAGAAGTCTTATTATAAAGTAATCTCAACATAAAAAAATGAAATTTCATCATTATGAAAAATCATAGAATCCGGCTCCAAATCTCGGGATAATTTAGTGTATGGAGTTCGAAGGATCCCAAACGACCATTAGAACTCAAAATCTAAACAACAAAAATTTTGAAATTTCATTGTTTTAGTAGTAAGGTACCTTATGATTTAGATTTTGAAAGGTCATAATTTTTTTTTAATTATAAATAAAAATCTGAAATTTTCAGCGATACTTATCCCAGTGGCGAAATATTCTGAAAATTTCGGCACATTTGGATTAATAGTTCCAGAAATAAAATCGTGTTAAGCAATTTTGGGGGATTTATCAATTTTTCAATTTTTCTGAGTGCCTTTTTTCATAGAATCCGGCTCCAAATCTCGGGATAATTTGGTGTATAGCTACCTTATTATTTAGATTTTGGAAAACTTTGAAAGATCATAACTTTTTTTCTATTAGCGATTGAAAACTGAAATATTTAGCGATTCTTATCGCAGTGGCGGACTACAATCCCTGAAAAGTTCAGCTCATTTGGACTTATAGTTCCAGAAATAAAATCGCGTGAAGCAATTTGGGGTGATTTATCAATTTTTCAATTTTTCTGAGTGTCTTTCTTCATAGAATCTGTCTCCAAATCTTGGGATAATTTAGTGTATGGAGTTCGAAGGATCTCAAACAGTGGCGGCTCGTCAGAGGAGGCAGGGGAGGCTAAACCTCCCCCAAAAAAATTGAAAATTCAATCTTTATTTTTTATTCCTGATTTCTAATTGAAATAATTCAAAAATTACACAACAGAATTCCAATTTTCGATACATATTTCAATGTAATTTAGAAAAATCTGACAACATTATTTCAATCAATCCCGTGCCTCCACGACAAAAATCTGTGAATCTGGGATACTCAGTAATACCGGCCCGAAGGGCCGGAGTAATACGAGCCCGAAAGGCCGGAATAATACGAGCCAGAAGGGCCGGAGTAATATGAGCCCGAAGGGCTAGAGTTATACGCGAGCCCGAAGGGCTACAGTTATTTTACTCACGGGGCTCAGTCTATAATTCTATATTGGTCAGAAGAGCCAATTAAAAACCGGGAGTATTTAAAATGCGATTTTTAGCGTCCGATCAAAGAGCCGGGAATATTCAAAAACTTTAGTTTTATCAAATTAACTTTGGAATGTTGGTTTTTTATTGGGGTTTCATAAGATCACTATAATCAATAAGGAAACCTTGTAATGTCATTTTCATTGAAATTAAACTAAAAACAAGTTTCCGATGATTTATTTGGGGAATTTTAATTATTATTATCATAATTAATCAATTATTAAATTGAATTTTAAACAAAAAACTCTTTTAAAATGTCATTTTTGTTTTCCGAGATGAGATGTGGCAACGTTGCTTTTAGTCGGTCATTTTGAAGTGACGTCTTGTGATTTTTTGCCAGTTTTTTCTCGAATTTTCGATTTTTCTGGAGTTTTTTAATGAAAAAAAGCGATTTAACATACGAGGCTTCGAGTTTTCTTCATTTTTTAGTAAAAATTTCTAGTTTCAGATACCATAATTAGCAAAATCCCATTTAAAATGCTTTTGATGTGGCAACATCGCTTGTGACTGTCGGCCATTTTCAATTGACGTGTTTACATTTTTATTCAGTTTTTCTTCGAATTTTCACTTTTCCGGGGCTTTTTCAGTCGGGAAAACTGCCGTACGAGGCTTTGAATTTTCTTCATTTTCCACCAAAAATTTCCAGTGTTTTAACGGGGTAAGTGAGAAGCTTTAGTTTTATCAAGTAGGTTTTGGAATGTCATTTTCGTTTTTTTTTTTTTTTGGAATTTTTATTTAAGGTTTTTGGGGTCCGGGGATCGTTTTCTATTACTTTTTTTCTCGAAATTTACAAAATTAAAAAAAAAACTTTTTTGACGTTGACAGCTGTCAAATTTTTTTGACACAAATCCATAGTTGGCGTCGTGAAACTGCCTTGTACCGGGGTTTGATTTTCGTAGCTTTTATAGTAGAGCGGGGCAAAAGTCGAACATGTGTCAAATTTGACAGGTGATAATATTGCCAAAGTGTCGTGCAACAAAAATTTTATCCGAACGAACCCGTTCATTGTTAACTGATTTTAATACTCCGGCCCTTCGGGCCGTAATCTTTGAAACAAAAAGGCGTCATTTTGTATCGATTGTCAAAAAAACCCAAGGTTTGAAATTTCAATTTTTTGACGTTTGTTGTATCATGAGCAGTGTTGCCATATGTTTTTTTTTTTTCAAATCTCGAGCTCGACGGGCCGAGATTATAGGTTATTTTAAAGTCAATCAAGAGCCGCGAATAATCAAAATTCGAATCTCCAAACCAATCAGGAGCCGGGAAAATTCAAAAATTCGAATTCCAAACCCGACGGGAAATTGAATTTTTTGTTCCAACTGTTGCTACATTTTGTTACATAAATCTCACCCTAAAACCGACTAAAAAACGACTTGTTTTCTAACCTTTGTTTTTTGAAAAAAACAAAAGAATTTTTTTTTTGAGATTAACAGCTGTCAAAATTTTAAAAAACCTACATGGGCATATAGATTTAGCCTCGGCGAATACGTAGAAAGTAGCCAAACAGGGCCAATTTTTTGACGTTTGTTGTATTATAAGCAGTGTTGCCATGTGTTTTTTTTTTCGAATCTCGATTCTGGAAGGCTGAGGTTATCTCAATTATAGGCTCAAAGGGCCGAGGTTATACGAGACCGAAGGGCCGGAGTTATACGAACCTGTTGATTGTTAACTGATTTTAATACTCCGGCCCTTCGGGCCGTAATCTTTGAAACAAAAAGACGCCATTTTATATCGACTGTCAAAAAAACCAAGGCCTACTTTGATATTTCAATTTTTTGAAGTTTGTTGTATCATGAGCAGCGTTGCCATATGTTTTTATCAAATCTCGATTTATAGGTTATTTTAAACCCAATCATTGACATTTCTGAAAAATATTTCCTTTAAAATTCCCAAATATCCTTTGGAATCCCCAAAAATCTGTTAAAATCTTAGAATTCCATAATTTAGTGTTATTCTGAAAAAGGAATTAGATGACAAATTTTTGCGGAGTTTCCATAGAATTCACATTAAATTTCAATTCCTCTCGAATTATTTGAAATTTCAGTGAAATTCCGATCGAATTACACGAAATCCTAAATGAATTACATGGAGGAATTTTAAACAATTACATGAAATTACACCTAAATTCCCAACATGAAATTTCAGTCTTCACTGAATTTTAGTAATGCCGAGGAATTTCCAGCTAAAAACATGAAATTTCGGTGATATTCCGAAAAATTACCATGTAATGACATGAAATTTCAATATATTTCGATGAATTTGTAAAAAATTACTTAAAACTTCATTAGTATTCCCAGAAATTCCTGGCTATTAAAATAGAATTTCAGTGAAATTCCGAAAAATTCTTATGAAAATAAATTAAATTTTGAAAATTCCTTGAAGTTTCCGAGAAATTTTCGGTTATGAACGTGGATATTCTCATAAAATTTCAGTGAATTCCGAGAAATTTTCAAGAAATTACATGAAATTCCGTAGAATTTTATGAAAATTTTGTGGAATTCCAGGATATTTCAGTGGTAAAATTTTGAGGAATTTTAGTAAAGTTAAAAAAAAAAAATATGGAATTTTGAAATTGAAATCTTAGTGAAATTTCATGAAATCCTATAGTGTGATTTCGAAAAAAATTTGTCCAAGAATTCCATAAAATCTTCTAATGAAATGTTAAGGTATTTATTTCTATGGAATTACTTAAAATTTTAATGGAATTCCAAAGAACTTTGATGAAATCTTCGAAAGGTTAATCACTCCCCGAAATCGTGTCACAAATTCGTCCGAAATCCACGAAATTACACGAAATTCCTTCGGAATTTTTCAGAAATCTTTCCGTAAACCCAAAAATCTCTCGCAATTGGCTCAAAATTCATAAATCACAATCACTGAAAATCTTCAAAATCTTTTAAGCCTCCTCACTTGAAATAG